AGTGGTGAGGGGTCAGTGGTGATGGGTGAGGAGTGAGTGGTGAGTGGTGAGGGGTCAGTGATGATGGGTGAGGAGTGAGTGGTGAGGGGTGAGTGGTCAGTGGTCAGTGGTGATGGGTGAGGGGTGAGTGGTGAGGGGTGAGTGAGTGGTGAGGGGTGAGTGGTGAGGGGTGAGTGGTGAGGGGTGAGTGAGTGGTGAGGGGTGAGTGGTGAGGGGTGAGTGGTGGGGAGTGAGTGGTTGGGAGTGGGGAGTGAGGGGTGAGCGGTGAGGGGTGAGTGGTGAGGGGTGAGTGAGTGGTGAGGGGTGAGGGGTGAGTGAGTGGTGAGGGGTGGTGAGTAGTGAGGGGTGAGGGATGAGTGGTGAGGGATGGTGGGTGGTGAGGGGTGAGTGGTGAGTGAGGGGTGAGTGGTGAGGGGTGAGTGAGGGGTGAGTGGTGAGGGGTGAGTGCTGAGTGGACCCCAGCTGGGATCACCGGATTCAGGGCACGAACTCATCCCCCCCCCCCCCCTCTCGGCTGCGCAGCTGATTCCTCGTGAGAGTCGCCCAGAGGCTCCTTTAACGTGGATCGAGATGGCGCAGTGAACTAACAGATGCGAGATGGGGGAGCCCTGCTGATCCCTCCTCTGCCCCCCCCCTCTGCCCCCCCCCCTCTGCCCCCCCCCTCCCTCCTCTCCTACATCTCATCCACGCTCAATCTGCCCCCTCCTCCCTCTCCCACGCTCGAACTCGGCTCTCGCGTTCATTCCTCCTCGTTCTCCTCCCTCTCATCTCCCCCCCCCCTCCTCCCTCTATCTCGTTCAAGCTCCATCTCTTGCTAGCCTCCACCCCCCCCCCTCTCATCAACCCACCATCTCCCTCCCTTCCCCTACCACCCCCACCCCTCTCCTACCTCCCTCCCTCCCCCTACCACCCCAACCCTCCCCTCCCTCCCCTCTACTCCCTCCATCTCATCAACGCTCCATCTCCCTCGCGCCCTTCCTCCCTCTCATTTCATCTCATCCACTCCCCCTCCCTCCCTCTCTCTCTCTCTCCCTAATTGGGAGGGGAGTCGCGTGGTGGTGGTGAGGAGGAGGAGGATGGTGATGAATGCGGTGCACGTGAGAAGTCTCCGTCTCCTCTCCGCGGCTGCTGCTGCTGCTGCCGCTGCTGCTGCTGCCGCTGCTGCTGCTGCTGCTGCTACTGCCCGGGTTATTTTGAGAGCTCTCGGTTGCTCTGGTAACCCCCCCGCTCTCTCCGAGCTCAGGATTTTTTTTATTATTCCGAGTGGAAATTTACGATCCATCCGTGCGGGGTTGCAGGGTGCGGGGGCGAGGGGGGGGGCACCGCTGCTGGAGGGAGCAGCGAGTGGTGGGGTAGGTGGGGGGGGGTCTGCGGATTTTATCTCGACCCCCCCCCCCACACACACAATCATGCACGTCACTGCGCTCCCCACCCAAACATTGGAGAAGGAGAGAGATGATCTCAGGCGGTGAGCAGGTGAGAGCCCATTGAGAGATGCGCTCTCTTTGTCGACGGCTGAGCTGCGTGCAGCCAAACGGCGTAGATTTACAGGGACCCATAGACTTGCATCGAGACCCATAGCCAATTGCGACCAGAAGTCGTATTGTTCCATGTCATAGCTGGGATTGATGATGGTCGTTTACGACGCTTTGCCAATCCCACCGCTGGACTAAGGACCCCCCCCCCCCATGTCGTATCGGTCGTTTTTGACCATACTTCACCATGCTGGTCGAGGGGTTTCAATAAATGCGGCAAAACCGAAAATTCCAAAACGTAACTAAGGCAACGCAGAGGATAAACACAATTTTAAAGCATTAAACATTAACATGCAACACAACAACTCTCAAACGTTACATTTCATAATCGTCATCGTCATCATCAGCAGCAGCAGCAGCCACGATCAATTCCGCTGTTGGATGAAGGTCTCCTCCCCAAAGCCATCGCCGTCCTGTTCGCAATCCCACGGCGATGCCGCAACGATCCGTCCGGACCCCTGTTCCCGCACGCGACGACCCATTTTCCCCACCGCTCCAATCTTCAGCTCCGTCTCCGCGACGGGCGCCTGGGTCACGGCGCGCAGAGAAACCCCGACGGGTGTGGACCCACGGCCGCGCTCTCCCCAGCGAACAATTTGCTCCCGCGCACGTAAGCCGCGAGGGGACGGCCGCTGATTTTTTGTTTCGTTTATTTTTTTGTCAAATCGGCGGCATTCACGTTGACGCGCTGCGGGCCCCCCGAGCGCGCCGTCTAATCGGAGCTGGATCTCTCGCCCGCTGTGACGCGCGGATCGGAATCGCAGAACGCGGCCGACAAAGAAAATGGAGCGAATAGATGCAAAGTGCGACAAGGGGAGCGCGCGGGGGTGGCAGTGACGGAGGAGGCGCAACGCTTGGGACACGCCGTCGGTTCAGGGACGAACGCAAATTCAGAGTCGATGTCGTCGTCGTGGTCGTCACATCGACTGCCAATGCAACAATGGGAGACGCTGCACGTCCGTCGGCTACATCGTGTGCAGTCGTCAAAAGGACGGGCAATACAGCGGGTGACGTTTCGGGCATTGGCCCTTATTCTTCACAGGGTTTGATAAGCGTGGCGAGTGTTTACTTGGTGTGTGTGTGTGCTCGTGCACACCACTGCCAATAGACCAGCAGCAGCAGCGTCGCCAAATGGATTTGTTGGTCAGTTTCACCCGGACCGAACTTCTCCCGGCAACTCTCGTTCACAACTCCCCGCGTGTTGGTCACCGTCAGTTTTGATTTGCGTGAGTTTGAGTCACTCGCAGACTGAAACACAGCGCTTACTTGCACCGGTATCTAACTTCCCATATTACACTGCGTTTGACGGCGTGTGTGTTACGTGTTTATATATAAACATCGTTTGTTCGCACACTCAGACTCGAGTGAGTCAGAGCACCCGATACGCTGCGGCTGCGTACATCATTTTAAAAATGTATAAAACTATCCTTTTGCACGTCCAGGGGACGGGCGTATTGCAGTTAAACTGAAACTTGCAAGCGAAAAGCAGACTGTGACGTGATATTCATTGCATCAATTCGTGTGCAATTTGTAAGGCCGCGGTGACACAGACTTCTTTCATGTGAAGGTGATAATCCCTTGTTCATCGTGACGTCCTTTTTACTTGGATGTCTCAACAATAGCGTGACGGAGACCACGTGACGTGAGGGTTTCTGCCTTTGGCGTGAGGGTTGTGAGTTGACGCCGAGGAGGGGGGAGGAGGCGCCTCGCACCCCCCCCATGTGGAGTGACGTCACCCGCTAATTATTGTTAATGAAGGGGGGGTGTCCATTTAGAGGACGTCACCTGGTCATGATTAGTAATGAGGGGGGCTGCTCGATGTGGAGTTACGTCACGAGTATTCTTTGGTTCTTTCGGTAAAGTCACGAAGAAAAAAATTAAGTGAAAAAAAATATTAACAAAAAACACGAATGTAGAATGTAGCCTGGTTCTTAACCTCGGTGAGCGTACTGGCGGGGGGGGGGGGGGGGGTCTCCATGCAGTGTGACGTCACCCGCTCATGATTATTAATGAGGGGGGGGGTCCATGTGGAGGACGTCACCTGCTCATGATTATTAATGAGGGGGGCTGGTCGACGTGGAGTGACGTCACGCACGGGACACACAGACAATCTTGGCTCATCATAGTAGTAAACAAATATATAGGGGAAAGGTGGTAAAGGCTACAATGCATTGCCGAAAGAGAGGTGAGGGGTCAGATAGTGCTGTTCTATAAATAAAATGCAAACATCAATGTGCGTAAATTTCGATTTAAAGCTTTCGTGACTGCAGGGATTCATCTTCTTGGTTCTTTCGGTAAAGTCACGTAGAAGGGAAGTAATAAATAATAAAATCAATGTGCGTAGCCACAATAAAAAATAAAAATCGAGATTAATAACAAAATAAGGCATACAAGCTGTAAAATGCTGGTCTCCGAGTAAGAGACTCTTACGTTAGTGAGCGTTAAACACCTCGATTGTTAGTTGTTGCGATATGCCTTTCGGACCCTTGCCGTACTTGTGTTCTCCGCAATATTGACGTTTCTGTTTTGTTATTGCTGCTACTGGCAGGCTCATGCAGCACGGTGGATCTCGCCATCATCATCATCATGGGACCTCCTTTGCCAGTACCAAAATATACTAATAGGGTTTTTCCCCTTTTTTTGGCGTCATCTGGTCGAACACCATATGAGACTAGGCTCTAAAGAAAGCTGTCTCTGGTGTGGACCAATCAGTTTCAAAGACAATGCATAAATTATCAGAGTTGTGTTTTTTTATTGCATTTGACTGCAAGTATTGTGGTTAATGTAAGTATGATTCCTTGCAAAAGGTGTCAGTTTTGTTGCCAGAAAAAAGGGGAAAAACCCTATTAGTATCATCATCATCGTCACCATCATCCGTGCAACAAATAAATGAAAACAATCAAGTGGAGTGCAAGGCAAGGGTGGACGGGGAACGCGACCCAGAGGATATTCTCCGTGCGCAGTGCTCGGCAGATCGTTATGTCGCATCACCGTGAGAGACTGCGAGACGGCTTTGGCGGTGGGGCGGGGGGGCGGGGTGGAGATCTTTATCCAACAGTGGATAGAACATCTCGAGGAGCTCGGAGAGCCCCTCTTGCGATGTGGTTCACGCAAAATCCCCGGGATGTCGTTGCGTTGATGGGCAGCCCTTCTTCACGTGGGTGGCTCGGTGCGTCAATGTTGAGCTGTGCGGGGTCAGGTGAGGCTCGGTGGTTCAGAGGTCAGATCGCTGATTCATCCGCGTTCTCAGGCTCGCACTATTGATGGCTCTCAGCCGCGGTCACCGATGACTCGGTGTGGAGGGGCGACGTGGTGGGGGGGGGGGGGAGTTAGCTTCCCGCCCTTGGCGTGGACAACTCCCGGATGGACAGCTTGCCCCCTTGGCAAAGCCATCCTTGGGTCGAGGTCAGAGATCGCGAGGTTTCGGGCTGAGCGTGTGTGCCGTGCGCGTGTCTGCCCCGCCAGGAGCCCAGGAGCTGCGAGGAGTTGTCAGGAGGTGTCATCTGCCACCGGATTCCACCGGGAGCCACCAGGACTTGCTAGGAGCTACCGGAGACCATCGGGAGTTACCTTGACCTCGCAGGCTCCAACAGGAACGACGGGAGGTCACCGCGAGTCGCCGGGGTCACCGTAAGCCGTCCGGCAACGACCAGGGGCCACCGGGTGCTGACCCAGATGTCGCGATGTGAAGACGAGACGTGAGCCTGCGATGTGGTGGCGGAGACGCTGAGCTCGAGACGACACGGAGAGGAGAAACTCTCGTCGCGCGAGGTAGCAGGGTCGACGCGAGAACGCGAGCGGCAGGCTCTGAAGCGACCAGCGGGTGAGACTTGGCGTGGCGAGATGTGACGAGGATTCGAAATCGTCGACACGTCTCCAGTACCTCACGGAAACTACCGGGGGTCCCCCCACCCCCCTTGGAGTTATCCGGAAGCGGGAGCCGAGCAGCGGCACGCCGAAGCGGCGCCGGTGCCACGAGCAGCACCGACCCCCGCCCCGCGCGCGGGGGTGGGGGGCGGGCGGACGCCCGCGATGGCGCGCATGGGCGCCGCCCCGCTCGCGGCCTGCCTCGCCTGCCTGGCCGCATCGTCGGCGCTGGCCGACACGCTGCACCCGGTGGTGACCACCAACTACGGCAAGCTGCGCGGCGTCAAGGTGTCGCTCAACAACGAGATCCTGGGGCCCGTGCAGCAGTTCCTCGGCGTGCCCTACGCGGCACCGCCGGTGGGGGAGCGCCGATTCCTGCCGCCGGAGCCGCCGGCGTCGTACGGGCACGTGCGGAACGCCACGGCGTTCGCGCCCGTGTGCCCGCAGAACGTGCAGGGCGTGCTGCTCGAGGTCATGCTGCCCGTGTGGTTCACGGCCAACATCGAGGTGGTGGCCGCCTACGTGCAGGAGCAGAGCGAGGACTGCCTCTACCTCAACATCTACTTGCCCACCGAGGACGGTGAGTGCTGGGCGGTGGGCGGCGTCGACGGCCGACTGGCCGGACTCGGTCCGGGCTGTCAACCAGCCTCTGTCCTGGCGTTTTACTGAAATGGCTCCTGCCTCTAGATTTGAAGTTTTCGTGACTGCAAGGATCCATACTCTTTGGTTTTTTCGGTAAAGTCGCGTCGGTTAAAAAATAAAACAAGTAAATTTAATCGCGACGTTTCGGAGGCAACACAAGCTTCTGTCTTCAGGTGGAACCGTCACAGCACGATTGCTGCATCAAGTGAAGAGAGCTCTAAGACACACGACCTCATATACTGGTTAAGGGGAGGGGTGGAGGAGTAATTTTGCTGTGACGGTTCCACCTGAAGACGGAAGCTTGTGTTGCCTCCGAAACGTCGTGATTTCATTTATTTGGTTTCTTTTTTAACCCACGTGACTTTACCGAAAAAACCAAAGTGTATGTATCCTGGCTGTCAACCAGACTTTGACCTGTCTTTCAATCGGACTGTGTTCCGGCCTTTCAATCGGACCATGTTCTAACGTTCATTTGGACTGTGTCCTGCCTTCCAATTGGACAGTGTTCTAATTTTAAATCGGACTGTGCTCTGACTTTCACCCAGACTTTGCCCTGCCTTTTGGCTGGATTTTGTCCTGGCTTTCAATCGGACTTTGCCCTGACTTTTGACTCCAGAGCATGGGACCTCCCTTGCCAGTATCAACATATCGGAATAGGTGTTACCCTTACTGGCAATAAAAGAGGTGTTAAGATGTTAAAGCACCAAACAGAAAGGGTCAACCCTATTTTCATATTTTGATACTGGCAAGGGGAAGTCCCATGATGTAGCTGCTCACAACGAGCTCTGATGATGCATTGTCTTTGTGCTGTTTGCCTTTTGGCATCCTCTGGTCTAACACTGTTGAGACGAGGCTCTAGGCTCTAAAGAAAGCTGTCTCTGGTGTGGACCTATCAGTTTCAAAGACAATGCATCATCATAAACTACCAGAGCGTGTTTTTTGTTTGCATGTTCACCACAAGTATATGTGGTTAATGTAGACATGATTCCTTGCAAAAGGTTTCAGTTTGGTGTTTTAACATCTTAACACCTATTCTTGGTTCTTTCGGTAAAGTCACGTAGAAAGGAAATAATAAATGCAAATTTTTTTATATTTGTATTATTTTATTATTTCCCTTCTACGTGACTTTACCGAAAAAAACAAGAATATGAATCCCTGCAGTCACGAAAGCTTTACATCAAGATCTTAACACCTGTTTTATTTCCAGAAAGGGTACAAGCTATTCTTATATCTACTGTTCCAGCTTTGACCGAACAATGTCCCAGCTTTCTTCCAGACTATCCTGACCTTTGAACTTCCTCCAGAGCAGCGATCTCAAATCTGTCTGGACCTGCAGGGCAATCAACCCTCTCAACACATTTTCGCGGAAACACCGTGCACCCATAACATTATCTTTTAAATAAAAAACTCCCGTAAAAACTTGAATCAAAAGTCATGAAAAGCAACCACAACTTGTTTTCCATTGATTCGCATTACAGGAATCATATTTTAGACTTATATAAGGCACTCGTAAATAATGGATGTCGGAGCGCCATAATGAGATGCTGCATGAAAATAATCTGGCGTCTTGTGAACACAATCGTAGCTATTGGAGCGGTTCCAAGGCGCACAGGTCGGGAGCTGCTGCCGGACGGCAAACGCGGGGACTCACAACGGCAACAGTCGTCGTCGTCGTCGTCATATCTTCTCACGGCCGCTATCCCCACGGCGCTGTAGGGTCGAGTCGAGCCCTCCCCCCCTCCCCCAGTCACCATCCACTCCTCGTGCCTGTTGGAAGCATTGCTCCCTGCACTCACCCGTACCCCCCCCCCCCTCCGCCCCTGCCTGCCACGTACCCCCTTTATTGTTACCCCAGACACTGTCATGCCTCTGTCGTAGGGTTTAATTTCTCATGGAATACTTTTCCTGTTGTTCCTCAACCCCATCAACTTCTCCAGGATTCAACTACCCTCACCGACAATCGGGGCAATTGTGGAGAGGGGCAGGGGGGGGGGGCAAGGGGAGAGGAGAAATATTTTCTGGAGCTCAGCTCGGGACAGCTCCAGCACAAATTAATCCCCGGGTAATACGGTGTGTGATGGTGTGACGGTTGCCGTCTTCAATGCCATGGCACGGAGGTTGTGGGCAAGGTCTCTCTGTTCGTGGCGATGTTGGTGAGTGAGCCAGCGGACGACTGCTGCGGGGAGTAAGCGCCCCTTGGGGGAATATCTGAAACCCTGCCCGCGAATGTTGACCCATGAAGAAAACAAACATATCTTAAGTAGATCAATAGCTGGATGATGATGATGATGATGGAGATAATGTCAGGCATATTTAATGACGTCTGGGGTGGGGGAAGCTTACAGACCGCAACTTAATTTCACGCGGCCCGTGCCCACACAAGATTCAACCGCTTCCAAACGGGCCCTCGCCCAACCGATATCCATCCATCGCCGCTAAAACATCTTAGCCACGCTAACGCTGCCATTAGGGTGTCCCCTAGGCAAAACAGCAATCCGTGCCCGGAGACCCTTTTCGTTCCATTATGGGCACCGATATGAATGCAAGTATTAATTATCTATATTCATCGGGCACTGGAGGGAAATATTTTCGACATTCGAAACGCCAGTGGCGCGGCGGCGTTTGCGGAGTTACCGCCGCGCTCGGTCGCTTCTGTCACCGCGGGGTGGGGTGGGGGGGGGGCCTTCACCACGTCGGGGTCGGCACGTGCAGAGAGGTCCGCGTGTTGGCTGGATGACAGCAGGGTGCGTGTCTCAAGGTGGGTTGCTCGTTCACCAAAGATATTGGAAAGTCCCATTCGGGCCTTGCTAAACAAAAGGTTCCACAACCCTGGCTCTTACTATTATTATTACTACAGCTACTACGCTTGTTTGCCCAGGAAAGCTTCACTGGGTCTCAAGGCGAGTTTTCAGGATGCTCATGCCAAAGCTTTTCGCAGTAGGGGGCACGATGCTGCTGATGCTGTGTGTGATCTCAATTGAGTGATTTGCAGGTAATTTTTCAGCATTGGGATTATTGTTGTTGTTGTTGTCGTTGCGGTTATTTACCCAGGAGACCCTCACTGAGTCTCAACAATGTTTTAGACCAATAACCGGTTACGTTATGTGTGATTGTGGGGGCGGGGGGGGGTGTGAGCTGTTAGAGGAAACCAAAGAATCCGGAGAAACTCCACGCAGTACAGGGGCAGAGAATCGGAACTCCAAACAGAGAAGCTCTCGAGTTGGGCACGGGTGTCGCCACTGCGTCGCCACCCTGCCTTGCGCCCGGATGTTGAGCGTCCAGGATTTTTGGCACTTTGCCGGAGTGCGACAAGAACGCGACAAGCAACGCACAATGAGTCATCGTCAAGATAAAATGCCCCAGTGGTTGGAACCAACATCAACGCGCCTATGCGCGCATCTCCTCCGTGAATTGGAGATTAAAGACACAAGCCACAGGAGTGTGACTGGCGATGCAACCCAGATTATGAATCCTAAACTAATCCCATAGAGATACAATAAAGACACAAGCCACAGTCGTGTGATTGTGGCCATGCACCCAAACCACAGACCATCAAGTAAACCACTCGAGTCTGCGTTTCTTCAACGAAGGACGAGGAACAGCTGATCGACGCGAACTCTCTCTCTCACTCCTGAGGCCCTCTCAGCAGCAGCAGCAGCAGCAGACCTCAACATTGACATCTTAGCTCCTGTATACCTTGATGCCATACGCAACAATCTAACATCATCCACTTGGGCCCGTTATCGATCCACTGGCTGGATGAAGGGATCCGCAAGCTGCTGCCACCTCGCACGGTCCTGCAGCACAATGACCCACCGAGACAGGCCAATTCCATCCGCTCCATCTCCGTGGCGGGCGCACTCTCGCCGTTGTTCCGTTGGCTGCTACTCCTCCGTTAGTAATAGGGTCTTACCCTTTCAACTGGTACAAAAACTGACACCTTTATACAAGGCATCATGTTTGCAATAACCACAACACGAGCAGTCAAAATGCAAACAAAAAGAAACAACTCTGATAATGATATGCACTGTCCTTGAAGTTGATTGGTCCACACCCGGAGACAGCTTTTCTTAGAGCCTAGTCTCAATTGGTGTTGGACCAGATGACGCCAAAAGGCGTACAACTAAAAAAAAAACCTATTACTATATTTTGCCACTGGTAAAGGAGATGTCTCATAGTGTAAATACTCCGTTAGTGTCGACCGTGCCGGCCATCGTCCCTTCTCGCGACGACGCACGCATGTGCGCTGAACTTTTTTCGCGCCGTACATAGCCAACTGTGACAGTGGGAGGTGCGAGTGGGTGGCCAACACAGCGCCCAGGCCGTCTTTCGCTCCCCAATGTTTACACGACCACACCAGGCACTCATTTGAGGCCGAGTAGACCTAGGGGAGGCCCAGGACGGGCTCAGATAATCGTCCCCACCCGGCCCCTGCCCGAGCTCCGCGTACAAACTTCGGTGGTTGCAGTGAATGCCGCCGTCTCTTAGCTCGCGGTGTCCTGCGAGTCACGTGTCCCCGTCGTTCTGTGTCTGGGTGGAATTCCCAGCATGCACCCCTCCATTCTTCTTTGCGCTCCTTTATGTTCTAATTTTCTTTGACAATGCCCACGTTTCCCCATCCGTGCTTCGCAAATCATGCCGCGATGTTTCATCAATCATAACCTCACCGCCCCCCCCCCCCCCACTGCCGCCCATCCTCCCTCCCCCCCCCCACCACCATCATCATTCACCACGTCCTTCCCAGAAATTGGCGCTAAGCCAATCCCAGGCGTCATCGTCTTTGGCCGGCGGTTGTGCCAAACCAAAGCCTGCAACCCCTTTTCCCTGGTGCGGAGCTGTGGGTGGTTGGCACGGGCACCGGCACAAGGAATGATGTGGGACCTCTCTTCCCTGTTCCATTTCAACCCCCGCCCCCCCCCCCCCGGGCCCTTCCAGCCAATGGGCACCGGTGCAGTTGCACCGTCTGCACACTCGGTAGCTCCACCACTCGGTCCTGTCGTGGGGTGCCAGTCTAGTGGCCGTCTGCTTGCCTAGAGGGTTCTAAGTTAGTGTGCAGGTCCTCTACTCCATGGGTGCTTAGTCAATATATCATATATATATGGCTTCGGTGCTAGTATGTGGGGTCTCTTTGTAAGGACGGTATATATGGGTCTCTGTGTAAGTCATTGGCTCTTGAATGTGAGTCTGTGGGTCTCTTTTTGAGTCTACGGGTCTCTGTGTGAATCTACGTCTCTATGTAAACCTGTGGGTCTCAGTGGTGTCGTGTGCTCGACGATGGGCCCTGGAGCAAGGGATGAATGAATGTGCCCTTTGCCTGCACAATTTCTCCTCCCTTTGTAGCCTGGCGCTTGTGCCCCTCCCGCCCGTGGGTCCAGGCGCAGTTGCACCGCCTGCACACTCCCATTAGCTGCACCACTTGATTTTCGAGCTGATAATTGGTTCACCGCTATTATCATCATCCTCATTATTATGTCACGAATCTGCCCCTCCCCACCTTGAGCCACTTGGGTCTCTCTCGGCCTTTTGCTTGGTTCTCTTACACACCAGGTGCTCCCATCGCTCGTGAGCGCGCCCGGCGTCTGCAAGCGGCGGGAGACTCGGGGAGTCGGGGGAGCCCCAGGGTCCCGCGGGGATCGGAGAGACGTACAACAAAAAAAAACGAAACAAAATATTGGCGAGGTCGACCGCGCGCGTCGCTCCGATAACCAGGAAAAAATGATCTCGGCCAACGAGGCGATTGCGCGCCGCGAAGCCCCGGGCCACTTGGGTTTAGTTCCAAGCCACGGCAAACATCGGAGACGAGTTGTTTTCGTAAACGTCTGTGACCCACCCCCCGTCGCGCCTACGGCAGCGACATCGCCCGGCGCCGCGTGGCACCCAACTCTTGGTGTGGAGGGACGTCATAGGCGTTTGACGCATCTTCCTGTGACGTCGCACTTCAGGGGGTCTGAAACGAAAGAAGATGGAATCGTCTGAAAAGATGTTCCGAGCTTTGGCGAAATTTTTGTACATATCTGGAACACTTCCCCCCCAGGGGCACACCGGCATGAGTCGACTGGTAGGTCGCGTTCGGCGGGGTAAAGTGTGGGCACTCCACCGCCTTGAACAACGGGCGCATTATCGCGGAAGTGTGTTCCCCGCGGGCTCGCGGCCGCGCACGTCCTCGCGACGTAGCTAACACGCTTCTGCCCGCCAGTCGTATTTTTAGCTGCCGGGGACAATCCTGGGCCCCAGCGCAATTAACAGCCCGAGACGCCCCCGACTCGTGCGTAAGGACCGCTGCCACCCACCAAATTGTGCCATCACGTGGTCCGTGCAGGAGGGAGGCCAATTACAGTGGAACTGCTGCCACGAGACTCCCCCCCCCCCCCCCCGCCAATTTATCTGCCCCCCCCCTTCTCTCTGCCGCCGCCCCCGCCCCCGCCCCAGTAAGAATTGAACTGATCCAACACCACCCAGCACCCCAACATCTCCTCCAAACTCTTCGATTGATTCCCACGATTCAGGGAAACGAATCGATTTTTATATGTTCGTCTCTACGACGTTGTTCGAAACCCACTTGCAACTGAACTAGATTGAAAAATAACGACGGCGTATATAATTAGCACGCATCGGTAATCATTTGGCATTATTAATAGCCATTATTGCGCTTGTTAAGCTGGCAAAGATTCACTGGGTGTCAAGACTCTCTTCCTGCCAAGTTAGAGTCAGTCGGGGGAGATGCTTCTGCTGCTGTGCACGATCCCAGTTAAGTAATTTGCAGGGAATTTATCAGCCTTGGGTTGTTTTGGCCAGTACCAGTTGCATCCTGTGTGTGTGTGTGTTTAGCTATAACACCAGAGAGCCCAGAGTATACCCACGCAGAACAGGGCGAGAGAGAGAGAGAACGTACAAACTCCACAGAGAACGACGCCCCAGTCAGGAATCGAACCCAGGACCCCTCTTGCCGCGAGGCGCTGGTGTCACCGCTGCACTGCCACCCGCGTCTTCTTCTTAGATGCGCTGTTGCACACGAGTCTCTGTGATCGAGGAGGGAAGACTTGTCGCAGAGGTCACAGATTTGAACGAAGTCCGTGAAACCTGAAGAGAGTTGCTTTATAAATGCGTGTGATTAAATGCACGTCTTTAGTTTTCATTTCAAAACGCCGAACGTCGTGGGCTGAAAACACAATTCTGTGTTTTTCAGCGTATGATTAAAGGCTTCGCGAGTGATACAGGGGCAGGGATTATCGGCGTAAGGCACTACCACTAGTGCCAGATGCATAATAATAATCCTACCATGTATTCCTATAATCCTATACACACCAACCACAACCGCACACGCCACCGCAGCATCATGGGGATCATATAAAGGCAGTGAGATGGATGTGACATGTCAACATTATTTCTCACAAAAGCTCGAATTAAGCAGTGGGTGTTGGGGGTGGGGGTAACTGCGGGATCCGGGCAGTGCAGGGCTACGATCAATGCCCAATTACCCCTCCGTGCCTGCCCTCCAGGCCATGATGATGAACGCCATTGCATTCAGCCCAGGGATTAATTTCTCACCGAATCCTTTCCGAGTCGCCGGAAGACTGGAGCAGGCACGTGACCAGCAATGACAGTCATCGCAATAGGGTATTTTGGATGTGGGTGCGTCTGTCAAGGAAATATTTTCAGACTGCCTCACCCAGACGCGGCTGGAATGAATCCTCGTTGGCAAGCGGCGGTGGGGGCTACCGCTGCCCACTGCACTCAAATCACGAGTAAATTTGGTATTTTCGCCCGGAGCCGTTCTCTCGGGTACACAGCGAATCGGGGCGGCCGCCCCGGGCCCCACGCTTTGGGGGGCCCCCCACGCTTCGACGTCACGGTGTCTGATGTCATACTCCCGGTTTAATTTGAAAGCCTCGGGGAGTGGGGGAGGCATACGGTGGGTGAGATGCCCTGGGCCCTCCACCCCAAGGAGGGACCTGTTCACGATACTCCAATCGCGGCGAGGTGAAGGGGGGGGGGGGGGCGCTGCGGTATTTCGCAGTCTGCTGTGGTTTGGCAAAAGGGGAGGGGGGGGGCGGATGTGGCCGAGTCATTTCTGGGAACCCATTTTTTTTTTACAAGTTCGGCAAAAGTTGGGAAGCCGCGACGCCAGGGCACGCACACGTTCCAAACAACATCGCCGGCGATCTTGGACGTCGTCCGCCGTGAAGCAGACGGCGCGTGCCGACGGTTAGCGCGCCGGGCAGTATTGACCAGGGTGGCCGCGGCGGATGTAAACCCCGGCGGACCTCTGCACCCGTCGAAATGACCAATTCCTTTTTTTGATGGTTGCCTCTCTTTTTTTAATCTTTGCAAACGTAACTTTTTTTCTTCCTCTGCAGATCCTGCGGGAGGACACGTTTGGGTATTTTTCTAACATTCCGGAGCGGTTTCTTGGTGGTGGTGGTGGTGGATTTTTTTCGTCTTTCTTTCGGGGTGGGGGGGGGGGGAAGAGCAAACGTGTTTCTACCGATTCTCTCTTTTTTTTTGACACCCACTAATCAACATTAAAACACTAAAAACGTCAGGCGCTGTGAAGGTCGATGATCTGTTTGCCGGCACAATTTGGCTGAAGTCCACCGCTGAGAATTAAAAAAATTGACGAAACCTCGGCTGCTGTTATGCGGTGGGAAGGTCGGGAAAGTGCCACGCTCCCTCTTCCTACCGCGTACGTGCGGACCCCAATCTCGGAGATGGTTCTGTGATATCCACTTCTGTGTGCTGCCCGTTGCTGAAACACCGACGGAGCCGGTGCGCGCCGCACACTTTTTTGCGAGCGTCCCGAGCGGATTTCCCTTCATCGCCTCGCGACTGGATAAAAATTGGAACAAAAAGAGAAAGAGAATCTTTTTTTGGGGGGAATTTTGAACGCACTTTTCCCCCCCCCTCCTCCTCCTCCTCCTGTCTTGTCTCCACCCCCCGCTCCATGCCCGCAGGAAGTGCCGCTAGGAAGCGAGCTGATGGCTCGGCCGCTAGTACCGGCGAGGAACAGCAAGGTACTTCTCTCCTCTTTTTTGTGAGCTCGCCACTTTTTTAATTTTAACTTTTTGTTCTCCCCTTTCCCCCACATGGTGGGGGGGGGGGGAGGGGGGCCCTTTCACCGCTTCACCGCCGGCAGCCGCCCCCCCCCCCCCCCCCCCCCCCCGGAACTCGCGGAGGCGGGAGGCCCCCCCCCCCCCCGGGTTGGGGAAGGAGCGACGGATGGGTTTGACGCGAGCGAAACATCAATGGTCGCCTGGGTTTCGCAGAACGCCGACGAGAGGTCCTCGTGATTTGGCGTCCAGCGTGGGTCTCGCGCCGGGAGAGGGAGAGTCCCGCTGGCGATGTCGTTTGGGGTTGGTCCCAATCGTTTCACTCTGTGGCTTGCGAGTTGGAAACGCATGTCGGTTGATAAGAGGGTCCTCCTCTTGGTTGGTGTTCCGAGTGTCCTATTGGTTGATGTACAGTGTGTCTTATTGATGTACAGTGTCATTTTGGTTGATGTTCTGAGCGTCCTATTGGTTGATGCGGTGGGTATCCCGTTTGATGTACTGAGTGTCTTATTGATTGATGTACTGAGTGTCCTATTAGTTCATGCTGTAGGTATCCTGTTGGTTGATGTACTGCGTGTCCTATTGATTGATGTACTGAGTGTCCTATTGGTTGATGTAATGAGTGTCCTATTGGTTGATGCTGTAGGTATCCTGTTGGTTGATGTAATGAGTGTCATATTGGTTGATGTACTGAGTGTCCTATTGGTTGATGTACTGCGTGTCCTATTGGTTGATGTAATGAGTGTCCTATTGGTTGATGCTATAGGTATCCTGTCGGTTGATGTACTGAGTGTCCTATTGATTGATGTACTGAGTGTCCTATTGGTTGATGCTATAGGTATCCTGTTGGTTGATGTAATGAGTGTCCTATTAGTTTATGCTGTAGGTATCCTGTTGGTTGATGTACTGAGTGTCCTATTGGTTGATGTACTGAGTGTCCTATTGGTTGATGATGTAGGTATCCTGTTGGTTGATGTACTGAGTGCCATATTGGTTGATGCTGTAGGTATCCTGTTGGTTGATGTACTGAGTGTCATATTGGTTGATGTACTGAGTGTCCTATTGGTTGATGATGTAGGTATCCTGTTGGTTGATGTACTGAGTGTCATATTGGTTGATGCTGTAGGTATCCTGTTGGTTGATGTAATGAGTGTCCTATTGGTTGATGTACTGAGTGTCCTGTTGGTTGATGTACTGAGTATCCTATTGGTTGATGCTGTAGGTATCCTGTTGGTTGATGTACTGAGTGTCCTATTGGTTGACGCTGTAGGTATCCTGTTGGTTGATGTACCGAGTGTCCTATTGGTTGATGTACCGAGTGTCCTCCACGCACTCTCCTGCCTCTTCCCCCCTGATTCTGCCGCACCTCCACCCACGTTCCCTCCCGCCTGTTGGGGGAGAAGTGGCAGATTGCTCAGTGAGAGGTCGCTCACTTTTCCTTTGCTCCCCCGACACCCACCAGCCATCCGTGCTGTCTGCTCCCCGTCCCAGTTAAAGTCCAAGCCGACCACCTTCCTCTCCTCCGCTGCCTATGGCCGACTCCCTGCTTCCCTCCCTCTCTGTCTCTATAAATAAACATTCCCACGCCTCCGGTCATCAGGGGGCACAGACACTGTGGGCGCCGTGGGTGTCCGCACACCCCCGGCGTATTTAGATGACGCTAAGAGAGACGCCCCCCCCCCCCCCACACCCAACGTTTAGAACAAAACTCGGGGCACCTTTGACCATTTGTCCGCTCGACAAGGCGGCGACGCAAACGGCGTCCCCGCTGGCGACGGAAGCGCTGAGATCCACGGAGCGTCCGGCTCCGTGCCTCGTCGCTGGCCACGCAGTTCGCGCCCCCGGTGACCTGAGTCAGTGCCGGAGAACTCCTCTTATCCCTCATAGAGTAGGGGGGGGGGGGGTGCGAAGCGGATCCCCGTCTGTAACCCACTCGGTGACCACCAGGACCCGTTCGCGAGTCGGGCCTCCACCACCGCCGCTTCCGCAGCGCCGTCCGTGCCCCCCCACCCCCCGGTAGGCCGCGGCCGCGCACGTGGCCCCGCGGCGAGGGTTGTCCAGGCGGCGAGGGTTGGTGGGTTTCGCGCGCGTCGAGGAAGGAGCGGTACCCTGGCTCTCGCTGGGAGAAGGCGGCGCGGCAACAAACGTGGACTCCACCTGCTTGTGGGATCGAGTGCTTTACCATCGCACGCGTGGGTTTTGCTCAGCTCGCTCCGGTGTTTTTCCCGGCGCGTAAACACTCAATAATTGGCCGATAACACGTTCATATATAGAAGACTGCAGAGCTTGGGAAATTGTTGGTGGCGCCGGATCCTGACCGCGTGGGTGCTGCTGGCTTCCCGCTCATCTGTGGTTCCTCCTCCGCCTCTCTCGCTCTCTCTCTCTCTACGAGAGCGAGGATCGTGTGGCCTGGTACAAGTTTAAATTACTATTATGGTGGTAGCAGATATTGAGCGATAACCTTTATCACCTTCATAATAAAGGTTTTTGGGTTAGATCGCATAAATATAAATGTGCTGTAACCCACCACCACCCGACACAGCCAACCAGTACGGTTTGTCACGTCAACAAAACGTAGCAATTAGTTACTACTTCAGCCCACCAGTGTGTTGGAGAGTAAATCCACAACATTTACAATTTGAGTTCAACGTTTCGCTGGTAATTACATCCAGCATCATCGATAGATGTGTGTGGGGTGGTGGTGGGTTTCGACACGGGCTATTAGCGCTATCATGCTTAGCGTTATTCACAAAGACAAAGATCCCCTGTAGAGCCTTTAACAGGCTGTTCGGGCAAGTGCTGTTAGCGAACAGCACTTATGAAGGCCGGCATGGTGCATGGGTTTCCAACACCATGCTCGGCCACGTTTGTCTCCCCAGTGCCAATGTTTTCAGACGGCGCCAGAAACCAGTTTAATGCTGAGTCGATCTTGGGGAGTCCCAAGACCAGTTCAACTATTCGCCACTATTATTGGTCGTGTTATTGGTCATTTACCGTGGCGTGTCCCGCGTGTACCGTGTCCCGCATGTACCGTGGCGTGTCCCGCGTGTGTCATGTACCGTGGCGTGTGTCATGTGCCGTGGCGTGTGTCATGTGCCGTGGCGTGTCCCGCGTGTACCGTGGCGTGTCGCGTGTAATGCGTGGCGTGGTGTGCGGTGTATACCGTGCAGTGCATGGCGCGTTGCGTGTGCTCCCGCAGACATCCGTGACAGCGGCCCGCGCCCCGTCATGGTTACATCCACGGCGGCTCTTACATGGAGGGCACGGGCAACATGTTCGATGGCAGCGTCCTCGCCAGCTATGGCAACGTCATCGTGGTCACCATCAACTACCGCCTCGGCGTGCTGGGTGAGACGCGGCGCGGCGTTTCCACTGCCGTCCCAGAGCCGTGCCGGAGCCGTGCCGGACGGGTTCCGGCGCCGGCACTGCTCGGTTTTTCTTCGTCCCAGATTCTTTGTTGCAAGAAGAATCTTGTAAAGAATCTGGGACGAGGAACGGAGGAGGCGCGGCGCGCCCTCCGCGTTGTCATCCCGTGCCACTCTGCTCCATCTGACCTCCGCCCCCTCCGTTTTCGAAGCGTAGCCTCCATTTAGTGTTGTTTTGGTGGGGTGGGAGTGTGTTTATTGTTGTTGTTGTCAATTTTATTCCCCGTGCTTGCGTCCCTCCATCGGCTTCGTGCCTTGAGATGAGGAATCGATGAAGAAATCTCGCAGGGATTCGCGTGCCGCGCGGCGACGGTCGCTCCCGCGCAGAACACTCTGCCCACGCGGCCCGCAATGCGATGGGGTCAACGGGGTCAACGGGGTCAACGGCGTCCATCGCCGAGGTCACCATGGGGGCCACGTGACTGGTGGGGGGGGGGGGGGATCACCCAAGCAATGGTCCGTGCCCTGCCCTGCGGTTCTCGTCATAACAACAGCACCAACAACAATGGGACCCCCCATGTTAAAATCGAGGAGAGTCTGCAGACTTGTTTTAGAGGGTCCTGCGACACGGAGATTCGGAGGTGTGGATCTAGAAACGTCCCAAGAGGGGGCGGGGGGGGGGCGGTCGATACGGAAATGTCAAGATTTTTAATTAGGCCCTGTATTAATAATAAATAAACATTTAGTGTATTTTATCTGGTAAATATCAATCAATAGTTTGGGGTATCTGGGGTGGGGGGTGAGGGAGCGGAGGGATGGGTGGGGGAGGGGTAGGGGAAATCGCCCCCATTGGATAACTGTCCAATATAAATGAACGAGTGTCTGGCGCTCACAAATGCATCGGGATGAGGCAGTGTACCTGGACAAAACCCATGCCTGCGAGGCCGGGGTAGGGGGTGGGGGGGGTAAGCGCCCAAAGTTCCACACAGATGTATTCAAGAATCCACCGTTGTCTCCGCGTCAGCCCTATCCTACACGGCACCTGCTCCCGGCCAGGGCAGCGTCCCGTTGCAGCCGGTTAGCCCGGGCTCCGATGCCTGCTCGGCTTTCGAGAGGTGTTGGGAGCGGGCGCGCGGTGGTGGTGGGGGGGAGGGTGGTGGTGGGGGGGGGAAGGTGGGGGGGGGCTGGTCACGGCGGGCGGGCGCGAGCGCCGGGCACATCTGGCCGTCGCCGCGCTGCCGCCGTGCCGCTCGATCGCCGTAGATTACATTAGCATAGAGCGGGGCGGGCTGGGGGGAGAGTGGGCGAGGGGGTGAGCGCGAGGAGAGTGATTTATGGTGGGTCGCCACCACCCCCCCCACCGCTCCTGCGATCCAACGATCGCACCGCCCCCGCCGTGCGCTCCTCGCAAGGCGCCGAGGGTGACCGCGGGAACAGCCGGGGGCTCGCCGCTCGGCCCACATTGTCCACCTCTCTCGATGTCTCTCGGCCGCAGTGGCCGCCGTCATCTTCCAGCACGAAGATTGTCTCTCAAATGCATTGTTCACCTTCATTGTCCATCACTCTCAAGTCTCTCGGCCGCATTGTCCACCACTGTCATTGCTTGTTGTGTACATTGTCCATCGTCTGCATTGTCCACCGTTCCCTTTGTTTCTTATTGACATCGCCGTGTCATCCACGTTAAGAACCTCGCACACTCAGACCCTGGCACGCTCAACACTAAACCGCGTCACCAGACAGAGCGGGCACTGCACAGGTAGAACGCGCGCCATCCCCGGACACCCTCGCTCATCTCGAGGGGATCATCCGCGTGAGATGTTGAAATAAATCAATAATTCCCACGAGAAGAATGATCTTCGGTTTTCGATGGAGGCCGCCCTCCGCCGCGGCGTCTCGCAGCGCCGTGCACGCGGCAAGCGGTTCGCATCATCGCACCCCCAGCGGCAGCTCTCTCTGCGTGGCGCGCGGTGACTCGGCACGACGCCCGCGAGCCGGCATCGGTCTCCTGCCAGGCGGGGTCAACGATTGCTGCTGCGTGGTCGAGCCTAGGGCACCCCCAGCGGCAGCTGTCCCTGTACGCAAACAGCCAGAACCACGGCAACGCGCATGCGGCGCACAGCGCCTCGGCGCGACCACCGCCACCGCGGCCGTCATCGCCCCCCGTCCGTCCGTCTCCCCCCCCCCAACCCCCGCCAGGGTTCCTGAGCACGCACGATCAGTCGGCACGCGGGAACTTCGGCCTCCTCGACCAGATCCAGGCCCTGCGCTGGATCAGCGACAACATCGCCGGCTTCGGCGGGGACCCCCAGCGCGTCACCGTGTTCGGCTCCGGCGCCGGCGCCTCCTGCGTCAACCTGCTCACGTTGTCCCACCACTCGGAAGGTGAAAGGGAGGGGGGGGGGAGCGACCCTCTTTGCCGTCCCAGCAACCCAGGGCGGCCGCCCTGGTCAATACCGCGGCGGGAATCGACCGTTGCCACCTCCGAACTCGATTTTATTTGCGAACAATTCCAGACATCGTTGATGTCGCCTGGACGTGAATGACGATGTGTTGTCCATGCGTGCGCCTTCCCGCTCCCTCCCTCCTGGCTCCTATCTCTCTCTCTCTCTCCTCCCTCTATCCTCCGTCTCCTGGCCCTCTCTCGCTACGGCGTGGAGCAGGGCTCTTCCAGAGAGCGATCACGCAGAGCGGGACAGCGCTGTCCAGCTGGGCCATCAACTACGACCCCAGCAAGTACGCGCACACGCTGGCGACGCGCGTGGGCTGCGGCGCGCCGCTCAACACGCAGGTAGCGTGACGCGGCACACACCCACAGAGACAAAGGTCCTTCCCCCTCCCCGAATAGCCTCGACATAATAATAGAGGTGTTGTGTCGAGACCCTCCACCACCCGACACGGCCAATCGGCAAGGGATTTGTCCCGTCAACAAAACGCCCGATGATGCTGGATGTGATTGCCAGCATAATGTCGTACTCAGATTGTAAATGAGAATAGGTTTTCCCTTTTTTCTGGCAACAAAACAGTTGTTAAGATGTTAGAACACCAAACTGGTGTTAGACCAGAGTACGCCTGCTACGTGTTAAACAGCCCTTTGGCGTCCTCTGGTCTAACACCCCGCAAGCAGTTACGGGACCGGTTCAGTCATTTGTCACTGCTGTTGACCGAAAGTGGGAATCGAACTCGGGATGCCGACTTCAGCAGCACGATCCGCTAACCGCTGCTGACACTGCATGCGTGGGCGCATGCGTGCGTGGGTGGGCGCGTGCGTGCGTGGACGCGTGCGTGGACGCGTGCGTGCGTGCGTGCCTCCGAGTGCCACCGCTCACGGCCCAAACGTCACTCTGGCACTCTGCGCGTGCACGTTCAGCATGATGACGATGACGGACAGCGACCTGCCCCAACAGCCCGTGTAGGCCACCTGGGGGGAAGCCTTTGCTTTTGCCTGCAGACGCAGGAGAGAGGGTGGAGCGCGCGATAACGACCGCCGGCACTTGGCCCCGACAGCCCGTCGCGGTGGCGGCGGGAGACCCTCTGCCTCTCTGCCTTCTTCTGGCGCAGGACATGGTGGAGTGCTTGCGCTCGAGGTCGGCGCGCGAGCTCGTGGAGCAGGACGTGCAGCCGGCGCGCTACCACATCGCCTTCGGGCCCGTCATCGACGGCGACGTCATCCCGGACGACCCGCAGATCCTCATGGAGCAGGGCGAGTTCCTCAACTACGACGTGATGATGGGCATCAACCAGGGCGAGGGCTTCAAGTTCGTGGAGAACATGGTGGACGGCGAGGACGGCGTCACGAGCAGCGACTTCGACTTCGCCGTCTCCAACTTCGTGGACAACCTCTACGGCTACCCGGAGGTGAGGGGCACGGGGGGGGGGGGGGCGGTGAGGGACGTGGGCACGGGGGGGTGAGGTGAAGGACGTGGGCATGGTTTGAGTGAACACAACCACTGTAGCGTGATGATTCCACAGCTGTGCAAGCCTCTCAAATCCCCCGAACTCCCACCGCCTCTGTCTGCCGGGCAGCACCAATGAGCTCGCCAATAGGAACACCGGGGCCTGAGGGTTAAGGGTTTAGGGCCCTTTGCCCGCAACACCACACATGAAGTATACTCTTAGTTTTTTCGGTAAAGTCACGTAGGTAAAAAAAAAATGAAATTAAAATTAATAAAAATCACGACGTTTCGGAGGTAACACAAGTCTCCGAAACGTCGTGATTTTTATTATTTTATTATTTTTTTCTACCTACGTGACTTTACCGAAAAAAAACTAAGAGTATGAATCCTCGCAGTCACGAAAGCTTCAAATCTAGAACACACATGAAGTATTTGTTTTCATTTTACCTTGTAAATCGTCGTCACCGCCGCCGCCGCCGCCGTCACTCTCAGCAGGGCAAGGACGAGCTCCGCGAGACCATCAAGTTCATGTACACCGACTGGGCGGACCGCGACAACGCCGAGACGCGCCGCAAGACGCTGCTGGCCCTCTTCACGGACCACCAGTGGGTGGCTCCCGCCGTCGCCACGGCCGACCTGCACGCGCAGTACGGCTCGCCCACCTACGTCTACGCCTTCTACCACCACTGCCAGAGCGAGATGAAGCCCGCGTGGGCGGACGCGGCGCACGGCGACGAGATCCCGTACGTATTCGGCGTGCCCATGGTGGGCCCCACGGAACTCTTCCCGTGCAACTTCTCCAAGAACGACGTCATGCTGAGCGCCGTCGTCATGACCTACTGGAGCAACTTCGCCAAGACCGGGTGAGCAAAGCTGCGGCCCGTGTGTTTGTGTGCGCGTGCGTATCCGGCGGTCATCTCGGACGGTCAATCCGTGGCACCCTGGAGCTGTCCCATGACCGTCCTGCCAACAGAGCCTTCGACGCTTCACGCGGCCTTGAAACGCGCCCGTCCCGGCACGGAATTAAACCTCGCGTTGTTGCCTCCCGTCGTGTCCCTCCCGTCGTGTCCCGCGCAGCGACCCGAATTCTCCAGTGCCGCAGGACACCAAGTTCATCCACACGAAGCCCAACCGCTTCGAGGAGGTGGCCTGGTCCAAGTACAACCCCAAGGACCAGCACTACCTGCACATCGGCCTCAAGCCGCGCGTGCGCGAGCACTACCGCGCCAATAAGGTGGGTACCGTCGTAGTGGTAGCAGCAGTAACCCCGGGGCACTACCGCGCCAACAAGGTGGGTACCGTCGTAGTGGTAGTACCAGTAACCCGGGGCACTACCGCGCCAACAAGGTGGGTACCGTCGTAGTAGTAGTACCCATAACCCGGGGCACTACCACGCCAACAAGGTGGGTACCGTCGTAGTGGTAGTACCCATAACCCGGGGCACTACCACGCCAACAAGGTGGGTACCGTCGTAGTAGTAGTACCGGTAACCCAGGGCACTACCGCGCCAACAAGGTGGGCACCATCGTAGTAGTAGCACCGGTAACCCAGGGCACTACCACGCCAACAAGGTGGGTACCGTCGTAGTGGTAGTAGCACCGGTAACCCGAGGCACTATCACGCCAACAAGGTGGGTACCGTCGTAGTAGTAGCACCGGTAACCCTGGGGCACTACCACGCCAACAAGGTGAGTACCATCGTAGTAGTAGTACCACCAGCTTGCTGGCGCGCCACTAGGGACACGCGCGTTACTCCGGCCGAAGAGTTCCGTTCAGCAAACGTTGCTGGTGTGTGCGCAAGCGCGAGGGCTTGGTTACCGGCGGTAACGCGCTTGCCCCTTGTCGTTGCGGAGGTTCGCGGTTTGGGTTCGGCAGGCTGCCCTGGTTAATAACGCAGTGGGGGGGGGGGGGGGGGGGGGGAGGCTGCGGTGTCGTCCCTAGAAAATCTCTGCGCCGTAAAGATTCCGTGACTTTACTCAAGGAGTAGGAAAGAGTAGGCCAATGTGTGCCAGCGTCACCATTAGCCCGATTTAACCCCCGATTTACTGACCTCATTGCCACCGTTGGGAGGAGTGGCGGCGCTGTGGTTTTTGCGCACCGCACGGCGCCGCTCGGTGACATCCGCTCCCCAGCGTCCCCATTCACCTGCCCACCCCCCCTCTCTCTCGCTCGATCTGCGCCCGCCGTCCGCAGGTGGCGTTCTGGCTGGAGCTGGTGCCGCACCTGCACAGCCTGCACGACATCAACCCGTACCTGTCCACCACGACGCGCGTGCCGTCGCTCGACCACGGCGGCGGCTACCCCACCATGCGGCCCAACAAGTGGGTGACGCCGACCAACCGGCCGGGCCTGGGCAGCTCCCCGCCCTTCGCGTCCCGGAACCCCCCGGACAACGACCGGAAGACGTTTGGCGTCGGCGGCGGCCCCAACCCTGCGCTGCTGGAGAGCCAGCGCGACTACAGCACGGAGCTGAGCGTCACCATCGCGGTGGGCGCCTCGCTGCTCTTCCTCAACGTGCTCGCCTTCGCCGCGCTCTACTACCGCAAGGACAAGCGCTACGTCGTCAACTCGCACCGCCGCCACCGCAGCCCCCAGCACGGCGGCCTCGGCGGCGCCGCCAACGACCTGTCGCTGCGCCACCCGCCGCCCGAGGAGGAGATCATGTCCCTGCAGCTCAAGCACGGCGGCGGCCGCGACGGCGAACCCCCGCCGGGCTCCGGCGCGCCCGGCTGCTACGGCGGGCCCGGCCCCGGCGGCGGCGGCGGCGGCTTCCCGCCCGACTACACGCTGGCGCTGCGGCGCTCGCCGGACGACGTTCCGCTCATGACGCCGAGCACCATCGCGATGATCCCCAACTCGCTCGCGCCCGGTGTGGCCCACCTCCACCAGCAGCAGCAGCAGCAGCTCCACCACGGCCTGCACCTCTCGCAGGCGCAGCCGCTTCACGCCTTCGGCGCGTTCGGGCAGCCGGGCGCGGGCATGGGCCCGCCGTCCGCCGGGGGGGTCGGCGCCGCGGGGATTAACAGCGCCACCCTCCCGCACTCGCGCTCGACCACCCGGGTGTAGCGCGCGTCGACGGTGCCAGCGAGGCGGCGGGGGGGAAAGGGGATGGGGGGGGAGGGGGAGGGCGGAACGCGCCGACGCATTTGCTCGGACGGACTCAAGCGGGGTGTTTCCCCGTCCGACCGTTGGGAGAGTAACAATAATCGCCTCGCCGGAGATTTCCACGCGGCTGGGTGGAGGCGGCCGCGCACGCTGGTCTCGTAGGGCTGCGCGTCCGTCGCCGCCCGAGTTGGACTCGCGGAGAGACGGGAGGGGATCGGACGGTCGGCGGTGTTCTCCCGCGTGAGAACGGGACGGTGCCGCTCGACGGCTTGGCGGCGGCGCGACACGCGGGAGATTGACCCCGGCGATGGAGCTGGTGCCGCGGCGCTGCCGTAAAGCCGAGCGACGACTCGGGGGACGCTCGGCCGAGCGCCGGCGGAGAAGACGGCGCGCCGTTCCCTGGGTTGCGGCAAAAAAAATCGACGGCGCCGTGGAATGGAACTCCCCGTTGCATAGTGCGTTGGTCGCCGTCTGGGAGGCGTCGAGCGGCCGCCACTTCGTATTGTCCGAGTCGAGAACGAGTTCGGGGGAGGCGGAGGGGAATATTCACGGCGACGAGCCACAGTCACAGGAACGGTGCGGAAGGCTCGTGGAGAGCCGGAGAGCCGGGGGAGCTGAGGTCATGACCTCGCGTCTCAACAGGGCCCCCCCCCCCCCTTCGCTGCCCCCCCCACCCCCCTCCAGTTCACGCCGTGAAACGTGCCCGTGCGTTGCGCGCGTGCGCCCTGTGGCAACACGGCGCGACGCGTCTGCTGCTATGGGTGATGTGTGTTTTTGTGTATTTGTTTTATATACAGTATATATATAGCATAACGGTAATAATGTTATGTAAATTGGTAATTACCCGTACATTTGGAAAGCGACTAACATAGTGAGTAACGGAGTTACAGAAATGGCAGATATCACGGGCGAGTGCGCGTCGGGGGCTTGGCAGCCGTGGAGCCGAGTGACGCTCCGTGGTGGAGGAGTGGAGCTGAGTGACGCTCCGTGGTGGAGGAGTGGAGCCGAGCGACGCTCCGTGGAGGAGGAGTGGAGCCGAGCGACGCTCCGTGGAGGTGGAGTGGAGCTGAGTGACGCTCCGTGGAGGCGGAGTGGAGCTGAGTGACGCTCCGTGGAGGTGGAGTGGAGCTGAGTGACTCTCCGTGGAGGTGGAGTGGAGCTGAGTGACGCTCCGTGGAGGAGTGGAGCTCAGTGACGCTCCGTGGAGGAAGAGTGGAGCTGAGTGACGCTCTGTGGTGGTGGAGTGGAGCTGAGTGACGCTCCGTGGAGGTGGAGTGGAGCTGAGTGACGCTCTGTGGAGGTGGAGTGGAGCTGAGTGACGCTCTGTGGTGGTGGAGTGGAGCTGAGTGACGCTCCGTGGAGGTGGAGTGGAGCTGAGTGACGCTCCGTGGAGGAGTGGAGTTGAGTGACGCTCCGTGGTGGAGGAGTGGAGCTGAGTGACGCTCCGTGGAGGTGGAGTGGAGCTGAGTGACGCTCCGTGGAGGAGGAGTGGAGCTGAGTGACGCTCTGTGGTGGTGGAGTGGAGCTGAGTGACGCTCCGTGGAGGTGGAGTGGAGCTGAGTGACGCTCCGTGGAGGTGGAGTGGAGCTGAGTGACGCTCCGTGGTGGAGTGGAGCTGAGTGACGCTCCGTGGAGGTGGAGTGGAGCTGAGTGACGCTCCGTGGAGGTGGAGTGGAGCTGAGTGACGCTCCGTGGAGGAGGAGTGGAGCTGAGTGACGCTCCGTGGTGGAGGAGTGGAGCTGAGTGACGCTCCGTGGTGGAGCCAAGCTTATCCGCTAGTGCTGCGCCATGCCAACGGAATCCCCATAGCGCTCCAAATCAGGACTTTGGGTACCAGCGACACTCACCCTCCCATGTCGACGGCACCTTTACCAAGTCACGAGTGACACGTTGATAAAAGCTGTGCGGTCTTTCACGCTGACCACCTAGGGTCAAGGTCAAAGTGATTTCCTTCTCAAATGAGCCGAGGCAAAGCTCGCCTCCCCTCTTCAGCGCAGAGCCATCGGTACATCATTTTAACGACCTCGGAGGGATGATGGGCTGGGTTGATCCGTAACCAGAATCTGAGGCTCGCGACCTTCCGATTGCTTGCTCAAACCGCTGAGCCACCTGCCCCGAATTATGGAATGTGCGTCGATAACTGGAAGTCTTGAGATTTTAATCGTCAAGTAACTTCGATCTACCGTGGAAACAAACGCTTTCTCTTACAATGCTAACAAAAAGTAGCGACGGCGACGGAAGAAAAACGGCCAGAAAGTTTCTCCGTGAGAATCTTTCCAAAACCGTTTTATTCCCAAAAGAAACGTAGCAAGGCCCCCCCCCCTCCTCCCAGCTTAAAAAACACACAATACGCACGTGTGTAACACGCCAGACAGCTTTCGTTCGCTCTCAGCGTGAGAGAATGAATCGAGGCGCAGGATGTCACGGAGAGACGCGGGGAAGGTGAAGGTAGCCCCAGAACCGGTGCTACGAACAAATTGCCCCAGCTCTGCGATCCTCTATTGGCATGTTTGGCCAACTCCATTAACGAGCGTTTCGCAAACCTCTCCTTCACCACTCGCGCACACGTCCCGTCTTTCGCCGTCATGGGAATCTCCCCCAATTGGAACGTCCAAGTGCAATTCATCCTTAAGTTCAGATGCGTACAAATTCCCGGGAAAGGCGGCTTATCTGAAGCGCCGATTTCCACAGATCGTACCGTCCGATCGATCGTATCCTCTCCCGTGGTGGAGAGGGGGGGAGAGTGGGGAACCGTTCTCTTACCGAGGGTCTATACAGAACGTTCAAAAAGAGTTTTGGTCGGAGCAACACAGCGCAAAAATGTAGTGCCATCAAAGCATAACGCGAAAGATAATTAAGGGCCCACCGCCACCGTTTGCCAAATCGAACAAAATATTGCCCCCCTACCAAAATCAGTGCGGTTAACATGCTTGCAGTGGCGGATATCGTCTCTGGGCCGTTTAGAAGCGGCAGGCCTCAGCGTGGCTGTGTGATGATGGAAGTCGCGTGCCGTGTGGGTGGGTGGGGATGCTGCCACTTTATCGACTGTAGAGCAAAACCCGCACGTGTTTCTCAGTCGGCCACTGGCTCTGTGTTATGATGATGATGATGATTAATCTAGTTTGTGGTGAATTTCAAATACACCGGAGCCAAACCTCGATCGAAATCAGTGCCTGGTCACCCGAACAGAGATGTCAATTGCCCCGGGCAGGTGGCAAAACCTTGTCGTGCGCCGGATTATGTTAATCAGCCGGTGGGAACCTGGCACGGGGCTGGATTGTTCTCCACTCCGCTACTGGTACCCACTTTCCCAGCCACAGTTCTCCGATTGTCGTGTGAAGTGAATCTGATTACGAAGCACGACAGGGTTTTTTATTATCATTATTATTATTCTTATTCTCACTTGGGGCCCACTATCGTAGCGAGAGACGGTGAATCCCGGGCGGGGTGGGCTCAACGTGTACATAGAGGGCGGTGCCGGTGGGTTGCGTGGAGCGGTCCAACGTCGCGTATCCGACTCGCCGTGTGGACAATGTTGATAGGCGGACCCTGGGAAAAGGGAGAAAATGGGAACATCCATGGAGACGATGAATCGTTTTCCACAAATTGGTGTACCTTGGCAAAATAGTAAAACGCAGGCTGCTCTCGAAGCAAGGCAAGTGTAGCACGCGAGGGTTCAGGACGCGTTATTGAGCATGGAGAGGGTCAGAATCGTGAACGTTTGTCACACCATGTGTGCACACATTGCACCTGGGGGCAGGGGGGGGGGGGTGCGAGGGGGGGGGGGGGCGGTTAATCGGTTCGGGGTAGACACGTGACGGTCGGATGCGTGACGGTGTATCGTACACGCGGAGGCATGTGCACTCGACGCGTGTGCGACGGTGTGGGATCGCCGAGATTTTTTTTCCCCCGCGGTTTATACGACGCCGCTGTGATGGCCATGTCCCGCGTGTGCGCAGGGCGTGTGCACAGGACGTGTGCACAGGACGTTTGTGATGTCACCAGACGGCCGCTATACAGGAGCCACTGTCAAAATAGTGTGCGGGGAACCCGTTGAATAACGCGGAGGTGCCCATGGGTCCACGCAGAACCTCTCACCGGCTCTTCTCGGACGAGGAATTCACCAGCTCATCCCACCACATGGATTCTTCGTCAGCTCTTTGGAATGCTCGCAGACTCGCGCTCGTTACTAGTCTTACAGATGATCGCACCCCCCCCCCCCTCTCTCTCCACCCCCGCACACGGGCCACAGACTCATGTCGCACACGGAAATTTCATCCTTTCATCTTCCCCAACAAAAATGTAAACAGACCAGACGCGGATGGAGAAACTTTACAAAAGGGAAGGCGGGGAGGTACCGAAATGTCAAGCTTTACAAACGGGGGGGGCCTTACCTTAATGGGAACAGAAGACACAATGTATCTAGTATTGGCCAAATAACCCAATGCTGAAAAATCTTGCAAATAACCCAATTGTGGGCTTATCCACAGCAGCAAGATTGCCCCCTTTTGTAAACAAAAATTGACAGGACTCTCCTGAAAAAAGATTTGAGACTTGGTGAAGCTTTCATGGGTAAACAAGCGAACTTATCGTCATTTCAAAAACAAACTCAAAAAAAGGGAAGTCTCTTTCTGCCTCTCACCTCGTACACCCAGACCCCTGGCTTCACGACGAATCACGGCTGGGTTCCAAATCCAGTTTCATCTTTAAATGAGAACCGTGCCTCCCCGATCCTCGCCACTCCGTGCCACTCCATGCCACGCCGTGCCACTCCACATCATCCACAGACACAACCAGAGTTGTATAATTTTGAGCACAAGAAGCTGCAGCGTCTACTGTTAGGAACATTATTTATTTGTGCGATGCTGTGAATGGTCACCCCGTTTACCCGGCTGTAGTTTTTATCTGCCGGCGAATTCCAATAAAAGTCCGATTCGGTATCGCCACGTTGGTCCCAGCGCCTTCTCTTCAAGCTGCGGGAGTGACATTCGTCCGCATCGTCCGTGAGCAATCCACTGCTGGATGAAGGCCTCCCACTCCCCAAGACGTCCGCTGTCTCTCGATGCATCGGTCCGCCTCGCTGCTGCACACAAGCCAATTTAATCACTCCGTCTCCGCGGTCGATGTCCTCTCGCCCATGGTTGTTTTCCTTCGGCTGCCACTCCATAGTTAAGTGGACCATCGTCTGGGGTTGACACCTTGTCCGCAGACCAAACACACGTTTCAGGGTAGGCACTGGGTCTATACTCAAAACAATTCCTGCCACCTGAACTCAGATGCCATAACCTGGACTGCCCAGGTGGGTCACGTGTGGACAGGTGACAACGGTCGAGATGACCTCTCGAACTTGTGCATGTTCTCAAATCCACACATTCCTCTTTCTGCGTGTGTCAGTCTCTGCACGTGAAACATTCGTGACGAAATAATCAGGTCCGCTCCAACCGCAACTAACCTCACAACTGAACATTTATTGGCAAATAATTAAAACGATGAGCGACTGCGATTGATATCTAGGACGGCGTGAGTGTTCAGCCACAGCATAATCAACCTTCCAACAACAATGGGTATAAAGTATAAAAACATAAATGCTTGGATTCTCAAGTACGATCTGTCATTTGGTACACGTGGAAATTTAAACAACTGGGAGTTTGTGTTGCAAAGTTCATGGACAGAGGCAAATGGAAGGCCCATGATTTTCCGACGTTTGAAAGTAGACGTGAATCACATTGACGGAGAGATAACCAGGGTGTGACTGGCATCGGTGTTCCACAGATTGATTCTTTTTGGGATATTTTGATTTGACGTGCGGAAAAAAAACCGATGCAATTCATTGTGGCCACACCGCAAACGAGCTCTCCGCTTCCCATGCCAAGTAACACGAGATCACAGACGGGAGAGTTTTAAACAAGGAATCGATCAACCGTATGAACACACAAAACAAAGTGATTGTAATTCATAAAAAAATAATTAAGAGCAAAACTAATACTTTCAAAGGCAGCACAAAGTCATGGACCGGCTCTTCATGCTCTCCGATTGGTCAACAATAACGCACAACCACCATATACGTCACTTCCTGAACTTTCCTGAATTCACAGTCTTCTTTTTTATATAACAAACCCAATATTTCTCGCCGATAAACGAGCGTAAAGCTAAGTGCCATTGTTTGCTACCGTCCAATGCCGCACGGCGGCTCAGAACCGTTTGCATGGGTCACATGGGTGTCAAGGACATGGAGTCAGGGGTCGTGGCTGAGACAGGCAAGGGGCGAATTCCTCGCCAATTACTGTAATCGCAAACGCAGGGCTCATCGCGTAGATGTGGCAGCAAGCAGCAAGCCTTGCGGTGCGAGACCCTGCCAGAGTGGCAGATGTGGGGTCAGAGGCAGGGCTAGTACTAATGGCTAGTTGGTTAGGGTTGGAGGCAGGGTGAGTACTAATGGCTAGTTGGTTAGGGTTGGAGGCAGGGTGAGTACTAATGGCTAGTTGGTTAGGGTTGGAAGCAGGGCTAGTACTAATGGCTAGTTGGTTAGGGTTGGAAGCAGAGCTAGTACAAATGGCTAGTTGGTTAGGGTTGAAGGCAGGGTGAGTACTAATGGCTAGTTGGTTAGGGTTGGAGACAGGGTGAGTACTAATGGCTAGTTGGTTAGGGTTGGAGACAGGGTGAGTACTAATGGCTAGTTGGTTAGGGTTGGAAGCAGGGCTAGTACTAATGGCTAGTTGGTTAGGGTTGGAAGCAGGGCTAGTACTAACGGCTAGTTGGTTAGGGTTGGAAGCAGGGCTAGTACTAACGGCTAGTTGGTTAGGCTCAGGGATAGTGCAAGCTAGTTTTATGGGCAGAGCTACACCAGCTAATCAAATGCTAGCTGGAAGGTACTTTTGGCCTACTCTTCCACGCTGGCCAGTACACACCTTGGAATAGGTGGCAGTAGCCATTCACTTTAACCCACGACACGCGACATGCCGACCGACCAGAGCCACGTGTAGGTGAAACGCACGGTGAGGTGAGGTGGGATGCATCGTGAGGTAGTCTCGGGACAGAAACCACAGCTGGGTGAGCAATCGTCTTGGTGCTGGTAGCAGCGGGATGCGCCGCCTGCAGCTCCGCATCCTCACCTCTGTGTACTCGCTTCTCTATTGCATTCGCAGTGGTATTGTAATAAGTATAGTGTGCTGCCAAGCCAGCTGGCCTTGGTTGAATAGCCCGCTCTTCACGAACGGCAGAGCCACCTGTGCCCACGAACTCACAGGCACAAACAAACAAAAAATATGTCAAGACAAAGATCCTTCCCCTGTGTAGCCACACAGACTGTTGGGGCAAGCGCGAAGAAAGGTGGCAGTGCACAAGATGGGTTGTGTGGCCAAGCCTCACGCCCAGCCGTCTTTGGCTCCAACCTGTTGATGTTTACATAAGATACTCATTTAAGGCTAAGTGAACCTTGGGGAGTCCCGAGGCCGGTTTAAGATAACTCGCCGGTGACACACGCGCTCTGCCAAAGGCCCCGTGAAAGGACAGATGCGGGGGCACCGGTACGGCGATCGAGCGAGGGTGGGGGGGGGGGGGGAAGACCTTGAGCTGCCTGTACGGCGAGGGGGGCAGCCTCAGTACTTGAAGGCCCCAGCGCGTCCGGCGCGAACGACAAAGTCTTTGATGAGCGGCTCCTCGAGCCTCTCGAACGCCTTCGTCTGCGTGACGGCCGTCAGATGGTTCACGCAGAAACGGAAGCAGAACTCCTCCAGGTCCTGGTGCGAACGTGGCGGTGGTAGTGGCAAGGCGGTCGGTCGGTCGGTCGGTGGCGATTGGTGGCCGGTGATGGCAGCGGAGGGGTTGGGTGGCCGCGCCGGGCGGTGTGGCAGGTGAGGCGTGGAGGTTATCCCTCCCAGTGCGACAGGAGAGAAGGGGATCGAATGTGAGCAGCGAACACGGTCGTCGCACACCCTCGCTCGCTCGCGTGAGCTCGTGGCACTGCCGGTGTGTTCTTTACAGCTCCAGCTATGTCAGTCCACTGCTGGATGAGGCCCAGGCCATGCAGGTCGTGAGAATTACTTCGCCACGCTGGTCAATGTGAGCTTGTGAAGGCAGGCAGCATAGATTTCCCGCACCTCTGATGAGCGCGGTTGGCGGCGTACGGTGCAAAAAGAAGTTCAATAGATGTGGCAGCATCTAGATGTGGCAGCATCTATTGAACTTCAATACGTGCTGCCAAAAGTGCACCACTGAATTTTGCTGCGCTGCCCCGCTGGCTCCCCACAAGATAGCACCCGAAAAAGCCTCCAACACCCGTTGCGCGCCACGGACACCCACCCAAACACTTAACCTGCTCAGCTTCCGAGACCTGATGAGACCGCGCACGCACTGCCGGCGTTTCCGCCACAATTCGCATCCATTAAACTCTCGCGCAGGCCACGTCCACTTCTCTTCAGCTTCCGCTGCACCGTACCCCTCCATCGCCGCCATCCCCGCCCTCCCTTTCCCCCTGCCACGCTCGAAACTTATTTTGTTCCATCACCTCTGCTCACACCGTGTGCTACCCAATAACTCGGCACGCCCTCCCTTGGACGAGTGCGGAAGACGATGAAGACGAAGACGGGCGACTACGGCGTCGCCGCGAGGAGCTCGTACCTTGGCGTCGTACTTGACGGCGGCGGCGAACAGCATGATGCCGTTCTCGATGCTGATGCCCTTCTTGATGATCTGCTGGCACAGCTGCTTGAGTCCCAGCTCGCAGTACGACGTGGCCAGGTCGAGTAGGCCTGGCGACACGTGAGCGCGCACACACACGACCGTTACAGTAAATAAATATTATAATAAAATAATAACAATAATATAAAAACCGCCGTTACGACAGTTTTCTCCGTTGAGGAGATGGCGTCGGGAAAAAAAAACGCCGGTCGCGGTGCAACACGGCAGAGGTCGCAAACGGGTTTTGATTCCTTACCCGTACCCGGCCGCACCAGGGTCGCAAACGGGTACCCGTACCCGTACCCTACCCCCGTACCCGGCCGGGTACGGGTATCGGGTACCTGATTGCGACCTCTGGGATGAAGCCATGTTGCAGGCGCGGGTGGGTTGATTCTAGGAACTTGAATTGTGAGAAGAGACAAGACGTTGGGAAATGAGTGACAAACAGTTACTCACCAGTGACTCACGGCCTACCCTACCCGGCCGCACCAGGGTCGCAAACGGGTACCCGTACCCGTACCCGGCCGGGTAAGGGGAACCGGGTATCGGGTAGGGTACGAGTATCGGGTACCCGGTTGCGACCTCTGCACTGCCCCCAACCCCCACCCCTTTCCGGCCTCACCGATGGCGTCCTCTGGCGGCAGGCTCACGGTGTCGGTGTAGAGGTACTGCAGGAAGGCGCGGTAGACGGCGTAGGTAAACTGTTCGATCTCGATCTCGTCTTTGCCGTCCTCGTTCCAGTGCGACTGGAACATGGAGCGGAAGTGCTCGCAGCGGATCTTCAGCACCACCTTGTGCACGTGGATGAAGCGCCCGTCGACGCAGAAGCGCAGGTCACTCGTCTCGGGGTTGTCAAACTCCTTCTTCATCGACTGCGCCATCGTCTCGTGGTCATCTATGTCTGGCCAAGAGGGGGGCGACGAGAGGGGGGCGTTCGTGAGTCACGTGGGGGTCACGCAGAGGTCGCAACGGAATCAGGGGGGGGGGGGGAGCGGGGGGCAGTTTTCGCCGATTGGTCCTAAAGATTTGGACAGTGTCCCTCGCCTGGTGGAGCCCCCTGCTCCAAATTAGTAACATTTTATAAATTACTCAAATTACCGGATTACAAGACGCGCCGAAATGTACGTCATTGGTGACCATCAATTTACTCCGCTTGCGAACCTGCTTTAATCACAGGCAGTGGCTGAACCAAGGACTCGAACTCTCAGCGGTGCAAGCTCAGCGCTCCGACCTCCGAGCCGCCCGGCTACCTCACGGCATTTCCCTCGTGAAAAGTCACGACGGGAACCTTGCCATCACACACAACTGTGACCTCGAGATAACATTCGTCAGGCAAACCACTGTTGGAATTCGCCACCCCGAGCATTACCGACCAGGTGGCCGAAACCCGGAGTGGAACCCGGCCTCAGCATCTCGGTCCGTCTGACCGACCGACCCACCCGGCCCACCTCTCCCTCAACCCCCGAACCTCGTGGGCCCCGGACGGTCTGCCCCCCCCCCCCCCCACCTGGCACCCACCCCCCCTACCCCATGGAGGGGCAGCAGCCGCTCTCTCACCAATGGCGAGGAGGCGCCACATGACGGGCGGCGACGCGAAGCAGGCGAACACGTCGTCGGTGCTGGCGAACTGCGTGAGTCTGGGCGCCGCGACCGACTGCCCCCGGCACTGGCCCCACATGTACACGGAGCCCGAGCAGGTGCGGCCCGCCGAGGTGTGCGTAAAGTGGCATGCTGCTACCTCCGTGAACCTGCTCGCACGCGCGCACACACACACACACGCGTACACACACGTACACACACGTACACACACACACGCACACACAGACACACGCACACACGCACACACAGACACACATACACTTCATATAGCCTTTATAGACTGTTGGGGAAAGTGCTGTTAACGAGTAGCACCTGCGAAAGTCGGCACGGCACACGAGGGGGTGGGTGGACAGCACCACGCCCGGCCACCTTTCTCTCCCCGATGGTGATGTTAACAGATTCTGCGAGGTTTTAATTTAAAGCTGAGTCAACCTAGGGGTGGCCCAGGGCCGGTTCAGATATTTGTCACCGCTGAGCGGCAATCGAAGCTCCGGTCACCAGGTTCGCATGTGCGGCGTGCAAGCCTCTACATTACCACCCCGCACAGATCCACGCACCCACCCACGCACGCACACAGTTAGATAGATCACCAGCCACAAATCTATCTCCTGCCGGATGAAGGCCTCCTCAAGCAGTCTCGTCGGGTTTAAAACAGGTGGGGGGAGGGGGCGGTGGGTGGGGGGAGGGGGCGGTGGGTGGGGAGGGTGATCCCTGACCTCTCCTCTTCAAAGGAGATCTGGACGGGTGTCTGCAGGTTCGTCTTGTTGCCGATGCCCAGCTGCCCGTACGAGTTGGCGCCCCAGGCGTGGACCGATCCGTCGTCAGCCAGCGCGATGGTGTGAGCGTAGCCACACACGACCTGTCGTCGCGCGTGACAAACACGCACACACACGCACACACACGCACACACACGCGCACACACACGCATACACACGCGCACACACACACACACGCGCACAAACATTCACGCACGCACACGCGCACACACGCACACATGCACACACATCGAGACAAAGACCCCACGTAAAACAGGCTTGTTGAGGCAAGTGTTGTTAGCGAGTAGCACCTATGAAGGCCTATGAAGGCCGGCACAGCACACGAGGGTGTGGGTGGCCAGCACCACGCCCGGCCGCCTTTGTCTCCCTCGTGCTCATGTTTCATACACATTGCCCTAGGTACTCGATCTGGGGGAGGCCGAGAACCGGTTTAGATAATCGTCGCCGGTGTTGGTGGCCGTGAGCGTGAATCTAACTCGGGTTGCTGGGTTGGTAGCGCAGCGCGCTAACCTCTACACTATCCTTCCTCGTATATACACATCAATATACCTGCATGTGTACACTAGTTAATCTATAAATCCACGTACGTATATACACACACACACACACAAAGACAACATTTCCCCGTACGGGCTGTGAGAGAGGCGATATGGCCGCACAAAAAAGGCGAGCGACAATACATTATGGTTCTGCACTAACTTTGGCTAAATTCCAGCTCTGAGAGAAATAAAAATATCGATACGACTGCCATGACGACGAAGATTACTCACTGTCGGAGGGGAGGTGGGTGAGTGCTGCCCCCTAGTGTGGTCCAGAAGTAATGAGCGTCTAACGAGCGCTTAAAATAAAATGCCATTCTCGTCCAAGCCGGCATCTCATCATGCTGCGCACTCTGCGACACAAGGAGGTGCGTGGGTATGAATATGTTATCGGCCAATTAATGAGTGTTCATACACGTGGGAGGAAACCACAGCATCCGCAGAAATCTCACACGTACGAGGGGGCAACACTCTATCCCATACAGATGGAACAAATGATATTTGTCCACACTTTGCTGGACCGCCGCAAAAAAAAACTATGTTTATTTTACCAGGCAAGGCCCACTGAGCTATCTAGCTCATTTTCAGAAGCGACCTGGCCACAAGAGAGATGTCAACGAAGTGGCTTGTGTCAAAATTTATTGCAGCCAAATACTCTTAAACGCACGTTTCTAAATGTGGAGGGAAGGAAAAAACTGGAGGACCCGAAGAAAAATCCACGCAACCACGGGGAGAACATGCAAACTCCAAATATACAGCAGCAGGCATCAGGGTCGAGATCGAACCCACGACCTCCTGCATACCAGGCGAGGTAGTTAACATCTCCTAGCCACCAAGATGATGACGGTGATGAGACTGACGCAGACTCCAAATACACAGCAGGCATCAGGGTCGGGATCGAACCCACGACCTTCTGCATACCAGGCGAGGTAGTTAACATATCCTAGCCACCAAGATGATGACGGTGATGAGACTGACGCAGACTCCAAATACACAGCAGGCATCAGGGTCGGGATCGAACCCACGACCTCCTGCATACCAGGCGAGGTGGTTAACATCTCATAGCCACCAAGATGATGACGGTGATGAGATAGACGCAGACTCCAAATATACAGCAGGCGTCAGGGTTGAGATCGAACCCACGACCTCCTGCATACCAGGCGAGGTGGTTAACATCTCATAGCCACCCGTGGTGCCTTCTGCGAGCGAGCGAGCGGGACGGTAAGGCACCCCCCGTTGCGCAATTACCTGCACAATGCAGACGCCCTGCAGCGACGCCAGCCTGCAGGGCGTAGGCTGGTTCACCGTGTTGCCAACGCCCAGCTGTCCATTCCCATTATACCCCCAGCTGTACACCTGCACACGAGGACAAAGACCCCCATCATAGCCTTTCCCAACAGGCTGTTGGGGCAAGTGCTGCTAGCGAGTAGCACCAATGAAGGCCGGCACAGCACACGAGGGGGGAGGGTGGCCAACACCACGCCCGGCCACATTTATCTCCACAGTGGCGATGTTAACAACACACCACACCATATACTCCTACACTTCCAATTAGCACGGTTGGCTATGTACGGTGTGAAAGAAGTTCAACATACATACATAGGTGTCCCATTGCATTCCCATGGGTCTCCGTGTAAGGCTATGAGCCAGTTTCTTAAATCTCCCAGTGTCTCTATCCATCCAGCAGTGGATAGGGTAAGGTGTGGGTGACTCCACCTGTTCTAAGATGTTTGGCCTGCATGGAAGAGTAGGCCAAATACGCTGTAGAGGGGCTCTCTGGAGCTCTCTCTAGTGGATGCCTGTCCGCCAACAGTGGTGCGAGCGAGAACCTGCAGGGCCGCGCCTCAACCACCGTAACGATGTCTGTGGGAACTCCCCCCCCCCCTCTCTCCTGGAGGCTCCGGCTCGAGCTGGATACGAGAGCCTCTCACCTCTCCGTTGTCCAGCACGGTCATGGAGGAGGTCTGCCCGCACGCGATGCTCACGGCGACCTTGCTCTGCAGACACGCGATGACGCGGCGTGGCGTCGCCTGGTTCGCCGTGGTGCCCGAGCCCACCTGCCCGCAGTTGTTGTAGCCCCACGCGTAGACCTGTGCGTGGGGGTGGGTGGGGAGACGCACAAAGGATAAAGCTCCCCCATGTAGATGTCTTACAGGCTGTTGGGGAGAGCGCTTGTAGCAGAGGTCGCAATCGGGTACCCGATACCCATACCTTACGCGATACCCGTCTACCCGTACCCGGCCGGGTATCGGGTACGGGTACCCGTTTGCGACACTGGTGCGGCCGGGTAAGGGTAGCCGCACGTGACTCACCCCAACCAATGAGTGAGAAGGCCGTGAGTCACAGGTGAGTAACCGTTTGTCACTCATTTCCCAACGTCTTGTCTCTTCTCACAATTCAAGTTCCTAGAATCAACCCACCCGCGCCTGCAACATGGCTTTATCCCAGAGGTCGCAATCGGGTACCCGATACCCGTACCCTACCCGATACCCGGTAAGGAATCAAAACCCGTTTGCGACCTCTGCCACGTACCTCTCCATCGTCCGTGAGCACCATGGAGTGGTGGGAGCCGCACGCCACCTGGGTGACTCGTTTGCCCGCCAGATTGGTGGAGACGGGCGAGGGCACCGCGCCCTGATTGGTGCAGCCGTTCCCCAGCTGACTGTAGCCGTTGTGACCCCACGTGTAGACTTCGCCGTCTGGGGTGAAAGGGGGGCAGCCGCGGGTACACGAGGGCCAGAGTTATAAGTTTGGTCGTAAATGTTTTATTTTAATTCACAACTGATTTTTGGGGTAAGGCCACTACGAAATGACCTGGCCAGATTTGTGTCGCTAAGAACCCTCCACCACCCGACATAGCCAAACAAGTTAAACGGTCACACGGCGTACAAGCACCGTGAAATAACGCGCCAATATTTATCGTTTCAGCTGAGTAAAGTTGAAGAATTATTCCCATTAAAAAAAAAAGCCATGACGGTCACCTTGCTGTCATAGCCATTCGTTATCAAGAAACAAAACGCTTCAGGAAAATCAATGGTAGCATTAGCCACCATGTGCGGTACCAACGGCTAAAGGACCAATATTGCACGACCACAACGCTTTACACCGCACTCCCACCGGTGACGGCACCGGTGACGGCACCGGTGACGGCACCGGTGACGGCACCGGTGACGGCACCGGTGACGGCACCGGTGACGGCACCGGTGACGGCACCGGTGACGGCACCGGTGACGGCACCGGTGACGGCACCGGTGACGGCACCGGCGGTTCTACCGCGCCAGCCCTTCTCTCTTCTCCCCGCCTGCCACTTCCCGGCCACCCCCCTCACCGCTGGTGACGAGCAGCACATGGGGTCCACTGCCGTAGCTCACGGAGAGGATCTTCTTGCCGCAGAGCGCGTCGACGCGCCACGGCTCCAGCGTGCTCTGCCCGTCGCCCGTACCCAGACAGCCGCTGCAGTTGGTGCCGATCGCAAACACCTGGGAGGGACGGACGGGAGGGGGGCGGGGGGAGGGGTGAGAGATGGCAAAGGGAGAGCGAGGGTGTTGTTATTATTGAGACGAGGGAGGCAGCAACAGAGAGGTCACTTGTTCGATTCGATCTCCCGGCACGGCAGTTGAAACAACGGTGCAAGTTTATTAAATCTCCACGCCACCTCCCGTCACCACCTCTGTCGACCAAGCAGTATTAATCAGGGCGCCGCAGTTCGTTGATCGGCTGGTCAAGTGTGGTGGGGTAAAGTGTGGGTATAGCTCTCAATCTAGAGCGTGGCCGCACCGCACAACAACCGGGCGCCCATGCGGCTCGCCTACGGCCGCAGGCAACATCACCTCGTCCGGGAGCCGTGCTCACCTCATCCGAGTCAGTGACGAAGATGGCCTCATTTCCCGACGTGCCGAACACGCACGCCTGCCGGATCCTGCGCACCTCGTCCGTGGGAAGCAGCGCGAAAATCGGCCACTTGCCGACGTCCAGCATCGCGTGAGCCGTCGCTGCGAGCACGCGGGAGAGAGTTTCAGGGCGCGGTGCCTGCAGCTCCGCGCGTCTGTCACACTCTTCCGACTTTGCGGTTACAAAAAAAAGCTGTGGAGCTCGACATCATCCGGCTATTCACGCGTGGATGCTCGGAGCCGTCTGCAGATGAGGGCGGCTGGTGCGATTCTGCTCCGAGGGGGAACACTGACAGCTGGAAAACCAAAACGGGTGTCACTTCAGAGCCGATTGGAGTGGAGATTACGGCTTTGTCATGACGGAAGATAACAGTGGCGATGTTTCGTGTGATACCAGGGGCTGGGATATTCACTGCGTCTTCATATCAGTGTGTGTTGAGATCGGTGTTCTGAGATTCGTGTGTTGAGAGGGTGGTAGTGAATGGTTTCGGTGCTACAGGGCTTGGATTGTTCCTAAAATCGTATCTGTGCGTCTCTGCCTTCCGCGCTTAACTTGGATATTAAACGTGGTTCGGCCATAACCCCTTAAGCGGTTGGTCTCTTGTTGTTGTTCAGTCTCTCTGCCTGCACTGCATCCACTGCACACAACCATCCACTGCACACAACCGAGCCACGGAGAACACGGAATGTGGAGGAGAACAAACAGTGGCGCCCGGAACTGCCCTGCACAACTGCTCCCCATTACAATTTACATGATAAAGGCGCAGCCCTGCAATTTCTTACGCCACCGCTACCTGAAGGAGCCTCCACTAGAGGGGGACTCTAGAGAGCTCTAGAGCCACCCTCAAGAGGAGAGTGTTGGCCTACTCTTCCACTATGGCCAGACGTTGTGGGAATAGCCATAATTTATCCCATCACACGCGATATGCCCATCACTCACACCACTGGATGGACAGAGCCAGCGCGGGGAAGATTTAAGAACTTTGTCTCATCGTTTTGACTGCCGCATCGCGAGATGGAATCGGTGGTTTCGGGATTCCAAGTCCAGCGTGATCACCATTACACACACACACACACACGGCAGCATCCCCATAATTAAATGACCAGAGGTCATTTAAAATTGGTGGAGCGGTTCGCGCAGCGATTAGCACATCGTGCTCTGAACCCACCTATTGGAGTTTGATTCCCGGCCCCGGTTAACATCAGTGGCGATTCATATCTAAACTAGTCCTGGACCTTACCACCTTCACCAAACCGTACTGACCAGCGTGGTGAAGTATGGTCACACGGCTCGATAAGCCCCGCATCCAGTAGTGGATTGCCAAAAAAAGCTGCAATAAACTATTACGATTGGTTTTATGACACGGCCTGTTTATCCAAACGTGTTTATGTGGCGAATTGTTCATATTTATTTCCTTGACTTAAACGAACCCCATTGTTGATGCGTCTGGGGTTCTGTATACATACTCTTAGTTTTTTCGGTAAAGTCACGTAGGTAAAAAATTGAAATTAAAATTAATAAAAAATCTAATAATAATAAATCACGAAGTTTTGGAGGCAACACAAGTGTCCGTCATCAGGTGACGGTCCCACCTGATGACGGCGACTTGTGTTGCCTCCGAAACAGTCGTGATTTTTTTAGTATTTTATTTTTATTAATTTTTATTTCAATTTTTTACCTACGTGACTTTACCGAAAAAACCAAGATTATGAATCCTTGCAGTCACGAAAGCTTCAGATCTAGAATTAAGTTCTGTATACAGACAGGAAAGTGAAGAACTAGAGGTCCCTCCCCCCCTCTTCCCCCGTGTACAAGGCAGAGATGTGACCTTGATAAGGGCTCACCCAGTGTGCCACATTAACCCCGGCCCACAAGGTTTGAGAAAACAACGGGCATCATTGATACACCCTTATTTGCACAAGTCGTGAGACGATAACACATGCCATTAATATAGACTAAGAACTATTTGACCGTGGAACTCTAGCCCACAATAGTTTCGCAAGCCACGCTTCTATTGATGGGACCCCAGTTCGGTCGAACCCGGTATAAGTGAGGTTTTTTAAAATCTGCGTAAACATATGCAGTACAATACAGGGTGCTTAAAAAAATGTGAACACTTCTGAGAATTTGCAACAACCACCACGTAAAATGTGCTGCTCTGGAGAAGATTCCAAGACACGTGTTGACAACGATGGCGAACAAATGGGAGACTCTTTGACTTTTTGAAACTATTAACAAAACTTTAGATTTGAAGCTTTCGTGACTCCAAGGATTCTTAAGTTTTTTCCGGTAAAGTCACGTAGGTAAAAAATTTTAATTAATAAAAGTAAAATAAAAATAAAATAAAAAATCACGTTTCGGAGGCAACACAAGCTTCCGTCTTCAGGTGGAACCGTCACAGCACGATTGCTGTATAATTTACTTGATCATTTACTTGATACAGCAAGCGTGCTGTGACGGTTCCACCTGAAGACGGAAGCTTGTGTTGCCTCCGAAACGTCGTGATTTTTTATTTTATTTTACTTTTATTAATTTAAATTTTTTTTACCTACGTGACTTTACCGAAAAAACCTAAGAATATTAACAAAATATTTGTTAACACGTCACAGTGTTATTATCCCTTCTTTTTCCATTAAAAACGACAGCCTCATGTAAGTGTTCACATTTTTTTGAAGCCCCCTGTACTGCGGAATGCTGCTACACGACTGTGCTCTTGCATGGTGTTAATATCAGCTGACAGGGAGAGAGGGGTGGGTGGCGCAGCGGTTAGCGCACCGAGTTATCAACCAACCCGGAGTTCAATTCCAGGCCCCGGGTAACATCAATGGCTCGGTGATAACGCAAACTTGGCCAGAGACACATTGCGTAGGGTGGCCTTCATCCAGCAGTGGATTGACACTGTAGCTTGTTGTACATTATAAGCAACATCGGTGCAGGATGCTCATGGACAAAAACTAATTGTTGTATATGTACACGTGATGAACGCTATCGTTGTCCATGACCAAATAGCGTTCGTCTAGCTCTAGCCCTAAGGCTCTCTCTCTCTCGTTCATTGTTTTTGCTGTTGGACTGTACTCAGCGAACCCTTCAACAACCACCAGAGGAACACCACAATCAGGGCTGTACAACACCAAAATCAACCAAGCGGCTAGTAAACTGTTGTTGTTGTTGTTTTGGTTGTTGTACGATGCTCGGTCAAGTTGAACGCAAACTAAAATAACATCTCAACAACCAGGACGGCGAGACCGCAACAACAACAGGCTCCAAACCACTCTCCAATCCACTGTTGTGTCTGTTGTGTTTGTTGTGGTTGTCGTGGTTGTTATACTGCACCTAACAACGCTGAACACACACAACAACAACCCTTTAGCACAACACTACCACACAACACAACCCCACAACACTACCACACAACACAACAACCCCACAACACTACCACACAACACAATAACCCTTTAGCACAACACTACCGAACAACAACCCTTTAGCACAACACTACCACACAACAACCCTTTAGCACAATACTACCACACAACAACCCTTTAGCACAAAACTACCACACAACACTACAACCCTTTAGCACAACACTGCCACAACAACCATTTAGCACAACACTACCACACAACACAACAACCCTTTAGCACAACACTACCACACAACACAACAACCCTTTAGCACAACACTACCACACAACAACCCTTTAGCACAACATTACCACACAACAACCCTTTAGCACAACACAACAACCCCACAACAACCCTTTAAGCACAACACAACAACCCCACAACACTGCCACACAACAACCATTTAGCACAACACTGCCACACAACACAACAACCCCACAACACTGCCACACAACAACCATTTAGCACAACACTGCCACACAACACAACAACCCCACAACACTACCACACAACACAACAACCCTTTAGCACAACACTACCGCACAACACAACAACCAATAAACCTTGCAGCTCTTTCTGGATAATAAATCCATCGGTTCTTGCTTACCACTGCTACCTGAACCAAGCTGAACGAACACAGACTCCACAACCATTCAACAACAGCCAGAGCAGCACCACTACACAACAAGAGACCTCGAAACGCGGTTCCACTGTTGTTGTTTGTTGTTGTTGTAGCTGCCGCTGTTGTTGTTGAACACAAACCACAACTTTCAACCACGGACACATCACCAACAACATCAAAGCCGGGCTGCAGCAGCGTCGGATTATCCTAGTAGCACAAGTAGCTACAAATGTAGCTACGGGCCCCGCACTTTCAAGGGCCCCGCGATGGTTTCAGTGATTCTGCACTTGCTCTATCACTATAGTACTATACCGCCTTCAACTGTTACGAACGACCGCGTGTTTAAGGCTAGCGATTTGTCGTATTAATGTCTGTAGAGCAAATGAAAACATACAATTACTTTACTATGCAAGTTAAACATTTGTGTTTTAATATTAAAGTTTGTTTTTATACATTTAGGGCCACTTTATAATAACAAATGCTACAGGCCTCGCGCTAGCTTAGCCCGGCACTGCTGCAGCACCGACACTCATCGATAATTACAAAACAAAGTCACCAGCAACACGAACCTGCGACATTCACTTGCGACATTCGTCCCCTTTCCTCTTGCCTCGTCAACACAGAGAAAGTTTCCTCAGGCGGGTCGCAACAACAACAACAACAAAGGGCTTCGGTCAACAACAACAACGGGCTTCGGTCAACAACTACAACGGCGGTCAACGTTGCAAACGGAGCTTGACGTTCAGCGTCGCTAATTATGATGATGATGATAGCTTGGAGCAACTTAAGGCTATGGGGGTGAGTGGTGAGGGGTGGGGGAGAAGCAACAACAACAACAACAGCAGCAGCCGTCACCTTGAGTTGCTTGCAACCCCGGCGGATCAACACTCCCCTGGTCGCTACCTCCCCTACTCCTCGTCGACTTCGCCGTCTCAACGTCTGAAGAGGCCGTCAGTGGGCGGTGGTAGACGACGAGCGGACGCTACAGTACTTTGCACGCAACAACAACAACAAGCAGCAACAACAACAACAACAGGAAGCAGCAACAATCCGCTGAGGCGTGCTGGATGCAACACTGGCAAGGGGAGTCGAATCGATTATTTATAAGTCACGCACACGGGGAATCGATTCCTTGTCATAGTCATCGCCGGCAATGCAACGCACAATGAGTTGCACGATGGGAGGGGGGAATCGATTATTTATAAATCATATACACGAGGAATCGATTCCTTGTCATAGTCATCGTCGGCAATGCAACGCACAATGAGTTGCACAGTGGGAGGGGAGAATCGATTATTTATAAATCACACACGCAACGAATCGATTCCCTGTCATAGTCATCTGGGCAATGCAACGCACAATGAGTTGCACAGTGGGAGGGGAGAATCGATTATTTATAAATCACACACGCAACGAATCGATTCCCTGTCATAGTCATCTTGGGCAATGCAACGCACAATGGGGCGGTGTGTGGGGGAGGAATCGATTATTGTGTGTTGGATCGAATCGAAGTGAGAACAATGGGAAACACAAAACAATTGCCACCCCCACCCCCACCCTCCAGCCCAGCATTGTTCCGGCCTTGGCTGGCCCCAGACGCTGCTGATGATCCACTGAAACGCCGAAACCGGGCCCAGTTGTTGTCGCTCGTGCCGTGCAAGCAACCATTGCGAGCCGATGCACTTTCCCAGCAAGCGCTGTGCGGTGTGTGTGTGTGCCAGGCTAGGTGCACTTTGAAGACGCTTCACGTGGCGTCAACGTTCACCTAGCCTGGCACAGGCGCCGTGGTGGCGTCACCGTCACTTAGTGGCGAATAGCGGCTGTGTTGGTATTGGAGGGGAGCGGTGGTGCAGCGGTTAGCGCGCTGCGCTTTGAACCTGGCGACTCGGGTTCGATTACCGATTATCTGTCCTGGGCCTCCCGTAGGTCGACTCAGCCTCAAATGAGTACCTGGTGTGTAAACATCGCCACTGGGGAGACAAAGGCGGCCGGGCGTGGTGCTGGTCACCCACCCCTCTTCGTGTACCGAGCCACTAGATGGCGCAATAATATTTTAATTACAGTATTGTCATTCACTTTAGACATCCCATTTGTCAATCTCATACCTGTCAACCCATACGCTGTATACCCCGTATTCTTGTGCAGGGAAATTGAGTTTTCAGGTCTATACGGCCGTACAGTCGTTTCAATACGAGCAAAAAAAACATTGTCTATTCGTTTGTGTTTCTCTCCTTGTGATGGGATTTTGTAGGATTAACTTTGAGAATTATAAGGGCACGGTGTGACCAATAGGGTCTGAATTGGTCTGTAATAAGTTATGGCACTGATAAGGGTTTGACAGATATGCACTCCACTGCTGGATAGTAGTAATATTGCAGTAGATGTATTTGTTTTAATCTGCGTTGCATTTTTACCGTTCGCCTTTTAGCAATTCTCTGCTCTGACGCTGGTGGAGACACTCGGACATGAAGCAGTAGGCCAATCAACTTAGAAGGCAATGATGCACATATCATCAGAGCGTGTTGGTTTGCATGTTCACCACAAGTACCTGTGGTTACTGCAATACAGTACTTGGTTCCTTACAAAAATGTTTCTATTTGGTGTTTGAACATCTTTACACCTCCTGTTGTATTTGCCAGAAAGGGTCAAAACATATTCTTATGTATATCCATACGCTCAAAGGTAGTCGTCACCCACTTTTCAGTAAATCTCTGGAGGGCTTCCGGCTGGCGGAGTGCCCTGGGCTTGCAGCCCCTAAAAGCCCCACGCCTTGATCCGGCCCTGGTCACGTGTTGCCGTGTTTGTGCTCTTAAGAAATACCTGTTAGACTTACCGATTATTATCATCACCCATGGTCAATCCACAGCTGGATAGAGGCCTCCCAAGGCCCTGTGATACAGCAATCCAACTAGCACTCTGCACACGAGCTAATCACATCGCTGACCCAATTGCAAAATGACCCACTTCGAGGACGATGATGAGGATGATGATGATGCAAGTTTTAAGCTAATGACCGTATATGTCATTTGCTGAGCCAATTATAAGTTGATGAAATCAACTCGCGTCCGGGAACTCGACGGATGTTTGCATCGCGTGACCGAGAGAGATGGAAAGGGCTTGAGGTTGGGTGTTCATACAGAAAAAAAGATGACCTAATTGTAGGATTATGGTCTAGTTGTAAAATGACCCAAATGCAACTTGACCCAGTTGCAAAAGTTCAAGTGACTTCCGGCTCAAATGAGTCTCGTTTGGCTGGTGCTCATCTCTTGTTTACAGCCCTGAACCAGTGGCGCACATTCACATTCCTTTAGCGGGGGTGGAGGGGGTGGGTGAGTTTATCAATCGGATAACCGCTGTTGACTTTCACGCAAAGTTGTATAAATTTTATCGGCCCCAGATGGATGATGGGCTGCCAACCCCCGGAAGCTCAGGATTTTACCTCGCAATTTGATTGCTAGCCCCTCGCTCTGCCACTGCATCACGTGGCCGTATTAGTTTAAACCCAACATTAACATTTACATACAATGAAACAAGAAAAAGGTGAAAAATAATGTAATACAATACACTATTAGACATTATTGTAAAAAATAAATAAAAAGTCCATCCTAAGTGTTACTAAATTGTTTTATATTTTAGGCAGGAAATGGCAGGAAATTCGTTTTCAAATTGAGATATTTTTTTCTGGGGGGGCACCCAGACCCCCTGGAAGATTTAGTCCCCCCCCCCAATGTTAACTCCATGGCTACGGCCTTGGTTTAACACCTTGTGGCCCAGAGTTAACGCGTGGCATTGAACCGCGTGACAGCACTTGAGAGTTACCGTGAGTGTCACACGGTTGGCTGCACATCCGTGGCGCCGCAGCCGTCGCTGTGTTTACCACTGGTGAGGTGGGGGTGAGGTGGGGGTGAGGTGGGGGTGAGGTGGGGGTGAGGTGGGGGTGAGGTGGGGGTGAGGTGGGGGTGAGGGGAGGAGGAGAGGGGGATCTCGTACCCACGTCCTGTTCGTGGCGCTTATGGGGGTTGTCTCGGAGGTCACGGCCGACCCTGGAACGGACATTGAGATTCCAGCTCCACCTCCAGATGGACTCGAGGTATAAACCATTCGTGTTGTATTGTAATCCACGTATTGTCCGGATTAGAAGACGCGTATCATTCCCCCACTCCCCCCTCCCTCCCTGCCCAGTATATTTCTCAACAAAACTTGGGGGGAAGGGGTGGTCGCGTGTTTTATTCCGGTAACGCTGGGCGCGTGTCTTTGTGTTGTGTGGCGTGATGGCGCTACCAACTCGGCGTACCGAGTTCGATACCCGCTCACGGCTAAAGAAACACATTCCTGCGGAGGGAGCTGGTAGGAACGTTGGGTTGCTCGGTCAATGGCCTGCAGGGTCAACGGCGGCGTGGTGTATTCCGCAAATATGCCCGACTGTGAAGGCGGGGCACAAGCCGGCGTGAGTAGGTTGAACATTGAGTTTTATAAGGGCACCACGGGGTGACCAGCCCGTCCCCACCCTCCCCACCCTCCCCTTCCCACCCAGCCCCTCCCTGCACGACGGACACAATAATCCCCTGTGGGCTGGTGTAACCAGGAAGTTCCTACCAGTATAACAGTGGCGAATGTTTGAATATTTGAAGCTCACCTAGGTCGACTCAGCCTTGAATGAAAACTGTACCTGGCGCGGAGTGTACAACATCAGCACGGGGGGAGACAAAGTCGGCTGGACGTGGTGCTGCCAGCCGACCCACCCCCCTAGTGTGCCGTGCCTGCCTTCATAGGTGATCGCGAACAGCACTTGTCCCAACGGTCAGTGAATGCTATCCGAGCATCTGTGTCTTTGCACCGGCCCCCACACTGCACCCACTACACACACTACACACGCACACACGCACACTGGCCGTTTAATCGTTGCTTTATTGCCTGTTTTTCTCGAGTCGCAAGTCTCCTGACGGTGATAACAGCGGGCGTGCTCGGAGCGCGGAGTGACGGACAACGCTGACCTTAGACCGCCAACGCAGATGGAGTGGTGGGGCCGGCGTTGGAGCCCGCAACGCGATCGACATTTCACTATTTTGGCCAACTGTTGATTTTCCTACTGACGAGGAATTTACAAAAGTGGGAAATAAGTTGATTGTGAGCAGGGCCGGATTAAGGCACGGGGCTTTAGGGGCTGCAAGCCCCAGGGGCCTCCTCCAGAGATGAAGTGAAAAGTGATTTCATTTTGTGAATGCTGAATTGTATTTGTTGTTAGCCTTGTAAAGATAAATTCTATTTTTCTTTAACTTTGTTTTCCTTTTCAAATATTACTGGGGGCCTCACAGTATCCGTAGCCCAGGGGCCTACACAATCTTCATCCGGCCCTGATTGAGAATATAAATTGAATTCCCGTCACCGCATTGGAATCGTTTTCCACAAAATCGTGATATTGCGAGGATCGGCTCAGACAGTGCCTCGGCAAAGCAGAGTGGCCTGCAAATGAGGTTATCGTCTCAAAGAAGCGTCTCAGTATTGCCCTGCGGCAGTTTGGCCCGGGGGAAGAATCCCCCACAACTGCTCCTTGTGCGGCACAAGACAGGTAGGTCGCTGATGCTTGCAATAAAACAAAATATGATGCGACGTTGATTTCGTGAGCTCTCACTCTGTTCGACAAAAATAAAGGCGGAGTGCGTACGCACCGACCCGTGGGAGTATATGAGTGACACCAAAGACAAAGATTCCCCGAATAGCTTTTAACAGACTGTTGGGGCAAGTGCTGTTGGTGAGTAGCAGCAGCACCTGTGAAGGCCGGGCACTGTGGCACCACGCCCGGTCGGTATTTATGCAACTTCAGATGCGAGAACCCAAAGATAAGATGTTCATTTGCGGTATGCGCTTAAAGTGCCGTCTCGACATTTCTAAGACGCAGTAACATTGCAACAACTCATCTCAACCGTTCGATAAGCACGGCTGGCTACGATGAAAGTTCAGCGTGCGCAAACACAGATGGAACAGATTGCTTGGTGATGATGCTGCTGCTGCTACTGCTGCGTTGGCAAGAGGCGCACAAGCACAAATAACAACAGAAATCCTCAACACCTCCCGTCAATAATCACAGCGTGTGGCCTAAGAAGACAATATTTAAGGCGACGTTTCTGGAAATGACCCTTCTTCACAGCACACGAATAGAGGAGGCTAAGACCAAGGCCGTAGCCATGGAGTCAACATTTAGGGGGGACCAAATCTTCCAGGGGGTGTGGGGTCCCCCCCCAGAAAAAAAAATCTAAAATTTAAAAACTAATTTCCTGCGTAAAATATAAAAAAATTGACTAACACATGGAATGGATTTTTTTTTTACAATGATGTCTAATAGTGTATTGTATTACATTGCTCTGTTTTTTCTTTTTTACCTTTCCTTGTTTCATTGTATGTAATGGCAGAGATTAGGGATTCATATCATAACGTACAACCATAACCACAATCATATAAACAGAAATCTATGCTTTGTTATATGAAGACAAGTCCAGATTGTGGCCAAGGTTTAGCAAATTGTTTTTTTTATTTACATAGCATCGCAATTATTTTTTACAATATTTTCATAGCAATATATTGGGGAGGACATTTTAAGCATTTTTGATTATTGGGGGGGGGGTGTGTGTCCCCTCCCCAATATATTATAATTCAGTTTAACACGTAGGCTTTCGCGACCAATATTATTCATAAGCAACGTTTTTGGGTTAGATCGCGTTATTTATAAATGTGTCGTAACCCTCCACCACCCGACACGGCCAATCAGCAAAAAAGTGTCACGTTGACAAAAGACAAATAGTTCACTGCTTTAGCCCACCGGTGTGTTCTGGCGAATTGCCCGATGATGGTGGATGCAATTACCAGCGAAACGTCGTACTCAAAAATTGTGAATGTTGTGGTTTCACGCTTCAACACACCGGTGGGCTAAAGCAGTGAACTATTTGTGTTTTGTCAACGTGATACTTTTTGCTGAATGGCCGTGTCGGGTGGTGGAGGGTTACGACACATTTATAAATGACGCCATCTAACCCAAAAACGTTGATTATGAACATATTATCATTACGGCCTTGGCTAAGACACAGAGAGTGCATCCGTAAGAGTTGGAGACTGGACTTTACACCGTAATGTCATTCCCATCAGGCCCCTTGGGGTACAGTGGCGTCCCCACCTCCCAGTATCCACTCCGTTTCCTTGAGTAGGAGCAATTCGCCTGTCCAGGGTGACAATTGACGCAATCACAGAAACGCAGGGAGCTTCAAACACACGTGAATACGTTTCGGGCGTAACACAAGCGTCCGTCATCAGGTGTACGCTTGTGTTGCGCCCGAAACGTCGTGATTTATTTTATTATTTTATGTTTCTACCTACGTGTCTTTACCGAAAGAACCAAAGAATATCGATTCCTGCAGTCACGAAAGCTCCAAGTCAAGATTGCCCCTGCTTAATTTGTGTTTTCGACGATTTACCTTCTACAAAATCCCGGCTGTCTCGCTACCCACAGAAAGGGCATCTCGCACCCCCAGTGGGTGCACCCCAGGTCAAGAAGAACCCCTGGACGAAAGGAATCCGATGAGCTGTGAAGCTCTTTATCACATTTCGATTTAAAGCTTTCGTGACTGCAGGAATTCATCTTCTTGGTTCTTTCGGTAAAGTCACGTAGAATGGAAATAATAAAATGATAAAAATAAAACATAATAAAATAATTCTCACGACGTTTCGGCCACAACGCAAGCAGCCGTCTTCAGACTCTGTCTTCTCGACAGACCTGTTCTCCACCTGAGGACGGCTGCTTGCGTTGTGGCCGAAACGTCGTGAGAATTATTTTATTATCTCTTTATCACAGGTGTCCAGTCGGGGTGCCTGGGCGTGAGTCAGCTATGCGCTAAGAACGTGGAACACTGGCACACACACACACACAGTCAAGATTTGGTTTATTTAATTTATTAACTTATCAAACGTTTCACAGCTTAATCTTTACAAGTAGTGACAAAGGTACATTGGCGGTCAGGGCTATGTTTGATCTCCGCGCCACAATCGTAGCCGCCAGACGGAGCTGGCACCGGCCCGCGTCGCCAGGCGCGGTGGGGAATGGTACCGTTCGGAACCTTCCCAGAAACAAGTGGACCACCTTGTGCTGGCTGGAGAGAGAGAGATGAGAGCTGTTCGCCAACGTGGAGAGGTTGGAACCGAAATGGCAGTCCTGAGAGATGGAGTTTTAGCCAAATTAAGTTGAGAACCACATTTTAGCGTGATGGCGGGTGTGTGTTTGTGTGTGTGAGATCATCAACTCAATGATTCCATTCTAATCACAGCTCCGTCTATATGAGTCTATGGGTCTTTTTGTGAGGCTGTGTTTTTGTGTGAGTCTATGGGTCTCTGTGTGAGTATATGGGTCTCTGTTGTGAGCCTATGGATCTCTGTGTGAGTCTGTGTCTTTGTGTGAGTCTATGGGTCTCTGTGTGAGTCTGAGGGTCTCTGTTGTGAGTCTATGGATCTCTGTGTGAGTTTGTGGGTCTCTGTGTGAGTCTATGTAACTCTGTGTGAGTTTGTGGGTCTCTGTGTGAGTCTATGTAACTCTGTGTGAGTCTATAGGTCTCTGTGTGAGGCTATGGGTCTCTGTGTGAGTCTGTGTGTCTCTGTGCGAGTCTGTGTTCCTCTATGTGAGTCTGTGTGTCTCTGTGAGTCTATGTAACTCTGTGTGAGTTTATAGGTCTCTGTGTGAGGCTATGTATCTCTATGTGAGTCTATGGGTCTCTGTGTGAGTCTGTGTCTCTGTGTGAGTCTGTGTCTCTGTGTGAGTCTGTGTGTCTCTGTGTGAGTCTGTGGGTCTCTGTGTGAGTCTGTGTGTCGCTGTGTGAGTCTACGGGTCTCTGCGTGAGTCCCTGGTGACCGGGCAGGGAGGGATCCCGGTGTAATGACGCGTTGGTGAACATGACCTTCGCACACCGGAGGATTGTCATCTGTGCCGGCCTCAGGATCGCCGTCTGACCTGTCCATTGTGACCGCACTGAGCCGCCCGCTCACCGAGTGGTCGCGATATCTCTCAAATCTCCGTGCGTCCGACGCAACGGACGTTGTAAACAAATATCGCGCCTTCTCGCGAAACTCCCTTCCCCAAAACTTTTTTGAAAACAACAACAAAAAAAGATACTCCTCGTATCGGTTCAAATTTAACTCATGTTGGGTTAGATTCTATTCTCTACAGTAGAGTAACGCCACGTTCTTCTTGGTTCTTTCGGTAAAGTCACGTAGAAGGGAAGTAATAAAATAATAAAAATAAAACAAATAAAATAATTCTCACGACGTTTCGGCCACAACGCAAGCAGCCGTCCTCAGGTGAAGACCAGGTCTGTCGGGGAGACAGCGTCTGTAACTCTGTGTGAGTCTATGGGTCTCTCCCCGACAGACCTGGTCTTCACCTGAGGACGGCTGCTTGCGTTGTGGCCGAAACGTCGTGAGAATTATTTTATTTGTTTTATTTTTATTATTTTATTACTTTCCTTCCACGTGACTTTACCAAAAGAACCAAGAAGATGAATCCCTGCAGTCACGAAAGCTTTAAATCGAAATTTAACGCCACGTTATCATTATTTTTAACAACGAAACTCCTCGGAATTCCTTCCAACCGTCTCCCCCCCCCCCCCCCACCAAAGCTCTTTGCAAGATCAAACTTCGCTTGATTTGAGACGCGCGCCACACACACGTGCACACGCAATCTCATCGAACGGAACTTTGACACGTGTTGCAATGGCGATGGCGTGTTCGGGAGACCCTTTTTCGAAACTTGCTGCGTTCAGCAGGACGCGCGCCCAGAACGTCCCACGGCGTTCTAGAGCAGGACGAGGAGGTTGAGACGTCTCGTCCGCAAGACGTCCGCGGATAGACCCAAGATGCGGAATTGGGGACGCGGTCTCAGGGGACGAAGGAGGTTCTGCGCTGAAGGACATCGCTGATGACGACGTGAAGATGCGGTGCGTCACCACGGCGTGAGGAGTGTCCTTCGTCCAGCAAGTGGACTGATCATGATTGCTGCTGCTGCTGATGAGGATGATGATGAATAAAGGATGATATCTGTATGGACACCACCCTCTACTGTGCGTGGGATACACAGACAACAACAACAACAAACAATCACGCTTGTGGTGGAGGCTCCTCCACTGCCCACCCCCAACTCCACGTCCCCATTGTCAGTAAACATCGCTGGAGCTGCCCGGGACATAGCTCCGGAAAATACCCCCACCCCCCTTCTTCCCCCTCTACCTCCTCCAGGAAACACAAAATATCCCATGAGAAATGAACCCCTGCTGGGAAGCGACCAGGCCTTGAGATCAAACTCCGTCCACGCTCTTCTCATTTCTGCCCGGCGACTGCTGCTTCTGCTTCTGCTGCTTCTGCAGATGCTGCGCTTTGAACCGCTTCTTGATGAAGGCCGCAAGGGCCTGCACGCCGTCCCTGAGGCCATGTCCCGTCGGCACGCTGCACTCCTTCACCACCCAGTCGCGGCCCTTGCACGACGCGGCCAGGCCCAGCGCTTCGCCCACCTCATCGGCCCCCAAGGCCCCCGGCAGGTCCTGCTTGTTGGCCATTACCACCAGGGGAGCCCCATCCAGGTTGCTATCGCTCAGAGCCACCACCAGGGCCTCCTTGGCGAAGGGGATTCGCTCCACGTCCGCGCTGTCCACCACGAACAGGAGGCCGTCCGTGCCCGGGTAGTAGTGCGACCACATGTTTCTCAGCAGGTCCTGTCCGCCCACGTCCCACATGGAGAGGCCCGGACTGCGGCCGCTCTGCATCACCGACTCGACGTTGAAGCCGATGGTGGGGCTCGTGGTGACCTCCTCGCCCAGCTTGAGGCGGTAGAGCATCGACGACTTGCCGGCGCCGTCCAGACCCAGGAGCAGCACCCGCGGCTGCGCCTTGTTCACCGCGCCCTTGGACGTGACAACGCCCATCGTGACAGCAGGGATCGAACCCGTGCCTCCTGTTGTTGAGCGCACAGGGGGGTCGGGGAAGAGAGCGGGGAGGGGGGGTGAAGGGAAATGCATCGTTGGTTGTTACCAGAGGTCGCAACCGGGTACCCGATACCCGTACCCTACCCGATACCCGGCTACCCGTACCCGGCCGGGCACGGGTACGGGTAACCGTTTGCAACCCTGGTGCGGCCGGGTATGGGTACGGGTAGACCGTGAGTCACTGGTGAGTCACCGTTTATCACTCATTTCCCAACGTCTCGTCTCTTCTCACAATTCAAGTTCCTAGAATCAACCCACCCGCACCTGCAACATGGCTTCATCCCAGAGGTCGCAATCGGGTACCCGTACCCTACCCGATACCGGCCGGGTATCGGGTAGCCGGGTATCGGGTAGGGTACGGGTACCCGATTGCGACCCTGGTGTGGCCGGGTACGGGTACGGTAAGAAATCAAAACCCGTTTGCGACCTCTGGTTGCTACTCGAGTCGAGCGTGTTTGGGTTGGTTCGTGATTGAGTGTTGCGTTCGCGGCGTGACGGTCTGTCTCCACCTCCTATCCCCTCGATTACCTCTCTTAGAGTCTCCCTCATCTGCTGTGACGAAGGGCCATTGCCCGAAACGTCACTTTACTATGTATACCTTTGATTTAAAGCTTTCGTGACTGCAGGGATTCCTAGTCTTGGTTCTTTCGGTAAAGTCACGTAGAAGGGACATAGTAAAATAATAATAAATATATTATTTTATTGTTTCCCTTCTACGTGACTTTACCGAAAGAACTAAGAATGTATATACCTTGTTGTTTTTCTTTGTAAGCCAACACATACTGTGGTATGGATACGAAACATGTTGAGTTGCGTTGTTATTTGCTCAACTACTGCCAACGCAATCAGCATCACCTCCACCACCACTAAATAATTGAACCGAACGTCATGAAGAACCAAATATAACTCTAGAGGGACTCTACATCATACGCCTTTTGGCATCCTCTGGTCTAACACCGTTTGAGACGAGGCTCAAAAGAAAGCTGTCTCTGGTGTGGACCAATCAGTTTCAAAGACAATGCAAATATTGTCAGTGTGTTTTTTTTTGCATTCTGACCAGAAGCATTGTGGTTAATGCAGACATGATGCCTTGTAAAAGGTTTCAGTTTGGTGTTTTAACATCTTAACACAACTGTTTTGTTGCCAGAAAAAAAGGGGAAAACCCTATTGTCTCTAGAGTTTGTTAAACGGATGGTCCCGTTCAGCCAGATCCGTGGCGGGTGAGCACAGCAGCGGCAACACAAACAAAAAGACAAAAAACATCATCAACATTGCAGACAGCGAGTACAGCAGGGGTTATGTAAAGATATTACGCCACTAACAGGCGAAACACACGCGCTAAAGCGGAACTCTCAACCGGTTTTGACTTTCAGTCTCTCATCAGCAGAGCCAGCCTTTGCTTGAACCAATGTTGAAGAACTGCCAGACGTTTAAAGGCGAAGATTGATTTTGACGTTCAATGTCTCATCAGCAGAGCCAGCCTTTGCTTGAACCAATGTTGAAGAACTACCAGACGTTTAAAGGCGAAGATTTATTTCGACGTTCAATGTCTCAACAGCAGAGCCAGCCTTTGCTTGCACCAATGCTGAAGAATTGCCAGGTGATTATCGGCAAGGAACCCTCGTTATGAGACATGGGTCACAGTTCATCGCTAAACTCGAATACGGAACGTAGAGTAACCGAGAGCTTTGTCATAGATAATATAAATAATAAGAACTTAAAAAAGCAGTTAATTTGCCTCCGAAAAAACCATCTGTCCCTCTAAATAAAAAAAGAAACCCCGAAATCCTGAAGCCCACACAGCCTTCTTGAACCCCATGAGCACCTCCACGTGGCCTGATGAGTGATGAGTGGACTTCCCCATGCCGTACACAGGCCACAGCGACCACTCCGCAGACTGGCACGAGGCTGACACTGGTACAGATTCATCTTCTTGGTTCTTTCGGTAAAGTCACGTGACTTTACCGAAAGAACCAAGAAGATGAATCCCTGCAGTCACGAAAGCTTTAAATCGAAATGTATACTGGTACGAGTATTCTCCCTGCACGCATGTATAACTTCTTTCGCACCGTACGGAGCCAACCCTACCAATCGAAGGTCTGTTTTTAAGCTTTTAAAAGATCTCCAATGAACGTTTAACATCATCAGCAGCAGCGGCCATGGTCGATCCACTGCTGGATGATGAAGACCTCTCGCGATCCCGCGATGTAAGAATCCGCGACCCGGCAGCACCATCACAGCAGCCGGTGCCATCGGCTCCGTCTCCTCCTCGACGCGTTCCCTCCATTGGCTGCCACTCCGTTGTTAGTCTCGACCCCGGGCCACATTATCCCTCCGAGCCGTAACAACGCGTGCCCTGCCCACCAACCATGGTCTATCTACTGCCGGATGAAGGCCTCCCTCACCAATCGAAATTGGCATCGCATACGCAGTGCCGGAGTAAGCTATTGCGGGGCCTGTAGCATGATGTTATGAAGGGGCCCTAAATAAAAAGAAACACATAAAGTTTAAAACACAAAATTTTAAACTTGCATAGTAAAGTAATTGTATTGTTTCATTTGCTGTACAGACGGATAATACGACAAATCGCGAACCTGAAACACGCAGTCGTTCATAAAAGTTGAAGGCGGTATAGTACTATAGTAATAGAGCAAGTGCAGAATCATTTGATAGCTTGAAAGTATTTAGCGCGGGGCCCTTGAAAGTGCGGGGCCCGTAGCATGATGTTGCTACTTTTGCTCCTCGGATAATCCGGCACTGGGTTTACGGAAAGACACGAGGAGCAGCAGGTCACGTGGACGGACAAAGCCGTCGAACCAGCCACACAGGCATCACAGGTTCCACTCGCTCGACGCAGTCGTAGTAGTGGTGGTGGTAGTGGTGGTGGTAGTGGTGGTAGTAGTGGTGGTAGTGGTGGTGGTGGTAGTGGTGGTGGTAGTGGTAGTGGTGGTAGTAGTAGTGGTGGTAGTGGTGGTAGTGGTGGTGGTAGTGGTGGTAGTAGTGGTCGTGGTGGTAGTGGTGGTGGTAGTGGTGGTAGTAGTGGTGGTAGTGGTGGTGGTAGTGGTCGTGGTGGTAGTAGTGGTGGTAGTAGTGGTGGTAGTAGTAGTGGTGGTAGTGGTGGTCGTAGTAGTGATGGTAGTGGTGGTAGTAGTGGTGGTGGTAGTAGTGGTGGTAGTAGTGGTAGTAGTGGTTGTAGTGGTGGTTGTAGTGGTAGTGGTGGTAGTGGTGGTAATCGTGGTAGTAGTGGTAGTAGTAGTGGTGATAGTAGTAGTGGTAGTAGTGGTGGTGGTAGTAGTGGTCGATGCTTTCCAACAAAAACGGCTCACAAAGCGAGACCGCACGAGGAGACAACCTCCTGCCGAGTAGCGCATGCAGTACATTCAGTACACACACACAGTATACACACACAGTACACACAGTACACACACACAAAGGACACACACAATAACACAAAACAAAGATCCCCCGTATAGCCTGAACAGACTGTAGGGGCAAGTGCTGTTAGCGAGCACCTATGAAGGCCGGAACGGTACACGAGGGGGTGGGTGGCCAGCACCACGCCCGACCGCCTTTGTCTCCCTAGTGGCGATGTTTACACACCGCACCAGGTACTCATTTAAGGCTGAGTCGACCTAGGGGAGGCCCAGGACCGGTTCAGATAATCGTCACTGGTGTTAGCCGTGAGCGGGAATCGAACCCGGGTCGCCAGGTTCATAGCGCAGCGCGCTAACCGCTACACTACCGCTACCGCTCCCCCCCACACACAGTAACACACACACACACAGTACACACACAGCACACAGTACACACACACATAGTAACACACACACGGTACAATGTTGTCCCACGTCCGATCGCATAGCCGGATGTCGAGTGAATTCAAACCGCGTCGAGGAGGTAACTTTGAGTAGAAGTTGGGTAGTCGCGTGTACAGCGAAGCCGCACAAACGCAACCTCCACGGGGCGATGGAGACATCGTTCTCCAGCTGTAATAATCATGATCATAGATGGCAGATGATTCAATGGCATTTGTCCAGGAAAGAGTCTCAAGACAAATGTTAAGGAGGGTCTTGCAATGGGCTTGTTTGACCCCGTGATGAAGTATGATTGGTGGTTAGCGCACTTTGTGCTCGATTTCCCAACCACGGCTATCAACAGCGGCGAGTAATATATGTGCACCGTTGACGCGTCTCTCCCCTCCCACCTCCTTCACCAACCCGCACTGACCAGCGGGGTGAAGTATGGTCACATAACCCCCCATGACGCACACTGCGTGGGGAGGTCTTCATCCTGAAGCGGATTAGCTAAGACCTGTTCGCAAAGAAAACCAAAGAGAAAGATCTCCCCGTGTAGCCTACACCACTGGGCTTACTGCGTGGTCACCGTGGCTGGGAGTCGAACTCGTGGCAAAAGCCGGGTTTGGATCGCACGGACGGTCTGAACACGCACACAACATTCGAAACGTCCCACGTTAGTTGAACACGTCATAGGGTTTCACGACCAATATTATTCATAATAGAGGGTTTTTTGGGGCGGTTAGATCGCGTAAATATAATTGCGTCGTTAAACCCGTCACCACCCGACACAGCCAATGAGTAAGGTTTGTCACATAAACAAAACATGTAACGAATTGGCTCTGTGCGGGGGTGGTGAGTTTAACGACGCATTTTTATTTGACGCGATCTGACCCCCAAAACAAACCTCTATTATAGACAAAAAGTACTCGCGAAATCTATTGGAGGACGTTATAATCTTTTAGAAAGTGCACATTCTTTAGTCGAGGATTTTTTTTTTACAATACGGCACTTATTCTTGGATCTTTCGGTAAAGTCACGTAGAAGGGAAATAATAAAATAATAAAAATATAACATAATAAAATAATTCTCACGATATTTCGGCCACAACACAAGCAGCCATCCTCAGGTGTCGTTAAAACCCGCCACCACCCGACACAGCCAACTCGTAAGGGTTGTCACGTAAAACAGAACGTGGCCAAATCGTCACTAGTACAGCACTAACCGGTTGTGTGTTGGCTTGGCTCTCCAACACACAACCGGTGAGTGCTGTACTCGTGACGAACTGGCCACGTTCTGTTTACGTGACACCCCACGTTTATCTTTGAGCAGGATGTTGTTAGAGAGAGATAGAGAGAGACACAGATGCCGGCAGAGCGCATCGCCGGAGTGGCCCTTGTGACTATTTGGTGTTCGCCGTGGTCGGGAATCGAACCCGGGTCAAGGGTGGCACAGTCGGGTTTTTTACAATCGGGTTTAATTGTCTTTTTATATTAAACCCGATCATCTGAGATTGGGAGAAATCCGGTTTGATTGGTTCTAATTGCAGAACCGCACTTCGCCAACTTCTCAACGATGGGCTTCATCCATTCCAAGCGAAGGAACTCACTGGCGCCCACGATTGTGGAGGAGAAGCTCGTGTTCATCGAGACCAACCTGCCCGCCGCATTCTACGACGACCCGAAATCGGGTTTAATTGTATTAAGGAAAAAACCCGATGCCTGTCGCTGGAAAAATCGGGTTTTTATCCACCCATGACCCGGGTGGGTGGCCAACGCTGCGCCCATCGCTCTCACCAACCACAACGAGCGACAGATTAACTCCCGTATAGCCTTTGACGGACTGTTGGGGCAAGTGTTGTTTGCGAGCACCTATGAAGGTCGGCACGGCACACGAAATGGGGAGGTGTCAGAACCACGCCCGACCGCTTTTGTCTCCCCATTGGCGATGATTTACACACCACGCCAGGTACTCATTTAAGTCTGAGTCGACCTTGGGGAGGCCCAAAAATTCGTCACCGATATTGTCCGTGAGCAAGGGGATCGAACCCGGGTCCAGCCAGCGGTGATGGTAAGCGCAGCCGGCTGACCACTACACGCATGTCACACATCACCGCTACACGCATGTCGCACATCACCACTACACGCATGTCACACATCACCGCTACACGCATGTCACACATCACCACTACACGCATGTCGCACATCACCGCTACACGCATGTCGCACATCACCGCTACACGCATGTCACACATCATACGTACGTGGATATCAATGCAGGAATGTCGTCGGCAGCAAGGGTAGTTGCCGAAATGAGCCGAGCCTAGGCGCGTGTGTGTATAGAGACAGGCCAGGTGTGTATGTGTAGAGACAGGCCAGGTAGGTGTAGAGACAGGCCAGGTGTGTGTAGAGAGACAGGCCAGGTAGGTGTAGAGACAGGCCAGGTGTGTGTAGAGAGACAGGCCAGGTAGGTGTAGAGACAGGCCAGGTAGGTGTAGAGACAGGCCAGGTGTGTGTAGAGACACAGCCCAGGTAGGTGTAGAGATAGGCCAAGTGTGTATGTGTATAGACAGACCAGGTGTGTGTAGAGAGACAGGCCAGGTAGGTGTAGAGACAGGCCAGGTATGTGTAGAGACAGACCAGGTGTGTGTAGAGAGACAGGACAGGTAGGTGTCGAGACAGACCAGGTGTGTATGTGTAGAAACAGGCCAGGTGTGTGTAGAGAGACACAGCCCAGGTGTATGTGTGGAGTGAGCGCAGCGTGAGTCTGTGGCGATCGGCAAGCGTCTACTTAGGTATATGCCAAGGTACGCGTGCGCGTGTCTCTGTATGCGTGCGTGTGATTGCGACCCCCCACCACCACCCACCCACGCCCTCTGGTCGTGTCACGCAGCCGCCTCTGTCGCTATCAGCGCCCCGACTGAACCCTATTCCACCACATGGAGCCCTTGCCGGTCAAAGTCAAGGGAGAGGTGGGTGGAAGGGGTGGTCGTGAAGGTGGTGGGGTAGTGTCTGTGTGTGCGTGTGTCGGTGTGTGTGCATGGGGAGCGGTGGTGTAGCGGTTAGCGCTACGCTGCGCTACGAACCCGGCGAGTTCCATTCCCGCTCGCGGCCAACACCGGTGACGATTATCTGAACCGGTCCTGGACCTCCCCGAGGTCGACTCAGCCTCAAATGAGTACCTGGTGCGATGTGTAAAAAAACATTGCCGTGCCGGCCTTCATAGGTGCTGCTCGCTAACAGCACTTGCCTCAACAGTCTGTTAGGGCTAGACGGGGGATCTTTGTGTGCAAGGGAAGAACCGGTCATTTGAGTGAACCAGAACCGGTGCAGATAATCGTCACTGGTGTTGGTGACCGTGAACGGGACTAGAACTCGGTCGGCTGGGTTGGTGGTTCAGTGCGCTAACCACTACACTACCGCGCCTGGTTCGCGGTGCAAACACCGCCACTGGGGGGGCAAAGGCGGCCCGGCGTGGTGCTGGCCACCCACCCCCTCGTGTGCCACGGTGCCGGCCTTCAGAGAGATCGCTTGCTCGCTAACAGCACTTGTCGTTGTGAGTGTGTGTTGGCAGGGTGTGTGAGTGAGTGTGGGCAGTGTGTGTGTGGGCAGGGTGTGTGTGGGCAGGGTATGTGTGAGTGAGTGTGGGCAGGGTGTGTAGGTAGGCTGTGTGGCTGTGAGTGTGTGTGTGGGCAGGGTGTGTGGGCAGGGTGTGTGGGCAGGGTGTTTGGCTGTGAGTGTGTGTGTGAGTGACTGTGGGCAGGGTGTGTGGGCAGTGAGTGTGGGCAGGGTGTGTGGGCAGGGTGTGTGGGCAGTGTGTGTGGCTGTGAGTGTGTGTGTGGGCAGGGTGTGTGGGCAGGGTGTGTGGGCAGGGTGTTTGGCTGTGAGTGTGTGTGTGAGTGACTGTGGGCAGGGTGTGTGGGCAGTGAGTGTGGGCAGGGTGTGTGGGCAGGGTGTGTGGACAGGGTGTGTGGGCAGTGACTGTGGGCAGGGTGTGTGGGCATGGTGTGTGGGCAGTGTGTGTGTGTGAGTGTGTGTGGGCAGGCTGTGTGTGGGCAGTGTATGTGGGCAGGGTGTGTGGGCTGTGTGTGGGAATGTGTGGAGCGGTGGTGTTGCGGTTAGCGCGTCTGCGTTCCAAAGCACGGCGAGCCGAAATCTATTCCCGCTCACGCCTTCTCCCAACCGGTCCTGGGGTTGAGTCACCCTTCAAACGAGTAGGCGGTGCTCGCCAACAGCACTTGCCCCCCCACCCACAAGTCTAATAATAAGTATCTTTGTCTTTGTGTTCATAGTTGTGTAGGTGTATGTGTGTGTAGGTGTGTGTGTATGTGTGTGTAGGTGTGTGTGTGTGTAGGTGTTTGTGTGTGTAGGTGTGTGTGTGTAAGAGTGTGTGTAGGTGTGTGGTCGGGCGTTGTGCTGGCCACCCACCCCCTCGTGTACCGTTCCGGCCTTCATAGGTGCTCGCTAACAGCACTTGCCCCTACAGTCTGTTCAGGCTATACGGGGGATCTTTGTCTTTGTAGGTGTGTGTAGGTGTGTGTGTAGGTGTGTGTAGATGTGTGTGTAGATGTGTGTAGATGTGTGTGTAGGTGTGTGTATGTGTGTGTAAGTGTGTGTGTAGGTGTGTAGGTGTGTGTGTAAGTGTGTGTGTGTGTAGGTGTGTGTAGGGGTGTGTGTGTAGGTGTGTGTGTGTGGGGAGCGGTAGTATAGCGGTTAGCGCGCTGCGCTATGAACCCGGCGACACGGGTTTGATTCCCGCTCACGGCCAACACCAGTGACGATTATCTGAACCGGTCCTGGGCCTCCCCTAGGTCGACTCAGCCTCAAATGAGTACCTGGTGCGGTGTGTAAACATCGCCACTGGGGAGACAAAGGCGGCCGGGCGTGGTGTTGGTCACCCACCCCCTCGTGTGCCGTGCCGGCCTTCGTAGGTGCTCGCTATCAGTACTTGCCCAAACAGTCTGCTAAGGCTACACGGGGTATCTATATCTTTGTGTGTGTAGGTGTGTGTAGGTTTATTTTTGTGGATAGGTGTGTGGAGGCGGGGTTTGTAAACATCCCGGCTATGGCCAACCCACCCCCTTAAGATGTTTCTTGTTCATGTTTTTGTTTGTTGCGGTTGCACCCGATTCAAGAGCCGAATGGCTCACAGGGCTATACCTAATAAATTAACTGAACTAAAATAATAAAATGAACTGAACCTTAGTGTGCCGTTCCGGCCGACATGGATGCTTGCTAGCTGCAGTCTGTTAAAGGCTACACGGGGGATCTTTGTCTGTGTGTAGGTATGCAAACTACCAGCGCGAGCTTCTCTATTAATACCCCGATGACCACGTGACCTGGAATGTGTCCCATCTCATACTCCCACTTATGAGATGTGACACAACAGGCGCCCGCTAACAACACTCGCCCCCAAAACTCTGTGGGACATCTTTGTCTTTTGTGTGTAGGTGTGAATGGCTTTGCGTAGATGTGTGTGTGTGGGGAACGGTGGCGCAGTGATTAGCACACTGCGCTACGAACCTGGCGGCTCGAGATCGACTCGCCGATCACGACAAATAGTGGCGAATCTCGGGGCCTTCCCTAGATTGACTCAGCCTTAAATGGATACCTCGTGCGGTGTGGTAAACATCAGCACTGGGGGAGACAAAGGCTGTCAGGCTGTGCCGACCTTCATAGGTGCTGCTAGCCAACAGCACTTGCCCCGACAGTCTGTTAAAGGCAACTCGGAGGGGGGGGGGGGGGTCCCTGGTGTCTTTGCGTGCCTATGATACAATGGGGGGTCACGGGTGGTGCATCTGCCATCACCTGGGTCTGTCCCACGAGCCTTCCACGCCACTTGACACACGCGCGCGTACAGGCAAGCGCTGTGCGCTCAGCCACTGCGTGGTCGCGGGGGATGATTGACCACCACGCTGGTCAATGTGGACGTATGGTCACCCCCCCCCCTCCCCCCCACCGTGACTGAGACGGCGCGATTGAATCCTTCGTCCAGCAGTGGACGAATCATGGCTGATGACGATGATTCCAATAAGCGAGGCCTGCCTTGCCCACTTACAATTGTACCCACCCACATTGATCAGAGTGGTGAAGTATGGTCAACAACCCCCCTCCCCCCCCCTATTCTCCCCCCCCTCCCCCCATGACTGACACAGCTGGTCAGTGACGTCGGCGGATGTCAGGGACGCTTCTAGAAGGCCCGCCTATGAATGTTGATGCACTGCCATCTCTGCTGCCACCACGTAGCCCCCCTCCACCCTTCCGCGATTACTTTTTTTTATTTCACCAGGTCAGGCACACGACTGAGTTACGCAAGTAGCTATTTTTCAGAAGCGTCCTGGCGACCACAAACGATAGCTCAACGAAGTGGCGGCTTAGCACCACCATCATCACCACCATCATCACCATCACCGTGTGGAGATGTATCACAGCAGCCAAACACTCTTAAACGCGTGACGCTGAATCTAAATGTGGAGGGGGAAAACCCAGAGGTCCCGGAGAAAAATCCACGCGACCACGGGGAGAGAGACACGCACACTCCAAATATACAGCAGCAGGCGTCAGGGTCGAACCCACGACCCCCTGTGTACCAGGCGAGGTAGTTAACATCTCGCCAGCGTGATAATGATGAGAGAGACACGCAAACTCCAAATATACAGCAGCAGGCGTCAGGGTCGGGGTCGAACCCACGACCTCCTGTGTACCAGGAGAGGTAGTTAACATCTCGCCACCGTGCCGCCCATAGCACCCGTTACGCAACGGCAATTGCCACCCAATCCCCCGGCACTTTATCCAGGCTCAAACACACCTGCGTAGCTTCTCAGCGCTGACGAGTTTGGGCGTATTCCGTGTGATTAAGGTCACAGGCGCATGCTCAGAGCATGATGGGTGTTGCTTTTGGCGCAGCCTTTATGGATGGATCTTAAAGCAATTCTTGGCGTGCGTGGGCTATCGTCTATGTGTCACCAGTGTGATTGAGCGTGTGTACATGTGTACGTCCCAGGGACGAATTAATCAATGAACATTTCCCCGGTGGCTGGTAGAATTGGAGTAAAGTGCCAAGTGACCACTAATCCACAGGCATAGCGGCGGGTATACTTGCTGTGGTGTGCCGGGTGCGTGGATGTGCTTTTTCCCGAGTAACCGACCCGGAGAGACCCGGCTGAAATGAATCCATGGATGTTTGGTGTTTAGATTATGAATGTATAAATATACATAATCTTTATTAATTACAAAATCTAACCATGCCCTTCACTCAAACCTGAACCAAACAATCACTGGTATATCACAAACAAACAGACTTTTAATAAGCAAACAATAGTTCCCATATTCATCCAGCAGTGGAGTGATTTTCACTGATGATGATAATAACCGGGCCTGCAGTGCCAATCACAATTTAACCAACCCACGTTGACCAGCGTGGTGAAGTATGGTCAAACAACCCTCTCCCGCCGTGACAGACACGGGCGCAGTTGAATCATCCTTCATCCAGCAGTGGATTGATGAAAAAAACCAGGCGCTGTGCTTGTACATTATTTATTAATTAGTATTACATTGGGGCAGTGGGGCAGTGGTTAGCACACTGCGCTAAGGACCCGGTCAACCACCCCCTTCGGTCCGTATTCCTCCGGCCACGGCTGACATTAGTGTCCAGTGACCTTCTGGACTCGTGCTGCAGTGGACTGGCATTGGCATCAAACCTGTGAACCCATTATCAGTGCCCCCGACCTTATTACAGACCCATTAAGACCCTATTGGTCACCCCGTGCCCTGATAAATCTCGGCGTTCATCTTACAAAGCCCCATCATCACAAGGAAGAAACACAAAATATCGACATAAATAAAAAATTTTGCCCGTACTGAAACGGCTGTACGCAGTATGGACTAGAAAACTCAACTTCCCCGCACAAGAATACGGGGTAAACCATACGGAGCGGTGGGGCAGTGGTTAGCACACTGCGCTACGGACCCGGCCAACTACCCCATTCGGTCCGTGTCCAGTGACCTTCCGCTGAACTCATCCAGCAGTGGATTGGCAGTGATGGGAGGTGCGGTAGGGAGAGAGGTCGCGTCCCAGCGCTGCTTCCTGTACAGTCGCAGCAGTAACCTAATCGTGCAACTCGGCTAAGGGAATTGCGACAGAGCGCAGTGTTTGAAGAGTTATCTGCCTCTGTAACCACCCCCACCTCCTCCTGTACCCCGCTATTGTTAATACTACCATCACCGTGGCAACAACACTCAAGGCTAAACTCAGCGATAAAGGTATATTTTAATCCAGGTGAAGCCCATTGAGCTATTAGCTCGTTTTCAGAGGCCACCTGGCCACACGTGGTGAGAGGCCATCGCAGTGGCTCATATCATCGTCATCACCACCACACGCGGCCGTAAATTGCCGACGCAATTCGACAGCATTGGCCTCAAAACAAAGTCTGACTTTGCTGATGAGGCACTGAATGTTGAAACCTGGTCCAGGGTTTTGCATGCATTTAATGCGGAGCACGCGGTCAGAATTAATAACCATGGCGACGCAAGTTCCGATTGCAATGCCTTCTGGGATCGCGCCGCTGCTGTTACCATCCTAGAATCTAACACAAAACTCACTCAGAGTGTTGCTGGGGACAGAGTGGTGCTGAGTGCCCAAACATCTTAAGCTTCCTGGCTCGCTCATTGCTCAAAGACACTGGCGTTGATAGACATCAACCGCATCAGAACATCACCAAGCCGATGCGCACATCCACTTTATGAATGGAAAAATTAAATCCACAAGCCACGGCACTGCGATTGTGGCAATTACAAAAAAAAATATGGACCACGTGACGAACCACCGTAATCTACGCTCCTTCACCGGAGGTGGAAACAGCAAAACTACACGGACGAATTCTCTCCCTAAGCCCTCTCGTCGTACGCCAGACCATCTCGACATTGGCATCTGGCTCCTGGACATGACGTCCTGGACATCTGTGAAAACGAGCTTTGAGGTTCATCGGATTCCTCCAGTACAAAGTTTTTATTGTGATATTGCCTCCATCAGAATAACTATAAATACTCGTGATGCGCGATGGCGCAAAGACAAAGGCCCCCCGTCTAACTTTCACATACTTTTTGGGGCAAGTGCGGTTAGCGAGCACCTATGAAGGCCAGTACTGTGGCACACACGAGGGGGGTGGGTGGCCAGCAACCACGCCCGGCCGCGACCTCAGCCAATGATTAACCAGCAACAATACGGGGAAAGCCTCGGCATGTGATAATCATTAACGAGCGGAGCCCACGTCAGGGACTCTCCGTGTCAAGGTGCCGTTGAAGGTGGTACACGTGGTCTCCCGGTCAAGGTTAAAGTTCATTTATCGCTCAACGGAGCCTTAGGCCGTTATCTCCTGTTTTACAGGCCTGAATCAGTGGTGGACATTACACATTGCTATGGCGGGAGCGAGTCTATCCATAGGGCAACCCGCTGTTAACAGCCCCCACAAAGTCGCACTTGCTGAATCGACCCAGGAGGAAAGTTGGGGCCGAATCAACCACACAACCAAAGTTTTAATTCGAAACCTTCCGATTGTCAGGAGGTAAAGCGGAGTAGAGGTTACGTGACCAGTAGCCCACGGGCGTAGCGACAGGCATACTGGACGTGTTGTGCCGGGTGCGAAGATATCTATTTTTCCCGAGTAGCCGAGCCATACGGACCCCGGCTGAAATTAATCCCAAGCTGTTTGCAATTTAGATTGTGCACACGTGCATTTACCGAACCTGCAGGGTTAATTGCAAACTCGGACCCCACCACCCCCGACCTCTGAGCCACCCGTTCTCGCAGAGCCTCATGGGAATCTATAAACGTCATGAGCCATGCCCCGTCCACTGCTGAATGAGGGCATCCTCGCGTTCGTCACCGCGTGCGGTGAACCGATCTGCCCGCTCCATCTCCGTGGCGGTCGTCACCTGGCTGCCCGTTCCGCAATCGGCCTCTACCATCGGTCATCAGCCTCAAAATGAGTTCCTGGAGCGATGTGAAAATATCGCCACTCGGGAGACAAAGGCGGCCGGGCATTGTTCTGGCCGCCCAGCCCCTCGTGGACCGAGTCGGCCTTCATAGGTGCTACTCGCTAACAGCACTTGCCCCAACGGCCTGTTAAAGGCTATACGGGGGGTCTTTATCTCTGTGTGGACACTGTGGACAGTTTCTCACATCACCGACTCTTGAGAGGCGACCCGTGCAGCGGGACGCGTCGTTGTCATAGCCGGGTTGATGTTTTGCTCCGTCGTGGAGGACAGCAGTTGTTGTGCAGGCAGCCCTGGGCACATCTACTGCTCCAATATTTACCTTGTGGCGGAGGGGGGGGGAGCAGGGTGCATTGGATCCTCGCAGTGTTCCGTGTCCCCTGACTACGCACAGTTGGTCGCTGTCCGCTGTTCCCCTTGGAGCGAGTTGGGGTTGGAGCCTCTCATCTCTCTCTCATTTATCTCTCTCATCTCTTTCTCTCATATCTCTCTCATTTATCTCTCTCATCTCTCATCTTTTTCTCATCTCTCTCATCTTTCTATAATCTGTCTCTTACCTCTCTCATCGTTTTCTCATCTCTCTTGTCTCTCATCTGTCTCTTATCTCTCTCATCTGTCTCTTACCTCTCTCTTATCTCTCTCATCGTTTTCTCATCTCTCATCTGTCTCTCATCTCTCATCTTTCTCTTATCTTTCTCTCAGCTCTCTCATCTCTCTCTTATCTCGCGCTCTCTCTCCTTGCTCGGTCGCTCCACATGAGGCCAACGAGAAGTGACCGCACAAAACATTGCGCAATGAAGGTGACAACAACAACATGTGGCATTATCCGAGCTAAACTGCCAAGAATATTCTTAGGAAAAAGCGCAAAAGTTACACACGCATACAAACAACATGAGCACTTCTCTAACGCTAAGAGCACTGGTTACGTGAACTCGGGAAAAGCCGTAGCGTTCGCGCACTCGCTGTGAAAAGTGCGACGAAGTCAGGGTCGTGCCAAAGTGTCCTCCTCCATTTCTGCTCTCAAGCAGGGCCCATTGCCCAAAAAAAACATCAGTCTACCGAATATTGTTTTGTTGTCGAAAAGTCTGGCGGTCGTCGCGAGCGACGTGGCGTGCTCGCTACCCCGAGTATCTCTGAGGCTCGTTGTTGGTGCTGGGCTGCAGTTGCTTCGTCTCAAGCTGTACCGCAATTTTGCTCTCACTTGTTTCCCCTCACCCCTCCCGCCCCCCGTTCTACGCTAATGTTACGTCTCATTTATGGAAAGCATCTTGAAATGTCATTGTGTTTAGACTCCACACGAACTAGATTTCTTTCGCGGTCGCCGCGCTTATTCAAGCGGATTTTTTTTGTCGTTTTCTTCCCCAGCGACATTGCGGTAGACGCCCCCCCCCACCCCGTCTCTCGCTGGCGCCCCTACGGCTCCGCCTGGTGAGCGGTCCGGCTCCTCAGACGCGTCAGATCGACGGCGTCCCGTCGAGGAGGAGCAGCACTTCCGCCTCGTTGACCTCCTGCACCCGCAGGCAGAGCTCCTTGAGCTTGAGCGCGTTGAGGGACAGCACCACCTTCTCCACGCTGGGGGAAGAAGAGCGGGGGAGAGGACGCCGAGCGCTCCGTCGTCAGAATATTAATGCGCGTAAACTGTACGCGAATCAATGCAGAGATTAATCGATTCGACGTTTGAGTCGCGGGCTTTACGAATCGCTGTTGCTCAATCGATCCATAGTTGCATGCTCGGAGGCTCGAGGAGAAATAGGAAGAAGTACCCGAGGGGGCAGGAGAGGGCTCAACCGGTACACATGGCCGTGAGCGGGCAGCCCCTCCTCCCTCCCCGCTCCCCGTCAGCCTCGTCAATTCGTACATAGCCACCTCCACTCAACCGCTAGCCCTGGAGCAGCAAGTGGCCTCGCTCTTTCTTGCTTTTATCGTTCCCACCGCCCGTAGGGCCCTGCCTACTCCCCACGCCAACTGTTCAGGTAGCCCAGCCCATTGTTGCCCTTATGCGTCGAGAAGGAGACCAGAAAATAATATCCCGATTTTCGCAAAAGTTTCATTCGGGGCAGCCTTTCCATAACCACGGGGGGGGGGGGGGGGGGGGCGGGAACTGTCGTTCCAAACCCGTTGCCTCTCCTCTACCCGTCACAACGTCTGCCGTCCGGCTCGGCTCCTGCCCGCCCGGCCGTCTGCCCGGCCACCCGCTCGCCCGCAAGCCATGTCGCTCACCACTCCTCCTCCTCCACGCAGGCCTGCGTGCCGTGTTTGACGTCGGCCAGGGCTCCGGCGGTGTCGGTCAGGCCGGGCAGGCGATCGCGCACAAACCCCGAAGCGTTGGCCGCGAGCGCGCTGGTCTCCGCCAACACATCGCACAGCCGCTCTGATGAATGGGCAAAGACACACGCGCGTGCGCACAAACACAGCAGTAGCGGTATAGGATTATAATAGCAATCGTAAACATAATTTCGAACCCTTTTTCCAGTCCACTGCTGGATGAGGGCCTCCACACGCCGTGTCGGTCGCGTGGATTGTTTTCTCCTTACTTCACCACGCTGGCTCAGGGTGGTGAAGGGGAGGGGGGTAGAGAGCATAAACGTTGCAGCATAGTAGAGTATAACAAGAAAGTCTGCTGCACTGCCATCTCCTGCCCACCACACAGCCACGCAGCAGCCTATAACACCTGCTGTATGCGTGGTGATCATCCATCCGAGCACTATCCAGGCTCAAGCCTGCTTAGCTTCCGAGATTTGACGAGTTGGGGCACACTGCGGGTGATTTGGTCATCACGAAAATGCACAGCGCCTGCCGCCAGGGCCTTTGAATGAATAGGTGACTGGCGCGTTTCTGTCAGACGCTCCACTTTGTCAGGGTGTGTCACGTGGCCTTGGCTCGCCTGATAGAGCCTGCGTGTCCTGGTCGGGCACGTGGATGTTGTGGAGAGGCAGTCTGTGTCTCGTGGCCTCCAGCGCCTCGCCAAACGCCCCGTACGACTCTTTGAATCTGCCCGGCAGCACCTCCAGCAGCGGAGACAGCGCCTGCGTCTGGGGGGAAATATTTTTGTTACTTTAAAAACCACATTATAAGGAAGAAAAAATAATGAATTGTGGAGAGCATTCCAACACGCGTAGTCGATGCTACGTCACGCCTTGAACGATGTCGCCAGACATCATCACGATGTCGTGTGAAATCATCGCCTTGGCCGAAAGGGCTCCGTCTATTTAGCGCCGTTTCGTGTTTATCACTTTGGCTCTCTACAACACCCTTAAGCTGAACACATGACAAGTGCTGTTAGCGAGCACAAGAAGATGGTTGGCTAACATCACGCGCCTTTATCTTCCAGTGCCGATGTTAACACACCCCAACAGATACTGTACTCAGTTTTAAGGTGGAGTCAACCTAGGGGGGAGGCCCAGGAGCAGTTCAGATAAATCGTCACCGATGTTGACCGTGAGCGGGAATCCAACTCGGGTCACCAGGTGTGTAGCGCAGCACCATAACCACTACACTACCGCTTCCCTGCACGTAACACATTATCACAACACAACAAGACACGTGACAACATAGTCATTGTACAGCACTGGGGTGGCGGGGGCATCATGAGGGTCACCATGATAGGTGGGGGCGGACGACACACACAGCAGGGGGGGGGGGGATCACGGGGGGCAGCAGCAGAACACGTCCACACACACACACGCACTTGTTGGGCGAGCTGCTTGTTAAGGGGCACGGTGTGCTCCAGCCTCTCGCTTAGCTCCCGCTTCCCCTGCAGCTTCCGCGCCAGCCGCTCGTTCCTCTTGAAGCGGCCGCGTTGGCTCTCGCGCTCCTCCTCCTCTACGCGCCGCGCCCCCTCGTCGACCTGGTTGCGCACAGGGCCAGCCGGCAGCGTGCAACGTCCGCCCAGGGGTTCATTAGCGACGCATTTCATCGCGTGACGCAAATTGCGAAATGCGATTGGTTGTTACAATCCCGATGTGGGCAGGGGTGGGTTGAGCCAGCCAGAAAGGGGCGGAGCTATGCTGCTGTAAGAGGCGTGGCCACACCTCCTTGTGCAACGACTCGCTCAGATGTGGACAAAGCGGTTGAAGGTGACGATGAAGTTGTGGGCCCGGTTGAAGACATGAGATGGCGCGTGAATGGTTCAAGCCCCATCTTGCTGCTACTGCAACCCATGAAACCGCCTCCGCATTCCACATCTTTTAACTTTGGTCTGTGCTTAAGACACAGAGTACAAACTGAGTGAAGATTTGATTTAAAACCATAAACGCCAAGTCTGTGTTCAATGAAGACCTGCGCCAAGGGTCTAAACAAACCACAGCTAGACAGCCCGTGACCAAATCACCCGGAATGCACCCGGGTCTCGTCAGGTCTCACAAGCCAAGCAGTAGTTGAGCCTGGATAGTGGTTGAAGGTAAGTGACCGATGTTATGAGTTGCGGGGGTAGAGCGGGCAAATGTAATCACTGTACTGTATCCTTACGCTCGACGTCTCCATCAAGCCGCAGCGAACCAGCGAGGTGAAGTGTGGTCAAACAACCCCCCACCCCACCCCCACAAACCCGCGTGGCATGGGGAGGCCATCATCGAGCAATGGATTGACAAGAGGGCTGAGTATGTGCACATATACGGCGAGAAGGGGCCTGGGTTTGTGTTCCAACTCTGGAACCTTTCTGTGTGGGAGTATGGGTTTACTCCCATTAAGCTAAACAAATAAACACAATGTAGCTTGTAATTTAGCCAAATATACCCAATGCTGGAAAAATTACCTAAAAATTACTCAATTGGGATCACACACAGTGGCAGTATCGACCCCTACTGCAAACACATGGCAGGAATCTCCTTAAAGTCTTGAGACTGAAACCTTCCTGGGAAACCAAACCTAGTAATAATAATGATAATTCTTAACATACTTTAAAACAAAGAGAAAAGGGATGAGGAATGGGCATCCATGATAGAGGGTTGAGTAGGGGTTAGGGCAGGGGATGGAATACATATAGGGGTGGGGGGAGGGAAGAGGAAAGAGAATGGGAAATGGAGAAAAGGTGAATATGATAAAAATGCACATTTACCCTCACACACGGAGGGAAGATGAAATGCGGTTACAATGCAGGACCGTACCTGCAAGTATGTGTACAGAGACATGAGGTAGTCCGTGTAGAGCAGGCTCAAGTCATCGTCCGTCCACATGCGCTTCTGCGGCTGGTATGACAGGGTACCAGCGTCTGTCTTCCGACGGGCGCTGGGCACCGTCACCTGGCTCCCCTTCCGCTCGTCCAACGCTGCCAATGAATGGACGACGTGCAGATTCGTCGTAAAATTGGCAACTCCTTCCCCCCCCCACGATTTTATCACGATTGCACCATCGGCGTCACGACGAGAGTTGAATAATCCATTGGAATCTCTCACAAGGCAGTGCACGCAACCCTTCGTGACAGATGTCAAAGAACTACCTCTGACATCCATTCTTCAAGTGACAATCTGGTTCACACGGTAGGGAGACAGATCTTTCCCAACTGCCCTGTTACAGAGAAAAGTTTGTGGCATGACGGTGAAACAAAGTTAATTATTCTCAGAGCTGGAAACTACGCAAATGAAGAAAAAAATCTTACGTTCCATTTTATGCGTGATCATTGGTGATGAGGCTGAGACCACCCACACTATACACGTCAGAAGCCGGTTTTTAAATCGCGGGTGGCTAAACCAGAATTCGAACTCTGGATCTCAGGTGGTGCGGGCTCAGTTCTCCGAGCCCTGAACCACTTGGCCACATCTGGAAACACGAATCATGAAATATCAACTGGCTGATTTGCATCGTAATAGTGATGCAGCCAAAGTCGGACATCACTCATTCCCCCTCTGCTACACACGTAAACTTCCTTCTCCCAGCCATCTGTGCTGTCAACTCCCTGCCTATGTTCGATGGTGGTAATGACGGTTGTAGGTGGTTGTGGGAGGTGATGATTGCAGTTATGGTATAGGTGGTTGGTGCTGGTGATAGCGATGGAGGTATGGACGCGAGATCTCACCGGACAGCACCGACACATCCCAGGACGGCAGAAGCGACAAATCGGGCCCCATCGTCAGCGTGGACTGCAGCTGCGAGTGGGCGCACTCCGGGAGGATCTCGGCCACTGTGAGCCTCCTGCAGACTTGATTCTGCACCGCCGAACCTGGCCGCGCAACCCCACCGGGAACACGAAACACAGAACTAAGGGAAGGGCTCCATCTCTACAGCAGAACTATTCCACTGGCGGCGCACGTAGGGTCAGATGTGGTCCCCGAAGGTTTTTGGAGTGGCCCGAAAAACTAATCAGAAATGTGGTGAAACATAACGTACCGACAGAAAACACACTAATACACAACGCGAAACACATGCTTTATGAACACAAAACACTAATACACGTGATACACATGCCTTACTAACGCAAAAGATGCACATCGTGAAACACATGCTGTACTAACACCATGGTGACTCAAGGCAGGGACATGTGATCTCTAGCGTAGTGGCCTGAGCAACCTCCTGGGGAAGTGTGGGGCGGGGGGCCAGCGCTCTATATTGGGGGGCCGCCATACCACATAAGGTTGTAACCCGTCGATCTTATCCGATACCACAATGGTCGTAACATTGACACCATGAACTTTCTGCACTATTGCACGTCCTTTGCAATCTGTCGGCTGTCACTGTCATTAGCGTAGTTGGCTACGTACGGTGGGATAGAAGTGCAAAATACGTTTGTAATTTAAATCATTCATCTGCCTAGCGATCGTTACCAGGTACGGATCTTTTGCTGTGCGTGGGGGAGCCCTGCTTTACTGCGGATCCCATGGGCAGCCCAGGCTTGGCCTTGACAGCCAAACTAGGCCTGGGGTTGAAGCCCCGGCCTGCATAGCCATGCTTGGCAAGCGACTTGTTGGCCAGCAACGTCTGCACGCACGCAGCCATCGTGCGTCACAGGACGAATCGACACAAAGCACACAAGACACAGTTCTGGGGAATGTGCATCTCGTTTGAGGACTTAAAAATGTAGGATTTTATATAAAGTCAGATTTTAAACAGCAAATTATTTTAGTGTTTTCTGATCATTTAAACGATAATGGAACATGTCTTTGTGACAAATATTTCTCTGCAACAGGACACGTTGGAGAGTATGTTTCCCTGCATGCGAATAAAACATGTCTCACGTGAAGTGATTTCAGAAGTTGAATCTTACATTGAAAATCATGAAATTAACTTGCATAGTGTTGAACAATTACTTACTTTATCCAAGTTGCCTCTCTCGGCTACATTTGCAGCAGACTGCTTGTATCGCGATGGAACACTCCTGCCTTGCGCTAAGAGACAGGAATAAGAAATCACGATGAGAACCAACGTGGACACGCAATTCTGCTTCTGTGAACGCGTGCACGTGTACGGCCCATATATAAATCCATTGCTGGATGAGGGCCTCCGCACGCCCACGCCACGTGGGTGTTGGGGGTCATTTGACCATACTTGACCACGCTGGTCAGCAAGGGTTTGAAAATATGGGGAAAACAGATGGAGGAGCATATAAGTAGAGTGTAACAGTGCATTTTGATGCACTGCCCTCCACGATGTAGCCCTGTAGCCACCTATGATAACCTGTTTGTGCGTGGCGGACACCCATCCGAGCACTGTCCAGGGTCATCGCCGCTTAGCTTCCAAGATTGGGCGCATTCTGGGTGATTTGGTCATGGGTATCAATGTGCGCGTAGACCCAGAACCTTGACTAGAAGTCACGGAGCAATGCGAAAGGCTCAGAGACGGGGTGGTGCTACTTACAAGGCATGCTGGGCATCGAGGAAGTTTTCTTTTTGTTCATGACTCTAGAAAATGAGCAAAACAAATTGACGCTTAATACACGTTAGGGCGTCCGCTGGACGAATGAATACTCGTGGCAAAGAGCCGGAGGCACCCCGGCATTTTCGCTTGACAAGCACGACGCTTCGATCACAGCAAGGCAATCAAGAGTCGTCATGTCAAGAGACGGAGTAGCCAGTCGGAACTCTCACAGAGTAGTCCAAAACTACGGGTTAAAAGAAGAGCCAATGTAAGAGGATATCACAAAGCTACCTCCGAGATACATTCGGGTGAGCTCTGCTTGACACAGTAGGGGGCAGCACTTTCCCACACGCCCTGCATCACGTCGATTAGCCAGTACAAATATACAGCTGCAGAACCCGGTCCTAAGTCATGCATTGTTCAATGAGATGTATTGATAATGTCATGTTCCCCTGCTATAGTGTGTGAATAATCTATATTTCTGCCCAATAAGCAGAATTGCTTACTTTGCGTTCGAAGAGTCAGAATTCTGCAGACCTGCACATCAAAACAAGCAAGGTTTTTTTTTATTCAGTCATAAAAACACAGTTTTGCGTTTAAACATGATCGGCCTTTCGGTCAGATACTGAAGCACCGGACCAGGGGGACGCGATTTAAATTAAACCACTGCGAGGAGGCAAGCAGGCAGTGTGCGCCTCGTGGCATGATGGATCAAACTGGGATTTGGCTCTTTCCCAGAAAATGCATTTAAGGGCACTCACGATGCGAGGCAATGCAGCGCTTTCCGAGAAAAGCAATTCATTACAAACACCCGACCGTTCTAACACGTTCCCTAAATGACGAGAAACTCATCAGACAGTACAAATCTAGCAGAGCATCATGTCTTTCAAAAATCACATCACCCAGTGTGAAAGCCGCAATTCAAGATGCACCAGGATAATTGAAATGTGAAAATAATGAGACAGAAGGATATACACAAGGTTACCGTATACACCTGCCGTACAGTTATTGATTCAGAATTTAGCAGATGGCTAGCGAGATAAACTAACAACGGAGTGGCAGCCAAGGAGGAAACGCGCCCAAGAATACGGTGCACGTGGAACAAAAAAAATATCTCGTGTACAGGCACCAGATGAATTGTTACATCGTAGGATCGTGAGAGATGGCGATGCCTTGGGGAGTAAATTGAAACATGACCTTTCAGCCAGACAATGTGGCACATGCCTGTGATCGTGATCCAGGGTGAAGATTTGGATCCCGTAAAATATTTGTCCAACTGGAAGATGATGCAAGCGGGCAAAACCTCTCCATTAACAAGAAATCGGCCCAAAATCCCCATGTAGCAGGGACCCTAGTGCTTGCGTACCTGTGCTGGACTCCGATGAGGTTGCTCCACTTGAGTTGTCACTTTTACTTGAGTCTAGGCAGGGGGGGGAATAAAATAAAAAGTCTGACGCGCACCATCGCCACGCGACAGTCGAGCGACTTCACACGCCGCTTACTGCAGAGGGAGCAAAAAGCATGCAGTGTGCATCCTCACAATAGCGCGGGTGAGTATACACCACATCCCGCTTACAAGGGGGGGGGTTTATTGGGAGCACCCCTGAAACTTTTCATTGGGGAAAAATAAAAAAAGGCAAATTACACTGCAAAACTGAAACAGTGTAACAAAACGATTCTGACATGTTGTTCGCTGCATCTCCAAGCGGAGCAGATGCAGCATGTTGTCAGGCAGTCCCAGTTTTGTAGTTTTTCAGTGCAGCAACCACTTTATTTGGATTAAATTGAAGACAAAAAAGCAACCTAGGCCGTGATCGGACACGTTTAGGATAATTTGATAATAATCGATTTGGTTTGGTATCCCGCGCCTTGTAAATAGCTCAGGATTGTCACGAATGCGCTCTGTTTAACAGTCTGCGGGAGTTTCACAGGAAGGGGCGGTTAGCTTTGTAGTGTATAATTTTTTTTCAAATTTGGACCACGGCACCAACGCATACGATAGAATGCTCCTTTCGACGTCAACAGATCTTGAACGTCCACTGCTAAGCAGACGGCGAGCGATATTGCACGGTCACCGACAACCTGCAGTTGTAACCAGGGTGGTCTGACAAAATTGAAGCACAGGCCTCCATGACAAACAGATAAAACGCACTACCACAGGCCGCCATGTGTCAAGAGGCCGATTCGGATTTGGTCGGGGTCGCTCGACTTGTTTCTGGGAATTAAAAACGTGCGACTGTGCATGGCGATTCGATTACCTTCCGTCGATGGGTTGGAGACGGGCATGACGCTTCTCCTTCGGGCCATTTGGTAACTGCAAGGTGGGTGGGTGACACGCAGTCAATGAGCTCAGAAATAGTCATCACTCGGTTAACGTTTTTAATCCGTTCCACGAAAACTACCGTTCACGAAAATAACTCTAATCGAATTATCTTACAAGTTGAAAAATAAGTTTTAAAAAAATCACCGAGCCTGCACTATATCTGTTTTCCCACTGCCCAAAACAGAAAACTAATGTCAACAAAGTCAGTCGAAACGCTCATAAATGGGTGTCGCTGATTGGCTGAGGGCACGGCTCAGCCCCCACTTACGAGCGCTCTGATTGGCCGAAATTGGCGCACTGCGTGCAGAACATAAACACGGTACCGTGACGTCACAATGTTAAGTCGAAACCATGAGGTCGCTATGGAAGGCGAAACGTTACACGAAAACCCGTTAACCGGTGTCACTGTTAACCGAGGGCCTAATGTAATGTGTAGCCCGTGTTTTCAATCCACTGCTGGATGAGATCCCTGCTCCCCACACCCCTCGAAATGCTTGTCGCTGGGGATATTTGATCATTTACATCACCACAACGGTCAGTCCGGGTTGGGTGAACGCGGGAAGCGTAGACGTGGGAGCATAGAACAGTACAAGGGGTATTGCCGTACCCTCCTCCTCCTCCTTTATTGCCCCCACACGTTGCCCGCTCTTGGCCATCACCAATGTCGCTGTCATCAATACGACAATCTTCATCGCTTCCATCATCATCGTCATCATGAGCCATGACCACACTCGGCACGCGCGAAGCAAGGTTAAAATAAGTAATATTTTAAAAACACTTTTTTAAAAACACGCTTTAATGAAATGTAGCGTACGAGTAATGGCAGAACTCCACGACTCCAGGAAGTGGCCCCGAAGCTTGCCACAATGTAAAGGACCATGGTGATTTACAGCCAACGTCAGTTGAGTGTGGACAATTAGACCCAAGCCGAAACATAACATATAAAAAATAATGTTTACAAATATTTTTCTCTTTTTTTTATATAGAATATAGTATTGTCATCAGTATGACATAAGTATACCAAGTTTGCAGTCGATACCACATTGAGAAGTAGGTTAAAATTGAGTAACAAGATTTGAGGATACGACAACAGAGTTAAATAAAAGTGTGTAAAAATAAATGATTGTTAACGTATTTACCCAGCAAAGCCACCACTGATACGTTGTGTTTAATTTAATTTTAAGACGTATAAGTCACATACTCTTAGGTTTTTTCGATAAAGTCACGTAGGTAAAAAGCAATAATAAAAGTAAAAACTATAGAAATAATAATAGAAATAAAATTATAAATCATGTGATTTCTAATTTTATTTCTATTATTTATACTTTTATTATTTATTTTTACCTACGTGACTTTACCGAAAAAACCCTAAGAGTATGAATCCTTGCAGTCACGAAAGCTTCAAATCTAGTGTTAAGATACGTAATTACGAGTGTTTATTAGACACGTGGGAGGAAACGCAACCCACGCGCGCGCGCGAGGGGGCAACACGCGATCCCCATCCAGCTGGAGACGGATGGCGACGAGTCCACGTGCTGCACTTGAGTTGAGTTTCATTTATTAGGTATCGCCCGGTGAGCCATTCAGGCTCTTGAATCGGGTACAACCGCAACAAACAGAAAACAAAAACATGAACAAGAAAACATCTTAAAGTGACTAAGTGCAAACAGAAAATCCAAGACAGCAAAATTTTGCAGAAAAAGCACCGTACACCAACGCTGTGTGCAAAAATCCCAGTGGGATGCAAGTCAAACAACAACAACAACCACAAGACAACGTAGATTAAGGCCATCAGTCTAACTCTGTACTACAACAAACATGAAAGCAATGTAACAGTGGTCATAGGAACTGACGGAATTTTCACAATGAATGACATAAACAACATGTACTACCAGACCCTGCAGCCATAGCTGTCTGCATGAGTTGATAACCCCCCACACACACAAACCACCCACACGGCATGTGGAGGCACTCATCCAGCAGTGGATCGAGAAAGGAGGTTGCAAAGACCGCTCAGACCACCAGGACTCACCACCTCGTCCAGTGCCAGAGGTCACGAACTCGGCCCGAATTGCCTCTCTTCGTCTTCTATCCCAAGCACTCTCCCTTCTCTAAACTATCGCGCCTACTCCGCACTCTCTCTTCTCTCCCCTCCTCACCTCTTCTCTCCTCACCTCTTCTCTCACCTCTCCTCGTCTCCTCACCTCTCCTCACCACCTCTCTCTCCTCACTTCTTCTCCCCTCCTCACCACCCCTCCTCACCACCCCTCCTCACCACCTCTCCTCACCACGTATCTCTCCTCACCACCTCTCCTCACCACGTCTCTCTCCTCACCACCTCTCCTCACCACCCCTCCTCACCACGTCTCTCTCCTCACCACCCCTCCTCACCACCTCTCCTCACCACCCCTCCTCACCACGTCTCTCTCCTCACCACCCCTCCTCACCACGTCTCTCTCCTCACCACCCCTCCTCACCACCTCTCCTCACCACGTCTCTCTCCTCACCACCCCTCCTCACCACCTCTCCTCACCACGTCTCTCTCCTCACCCACCTCTCCTCACCACCTCTCCTCACCACGTCTCTCTCCTCACACCTCTCCTCACCACCCCTCCTCACCACGTCTCTCTCCTCACCACCTCTCCTCACCACCTCTCCCACCACGTCTCTCTCCTCACCACCCCTCCTCACCACCTCTCCTCACCACCTCCCTCACCACGTATCTCTCCTCACCACCTCTCCTCACCACCTCTCCTCACCACGTCTCTCTCCTCACCACCTCTCCTCACCACGTCTCTCTCCTCACAACCTCTCTCTCCTCACCTCCTCTCCTCACTACCTCTCCTCACCACCTCTCCTCACCACCCCTCCTCACCACCTCTCCTCACCACCTCTCCTCACCACGTCTCTCTCCTCACAACCTCTCTCTCCTCACAACCTCTCTCTCCTCACCTCTCCTCACCTCCTCTCCTCACCTCCTCTCCTCACCTCCTCACCTCCTCTCCTCACCTCCTCTCCTCACTACCTCTCCTCACCACCTCTCCTCACCACCCCTCCTCTCCTCACCACCCCTCCTCACCACCCTTCCTCACCACCTCTCCTCACCACGTCTCTCTCCTCACCTCCTCACCACCTCTCCTCACCACCTCTCCTCACCACCCCTCCTCTCCTCACCACCTCTCCTCACCACCCTTCCTCACCACCTCTCCTCACCACGTCTCTCTCCTCACCTCCTCACCACCTCTCCTCACCACCTCACCACCTCTCCTCACCACGTCTCTCTCCTCACCTCCTCACCACCTCTCCTCACCACCTCTCCTCACCACGTCTCTCTCCTCACCTCCTCACCACCTCTCCTCACCACGTCTCTCTCCGCCACCGCCGCCCGCGGACAAAAACGCCGCGCGGGCCGCCGTGTGGGTGGGGGCGGCGCCTCCGGCAAGACGACGGCGCGCGATTGGCCGAGGCGAGCCCACGTGACGCGGGTCGGTGGTCGAGGGGAGGGGGGGCGGGGCGATAGAGATTTTGGCGGGAAACGCCGCGCGGCCTCTCGCGAGTGGCCAAAGTCGCTGCCACTCCGCTGCGTGGCGGGACAAAGTCAAGTTCATTTATTAGATTTCGATTTAAATCTTTCGTGACTGCAGGGATTCATCTCCTTGGTTCTTTCGGTAAAGTCACGTAGAAGGGAAATAATAAAATAAAACATAATAAAATTATTTAGATTTAAAGCTTTCGTGACTGCAGGGATTCATCTTCTTGGTTCAAGATAATATTATAATATTATTTTATTTTATTATGTTTTATTTTTAGTAGAAGGGAAGTAATAAAATAATAAAAATAAAACATAATAAAATAAAATAATATTATAATATTATCTTGGTTCTTTCGGTAAAGTCACGTAGAAGGGAAGTTGTGGCCGAAACGTGAGAAATATTTTATTATTTTCATTTATTAGGTATAGATTCTAGATTTTCGTGACTGCAAGGATTCATACTCTTAGGTTTTTCCGGTAAAGTCACGTAGGTAAAAGTAAATAATAATAAATAAATATTGCAATTACTAGAAATAAAAAAAATATCTATTATTTCTATAATTTATTTATTATTTACTTTTACCTACGTAACTTACCGAAAAAACCTAAGAGTATTTGGTGTAGCCCTGTGAGCCATTCGGCTCTTGAATCGGGTACAACCGCAACAAACAAAAATCAAGAACAAGAAAACATCTTAAAGTGAATATGTGACTAAGTGCAAACAGAAAATCCAAGAAAAGACAGCAAAATATTGCAGAAAAAGCACCATACACCAACACTGTGTGAAAAAATCCCAGTGGGATGCAAGTCAAACAACAACAACCACAAGACAACTTAGATTAAGGCTATCAGTCTTACTCCGTACTACAACAAACAAACATGGCCAAACTAAAAAACTTTTCGAAATCACCAAAATAAAGCTATGAAAGCAATGTAACAGTGATTATAGGAACTGTGACCGAATTTCACAATAAACGACATAAACAACATTGCACCACCAAACCCTGCAGCCATAGCTGGCTGCATCAGTCGGAGTATCAACATTTTTCAATGCACCTTTAAGATCAGCACACTAAATCAAAACACAGATCAAGTTGTTTAACCGTCGGTGGTGAGGTATGGTTAAAATTACCACACCAACCCCAACCCCAACATCCAGCAGTGGATTTACTGAACGTGCAATGCTGAGCAGTCGGTGGATGGTAACTCTGCTAACAACATCGGGGAACAGCTCAACACATTCGCGAAATAACACCACTGCGTGGCCTTGAAAAGGAATTGTATATATCACAGGGTAAACGTTTCGGGCAATGCCCCTTTCCTCAGTGCTGTGCCCTCAGTGTTAATTGCAGCGTCACCGAATATCCCGTAACAATATCAAACATTGTCATCGTCGATTTGAAGCTTTCGTGACTGCAAGGATTAATACTCTTAGGCTTTTTTCGGTAAAGTCACGTAGGTAAAATAAATAAATAAAATAAATAACATATAAATAAAATAATAAATCACGACGTTTCGATTGGCTTAAGACTATTAAACTGGAATTCACGTTCTAGATTTGAGGTTTTCGTGATCTTGGTACTTTCGGTGGGGTCGCGGAGGTAAAGAAGGTGATAAATAAAGGTGAAAGATAAAAATAAATAATATTAAATCACGACGTTTCGATTGCAACACAAGCAATCATCATTTATAGCCTCCTGGCATCTCTCCCTCTTTAGTATACATTTTCTTGCTGTGGTGTTCACACCTGATGATGATTGCTTGTGTTGCAATCGAAACGTCGTGATTTATAATTTCATTTCTATTATTATTTCTATTTTTTTCACCTACGTGACTTTACTGAAAAAACCTAAGAGTAGTGTCATCGTCACCCATCATCTGGGCCATCCCCTGCTGATGAGCCTAAGCGTGGCCAAAACCAATGCAGCTTTACACGCACGTGGGGTCGAGACTAAAGACGGAGTGGCAGCTACAGGAGGGAGGACGCCCGCAACAGCAGAGGAGGAGGAATCCTCATCCAGCAGTGGATCGATCATGGCCATAAGGGGCCGTCCATAAATGACGTCACGCGATTTTTGTAGATTTTTGACCCCCCCCCCCTCTTCGTCACACGTCAGACCCCCCCCTCAAATATGACGTCACAAAGCGCTGCCCCCCTCCCTCAAAAATGACGTCACAAAGCTCTGCCCCCGCCCCCCCAAAAAAAAACGAAAACATGCTTCAAATCGCTTTAAACTATTGTCATTGTAGTGCGTATTTAATGTGCCGCTGCACTCTGATGTTGCAGGAGAAAACATTTATCAAAAAGTATATTTAATTAAGTAGAACGTGTTGTCTATATTTATTTAAAGTTGCGCATTTTGATGTGACGTCACATTTCTCAAACCCCGCCCCTCCCCCCCTCGTCACACATCGTCACAAATATCTGACCACCACCCCCCCACTAGGTGCGTGACGTCATTTATGGACGGCCCCATACTTCACCACGTCGGTCAGTGCGCGTCGATGGCGAAGGCAGGGGGGTGCATCGAGGATGGGGCAACATAAGTACGGTACAACAGTTGCTGCACCGCCCTTCGGCAGCAGCAACAACGGCCCATCCTGACGCTGAACCAGGCTGAACGCCTGCTTAGGTATTCTTAGGTTTTTTCCGGTAAAGTCACGTAGGTGAAACATCAAAATAAATAAAAATAAAATAAAACAAAAAATCACGACGTTTCGGAGGCAACACAAGTCTCCGTCATCAGGTGGGACCGTCACAGCCGGATTAGCTGCATCAAGTGAGGCAATGATTCAAGATGTAATCCCTTTTATTTTTATTAATTTTGATGTTTTACCTACGTGACTTTACCGAAAAAACCTAAGAATATGAATCCTTGCAGTCACGAAAGCTTCAAATCTAGAACGCCTGCTTAGGCTTTGCGGGTGATCTGGCCACAGACATCCCCCCCCCGCCAGCATCTTCCCACCCCGCAATGCACATACACTCTCCGTAAATCTGCATGGCGAGGTGGTAATAATTAATCATCGGAGCTAATTGCTAAAGATGCAATCAGTCGGCACGCTATGCGAGGAGTAAGCGAGTGGTCACGGGGTCGTGGTGAGTCACACTCATATCGCTTCGCCGACTCACCGCTCGCCCTTAATTGATCTCACGCAACATCAATTCTGGCCAAGGGGACGTTCATAAATGACGTCACGCACCTCGGGGGGGGGGGGTCAGATATGTGTGACGATGTGTGACGAGAAGGGGGGGGGTTGAGAAATGTGACGTCACATCAAAATGCGCAACTTTAAATAAATATATAATTGCTATAACAACTCTAATTGTTATAACAACACTAATTGTTATAACAACACTCCTACAACATCAGAGTGCAGCGCCACATTAAATACGCACTACAATGACAATAGTTTAAAGCGATTTGAAGCATTTTTATTTTCAAAATGTAAATGTTTTTTTTGGGGGGGGGGGCAGAGCTTTGTGATGTCATATTTGAGGGGGGGGTCTGACTTTGTGACGCCGTGTGACGAGGAGGGGGGGTAAAATTCGTCAAAAATCGCGTGACGTCATTTATGGACGGCCCCAAATTTGGTCGTCTGGGTACCGGCGTTGTGGGACAGATCCCCACCCGGAGATGACACTGAACGCCACCAAAACATTTACATCGGATTTACGACTGAATTTAAGACGTAATCATCATCGGAGGAGTTTACGAATAACTCACATGAATTGGTCCAAAAAAAAGATTCAAAGTCGCATGCAGAATTCAGTGTTTCAATGATGAGATGTTTTTTTGCCAGTATATAACCCATTATATCTGTAATAAAAATAAGAATATATTTTACCCTTTCTGTAAATAAAACAGATGTTAAAATTCTAATTTATGGACGTCTCTGAGCATTGTTGACATTCCATTGTTATTTTTTTGTGTAACAATGCGATTGGTAATGTAATCACTTCCTGCCCCGGGTCATTATCTCACACACAACCTTGATGCTGGACCCTCGGGGCGCGCGCAGTGTCTCCTCATCAGCAGTCCGGCTCCCCGGAATCAATGCTGCTGAAATGATGCACTTCCCGGAAGGTCGTGCGGTTTATGGGATCGTTTCAGACACTTTTACGCACAAAATGTGTTTTTTACGCGTAGAGACGTATACGTGACAAAGAGAGACGTACGTACGGTGCGAAAGAAGTTCTGCGTACATACACTGCTTACTTATTTTGTCAACATCATCATAATGGGCCATGGCCAATCCACTGGAGGATGAATTAGGCCTCCAAAACTTCACAGCCATCGCTCACGATCTGTGATGTAATTGCACCAGACGGCAATTTTTGGTCGGATGCACCGCCAACCACTGCACCACGATGCGCCACACGCAATTAACGCTGATGCTGCTGCTGATGATGATGGCAACGCTATTGTATTACCATCGCCGACGGAGATGGCACTACATCCCTCCCCCCTCCACCACGAGTCACGTGACCCGCGACCAGGAGATGATAAGGATCACATGACGGAGGAGGGATGATTGCTATAAGTGGCTCCGGAATAATCCCTCCTCCCCCCCCCTCTTGCTGCTGATGCTGTGTGACACCATTCGCGAAGGCTCTCGCTCCCTCTCTCGCTGCGTGCGTATTCTTGGCCGCTCTGAACCCCAACTAAAGACTGTTTAGATACAATACCGCGACGACTGTTGTGGCGATTGCTCTGCGCTGCTGCCCTTTTGAAAAGAACGTTTCGTCATGAGGATTCCGTGCGCGCTGCCTCTGTTGTGGTGCTTCCTCCACCTGGGTATGGCAGCCGTTCCTCCCGCGTTCACGACGACGGTGATGATGATGCTGATTGTGATGATGCTGATTGTGGTGATGATGATGGACGGTGTTGCTGATTGTGATGATGATTGTGATTATGATGGTGATGATGATGGTGATGAGGATTGTGATGATGATGGTGATGATGATTGTGATGATGATGATGGTGATGATTGTGATGATGGACGGTGTTGCTGATTGTGATGATGATTGTGATGATGATTGTGATGCTGATTGTGGTGATGGTGATGATGGACGGTGTTGCTGATTGTGATGATGATGGTGATGATGATTGTGATCATGGACGGTGTTGGACCCTGACCAATTATTACCGGGCAGCTGTTATCGAGGCCTGCTGTGGATAATCTGCGCGCGTGTAATTGTTGTATTTCTATGTCGGCCTCGTATAATAATGTCTTTGATCATTCCACTGCTGGATGAAGGCCTCCATCCCACGCCGTCACGGCGAGTGGGGGGATGGAGTGGGGGGTATTTGTAAGCGGGGAACTGCAGAACCGATTCGGGCTACTCGTCAACTGATGTGAACGGTGGTCAATAATCGAACCTATCAAGCTGGGGTTACAGCGCAGCGCGTTAATCACAGCGCCACTTAATTACGGCAGTGGATGTCGCACTGCTAGGAACCAGGCCACCTGAGTTCGATTCCTGTGCACGGCTAACGTACGCGGCGAGTGATGCCTGAACCGGTCATTGAGCCCTGACCCCCCCCCCCCCTCTCTATTGAACCCACGCCGACTAACGCGGGTGAAGTATGGTCAGGCAGCCTCCGTTGACTGATGATCGGAACGGCGTGACGAGGCCTGCCGCAATGGATTGACTCGAGGGGTGTAAATTTAGTCCGGATTATTTAATCACGCGCGTAGTCAATGTGCGAGCACGCACGAGTATACAGATGCCCTATTTTAAACGCCGCGTGAATTCATCAGCGAGTCTCAAGGCTCCCATTCTCACGAAGATCCTGCTACATTGGGATGTTTGGCCGATTTCCATTTTTTTTAAAAGATCAGTTTTACTTCGCGTGGAAGCAAACTGGGAGTAACCCAGTCAAAATCCACCGCGCTCGCAAGGGGATAACGCCTATAACTCCGCACAGATGGATTAAATCCACTTTCGGTGCACACCTCTCCTTGATCCACCAACCATCTCATCCATAGCGCTAAACCGCAGGTGGAGATCGCCATCACGCCTGGCCCTGTGATCACGATTTAATTACGATTGTAATCGTGATACAATGAGTGATTGTGATCATATGACGATCATTATTATAAGCAGGATCTGGAAGTGGGAGGTAGGTGATGTCCTTGACGCCAAGACAATTCCAGAGGTGAGATGTGCAACGATGTGAAACTTCCTGCCTCTAATTCAGCTTCACCTGCGGCCTTCTTTTATAAATCCCCTGCTGGATGATGGCCTCCCCATACTGGGTCGCGGAGGTATCTATACAACACTGATTCTTCTTCTTGGTTCTTTCGGTAAAGTCACGTAAAAGGGAAATAATAAAATAATCAAAATAAAACAATAAAATAATTCTCACAACGTCTCGGCCACAACGCAAGCAGCCGTCCTCAGGTGAAGAACAGGTCTGTCGGAAAGACCGCGTCAGACGCTGTCTTTTCGACAGACCTGTTCTTCACCTGAGGACGGCTGCTTGCGTTGTGGCCGAAACGTCGTGAGAATTCTTTTATGATGTTTTATTTTAATTATTTTATTATTTCCCTTCTACATGACTTTACCTAAAGTACCAAGAAGATGAATCCCTGCATTCACGAAAGCTTTAAATCGAAATTCCTGCCTCTAATTCAGCTACACGTGCGGCCCTCTATTATAAATCCCCTGCTGGATGATGGCCTCCCCAAACTGGGTCGCGGAGGTACAACACTGATTCTCTATACAAGTCAATTGGTGTCTAATAAACAATTGAGTAATTTAGTCATTGGTGGTTATGCTTCTTATAGTAGATGTGGAGCAACCGATTTAATGTTTTGATGAGGTGGTTGAGCCAGATGATTGCATCAAGAGTAGCGGAGTGGAGCATCCCTCGCAGAGACCCTCTTCCACCCTGGTGACCAGGTCGAGACCAGCTCCCTAAACTTGAGAACCCAGTTGGGCGGCTGAAACCTGGGCTCAAACCCAGGTTTTCGGCTACGTCAGGGCCCCATGATCCGCTCTGCTACCCCACAGGCTCAAGGAACTGAAACACCGGGGTGCGGGGAAGGTGAGACGGTGAGTCGACCAGGAGGGCCTTCCCTGGGGTCTACATCCATGTTGTCACGTCGTCTATTTACAGCCCTGTTACAGGCGCTTGTGTGTGAGCGCCCATGCCAGAGTGTTTATGGAAATGAACTTTAATTGAATTTTTCTGGTTGGCAGCTGATGCTGACGTGTGGTTTTGTACACTTGGGTAATGCACTGGCGGCAGAAGACCATTTTTCCAGTCTCCTTGCGAGAGCTATTAATAGTACATGGTGAACATGTACTGCCTTTGACAATCCACTGCTGGATGAGAGCCTCCCTGCACTCAATCCCTCAAACCCCTGTCACTACCCCAACCCCTCCTGAACAATTCCCGCCTGTTCTCCTGTCACTGTAACTACACCACTTTTTATAATCCCACTATCTCAAGCACTATCATCTTATGTCCAATTTTATAATTATTAGAAAAGCGCCTTTGAATAAGGTGCTTTATGAATCTAGATAAGATAGGAACTCTTGGCTCTGCTGATGTGCTCCAGAAGGGCGAAGGCTGTTTGGAGGTTGCGTTTTAAACCGACATTGCCGGTCAAACACAAGGTCTGCTCCAGGTTGTTTAAACACAAAGCCACAAACTCTCAATCATGGAATCGGCCAAACGATCCCAATGCAGCAGGACCCGCATGGAAGAAGAAGACAAAAAAAAACTATTTTGAGACTGAAGCTGATATGGCTAAATCAAAGACATTATTATTGATTCCTGGGCCAGGCTGTATTTTTATCCGTCCTTCAAATCTGCAGGATGCAGTATTGCTGGGCAGGTGCTTCGCGTGAGCACTTGTTCTTTGCACAAGAGGACGGGTAGCACTTTCCCACCCTCTATGCCACCAAGGTTAATGTTTTGTGCATGCCAGGTTAAGCCTCGCTCGGAGCTATAATTTTTCCAAATCAAGTGCAGAACTAAACTAGCGGTGACTGAGCTGAGACCACCTCGCCAAAGTTTATTAACCGGTTTAATCCCAGGCGGCTGAAGCTTGGATTTTTTAACCCAGAAATCTCGGCAGTGCCGTCTCGGCCGTCTGCCCACTTAGCCACCCGATTGCTCGGAGAAAAGCGGTGAAAAATGCACACTTCGATATGGTGGGTGGGTCTGTTTTAGATCAAATCGCTACCAACTTCCCTTTCAACCACCAGGAGATGATGGGCCCGAGTTTAACTTCCTGGAATTTCAACTCTCAACCTTCTGATTTATGAGCCACTCTGCCACTTTTGACGAACGTTAATAATAATAAACGTATCTTCTTGGTTCTTTCGGTAAAGTCACGTAGAAGGGAAGTAATAAAATAATAAAAATAAAACATAATAAAATAATATAATATAATAAAATTATTTTATTATGTTTTATTATTTTTATTATTTTATTACTTCCCTTCTACGTGACTTTACCGAAAGAACCAAGAAGATGAATCCCTGCAGTCACGAAAGCTTTAAATCGAAATAATAAACGTAATTCCTTCTACAAGGCTACTACTGTACCTTTTGATGTAACATCTCCTCCACGTGGGTATCTTTGCTCGTGGGAAGCCCACGAGAGCGTTTACCGGAGTGTGCTTTGGCTTCTGGATTGCCCCTTCCCCGTCCACCCACCCCCGGGTATTTGAAGTGGCGTCGCCAAATGTGCGGTGTTGGTGGCAGAAAGCACATCGTGACATCCCCGCGCGTACCAGCCGAGGTGCCAAATGTAACGCCACTCTCCCGTAGCGGGGACGCGCCGCCGCTGTTGGTCTCAGGGCTCCGTCAGGGAGGGAGAGGGGCTCTAGAACGGGCAGGGGTTGCCCCCACTCGCGGTCTTGGATGACAATCGTGGGTTTTTGATGAGTGGTGGGGACTTGATTGATGACGTTACCGATGAGGAAACCTTGTAAACCCAGTTATGTCTCCGAAGAGAGCGAGTGGAATACTTTGCGGCGTGTTTACAAGTTGAAATTATTAATTATTATTCTTATAGATGAACAAATCTAGACTTTCAACCACCACAACTCCTGTTCACCACTATGTGCAACTCCGGCTTACGGACTCCCCTTCACAATAAATAACGTCAACTTGCAAAGTGCCGCCACCGCCGCACCGTAGTCGCTCGCTCGCTCGATCTCTCTCGGAGCGTGAACGACTCGGAGGCACGTACAGTCAACCCCGGTTGACGTTTATTTCAAATTCACGTTTGAGACAAGTGGAAAGGCGACAGCAGCAGCCAGGCAGTGAGCCAGCAACAAATTCCCCCCCCTGCCCCTCTCCAAGCTCTGCAGTCCTCTAAGTCTTCTCACTGCACAGTCCAATCACTACACCCATGCAACGGACAACACCCAACCCTGCAGTCGTCGTGCGGTGTGCTAGAAGGGATTTGGGGGAGGGGGTATGGAGGTGAAAGTGTGCGGGGGAGCTTTGGAGGAGGATTGATCGTGGTGGTGGGGAACGCGTGTGCCGAGTGTCGGCAACTCCTTGCTGACGCTCGCTGTTCTTGTTTTGCGGTTGTGCGTGCGTGCGCTATTTGTTTTTGGCGTGTGCCCTTGCAGCGCGATCCTTCATCGCCCGAGACCCCGAGGATGGAAGCATCTGCGTCGTTGCCAACGTGTCAGCGCAATTCCAGGTCCAGTACGAGCTCGAGGACGGCTCGATGGTAAACTGGACGCCTCCTCGCTCGCCCTCTCTCTCTCCGTGTGCCCCGTATCGATCCGCAACAGAACACCCTGACGCAGCGACACATTCCCCCCCGCCCCCCCCCCCCCCCTTGGCTGCATTGCGATATTATTTCTCAGGAGCCACCTTTGGCAAATGCGCGAGGATTGACTTGGTTGCATCAGTTGGCGATGCCACGCGTTGTTTGCACGACGTCAGACGTGTATCTCTGCTTGCCGAGGAAACTCCTTCCATGAAACGAAATTCGCTTTTTTGTCCCACGTGCTGGGAGGAGAGAACGGCGCGCGCATCGACGCGGAATATCGCAGCGATATTCCGCGTTGAGCTGAACCTGGTAGCCTGAAAGTCGATGTCCTTCCACGGCTGAAGTTGGTGACAAGCGAATTATCTGAACCCCCGCTCTTTGCCAGCCCACACTGACCAACATGGTGGAGTATGATCAAACAATTCCTTCGACTCAAATGCTCTCTCATCCAGCAGCGTGTCGATAAAGGGCTATACACTACATATATTTTTAGGGCGCTTCATCTGAAATCTTCAGGGTGCCATGGTGGCGAGATGTTAACATCTATGCTGCCCACCCACCTTCACCAACCCGCACTGACCAGCCTGGTCAAGTATAGTTAAACAATATCGCCCGCCAATGCAGCATGGGAAGACATTCGCCCAGCAGAAGGATTTGTAAATCTGCTTGTGTGCTGGTGCGAGGATTGTCAAATCGCACGACCACGAGAGGTGGCGATGGCTCGCAGGGAGGCCTTCATCCAGCAGTGGATGGGTCACAGTTATGACGAATGAATGTTGTGGGTTTACTCTCCAGCACACCGGTGTGCTGAACTAGAAACTAATTGGCGCGTTTTGTTTTACGTGACAAACCTTACTAATTGGCCGTGTCGGGTGGTGCCGGGTTTAACGACACATTTATCCTTACGCCATCTCACCCCAAAAAAACCTCTTGTGGATGACGAAGTGTGCCTCACCGCTCCCCCCACCCGACCCCCGGCGGTGTCAACCTGTGCCCAGGGAATGGCGACCTTTGACCTCCCGCTGAACGCGTCCACGGTGGGCACCGAGTGCGGTGGTGGCGGGCGCGACGTGGACCTGACGCTGAGCTTCAGCAAGTGGCGGCACACGCTCTCCGTCGTCATGAACCACAACGACACCTCTTTCCGCGGCGACGCGTGGCACTTCGTGTACAACCTCGGCGACCCAGAAATCTTCCCCAGCGCCAGAGACAAAGGTGATTTCGATGCGCTGCCATCGGAAGCGACGAGCGGGGTGAGCGCCAATCTCGGCTTTCCACTTCCCCGGTCCCTGGAAGAGCGTCCTATGGAGATTTTAAAAACGAGGAACGACGCTGCACTCTTCCCCCAGAAGAGTGTCACGATTGGCTGCGTACGGTGCGAAAGAAGTTTGACGTTCGCGCACGCATGCACGTACGTACGTAACATTTCGCCACGTGAAATGCTGTCCAGCTCCCGTGCGCCCGAGCAAATCCCCCGCCGTGCCACGTGTTGCTCTCCCAGATATCAAGGTGGTCTTGTTCGAGAGCGACATCGCGGCTCCGCTCAACACGGCGTTCACTTGCTGGGCCAAGCAGTCGGTCACCTCCAAGCACGCCTCCGTCACGCTGTGGAACCTGCGCATACAGCCCTACGTGGTCGACGACGAAATCAGCAACGTGGGTGAGCGAGGTGGTGGTTGCTGCTCCCCCCCCCCCCACTACGGTGGTTTCTCCCCCGCCCCCCATTTGGCTGCCTTTCCATTGTTGGTCTCTCCCACCGGGCGTCATTGCTTCCAGTAAGCGGTGATGTCCTGCAACAAGACACACTTTTTGTTACCTTCAATATCGACGTCACTTAACTTGTTTTTTTCGTTCACGTTCTTAACATTCAGTGTGATGTCCTTAAACTCTCTAATCCATTTGGTGCTCTCTTTCTTTCTCGCGCGCTCTCTCCAAGCACGCGACTATTCCTGTTTCTCGGGCACAATTTTGAGCTTTTTTGCTTAATTTTTATTGTAAATGTTCGTTTTCCATTCCATCGTGCTAGGTGATGTGCACCAATTTTAAAATGTTCTTTTGTTGGCGCGTTGCTACCTTTCTTTCCACGATCGCTCTTCGCGTTCCAGAACAGCTCCTACCGACTCTGGTCTGCCAAATTTATGTTGCCTTTTTTTAATCCTCGTCAACTTTCAAAAATGTCCCCGAGATCCACACACTCCACCGCATTTTCCCAGTTCCATTGTGCATGCGCAAGTCTAAGCAGGGGCACAGTTTTCATTTCCATACATCGGCCTAAGGTACACTTTTTATTTGTTTTAGTGGAGACGCAGGTTTGAGTGCCCCTTGTATTTGATTTTTTCCCGCGACGAGTTGGTGCCCGCGGTTCGTTACGTCACCACAGGCTCGCAGTCTCAATTCGTCCGGACTTTAAATCCCACGAGACCCTTGACAAGAATAGGGCATTTCTGGGCCCACGGCCAGATCTACATGTTTTACCCCACCACTAACGTCCGGCTGCTCGGCTGCCACTCTGGGCAGCGCTGTGTGATGGCTCCATCATGTGGAATGCCCACCAGCAATATTCTCTCCCTTCCGAGGTTAGGGCCCATTGGATTCACAACAGGCCTGTGCACAATTCTGGTGTCCCCACTCCGAAGTGGTGGGTGAGGCTACGTGGGTGGTGGGTGGGGGCCACTTGGGTGGTGGGCGGGGCTAGCGGCTGAGTGGGCGGGGCTAGCGACTGAGTGGGCGGGGCTAGCGACTGAGTGGGCGGGGCTAGCGACTGAGTGGGCGGGGCTAGCGACTGAGTGGGCGGGGCTAGCGACTGAGTGGGCGGGGCTAGCGACTGAGTGGGCGGGGCTAGCGACTGAGTGGGCGGGGCTAGCGGCTGAGTGGGCGGGGCTAGCGGCTGAGTGGGCGGGGCTAGCGGCTGAGTGGGCGGGGCTAGCGACTGAGTGGGCGGGGCTAGCGACTGAGTGGGCGGGGCTAGCGACTGAGTGGGCGGGGCTAGCGACTGAGTGGGCGGGGCTAGCGACTGAGTGGGCGGGGCTGGCGGCTGAGTGGGCGGGGCTGGCGGCTGAGTGGGCGGGGCTGGCGACTGAGTGGGCGGGGCTGGCGACTGAGTGGGCGGGGCTGGCGACTGAGTGGGCGGGGCTGGCGGCTGAGTGGGCGGGGCTGGCGGCTGAGTGGGCGGGGCTGGCGGCTGAGTGGGCGGGGCTGGCGGCTGAGTGGGCGGGGCTGGCGGCTCTTGCACAGGAACGTGACTGCCTCCCAAGCCCCCCAAATCCGTGCGGCCTCATGTCTCGTTTTGGCGCTCTGTGAGGCACATGCGGCAGGCACATTAGTGGTCCCCTTCTTTGAGGGATAATGGGTTGGAGGTTGTGGTGCCAGGGTTTAGTGGGTGAGGGTGAAGGTATGGGCTTGGGGCAGGGCCAGTACTCGGGCGATGGGGGGAATCTGTACCCCTAATGTTCCTTGGCCTATCCAAGCTCACTCCGGAGTGGTGAATTGTGGCCCACACGACATCTCGACTACCCTCACCCCATCCGAGATGGCTTGGGCCCAGGCCTTGCTGGAGTTTGGACGTGGGGGTATGGCGTTATGGGTTTATTCAATCTTTAGACGATTGTTTTCTTTGAGACAGTGGGTCCCTAAAAACCATGTTTCTTATCCTGCATCTGCTGGTACAGTCGTCTCGGTCTTTACTTTTCCATTTTTTTTTCCCCCTTTTCCTCTCCCCCCATCCTAACAAAAACCGGCGGCATGAAATTGAGCGCGAACCAACGCGTTGCGGGAGATGCGACCCAGCCAGTGAACACTTGCGGCAACTGTTTCTAGTGCTTGTGGGGGCTGCCTTTTTTCTTTTTTACAAATCGCCGCAGCCTTTGATGGGCACAAACCCGCGAGTCGGCATCCAAAAGGCTCGGAGTACAAATAGCAGAGGCGGCAGCAGCAGCGGCAGCAGCAGCCGCTGGGATCGGCTATAATTGGCACTTTCACGTGCTTCGGCTGTGAATGAAAGCATCTGTGCCTGAGTATTTTTGAAAAAGACGCGTGAAGAGGAAGATGCGTCGTGGTGGCACATGCTGGCTGGGTGGGTGAATGAATGAATGGGGGCTCGGTTTAAGCGATTTTTGGGTGCGATTGCCTGGGGTGGCGGGGGTTGGAAGTGGAGATTGGCTCCTGGTACCCGTGCAGCCATTTTGTCAGTTCAGGGGCCTACCCCACTTGCCGTGTGGGTTATTTGGTCAAGCTTTCCCATTGGTCGGTACGGTTGGCAAAACCAGGGAGCGGATGAGAGGAGGGAAACGTAGACGTACGGTACAACAATGGATTTTGCTGCACTTCCTTCTGTCGGAAACTTATCCCCGCAGCCACTTACAGCTGTGCCTGTCTCCATGGTGACTGCCTGTCCAAGCACCACTCGCGTGACCCATAAGACTGCAGTCCTTCATTTAAGAATTTTATTCGGGTCGGGTAGTTCACAAACGGCTTATTTGTGCGATGGGTCCCTGGCAGATTGAGTTCATACGTGACTGACAAATTACTCATTCTGCGTCTCTCAAATGTAATGTTCTTTTGAAGGGGGTTTTTATTGTTAAGGGTTAGGTGGGGGGTCAAGCTATCAAGGCTTTGAGGTCCGAGTACCAAGCCGACATTGCTAAGATCCAGGGTTTGACTCCAGGTGTCGGCCGACGGAGCCTGAAACTGGATTCTCAATCCCAAAAAAATCTTACAAATAACGAGAATCATCTTCTTAGTTCTTTCGGTAAAGTCACGTAGAAGGGAAATAATAAAATAATAATAAATAACCATAATAAAATTATTCTCACGACGTTTCGGCCACAACGCAAGCAGCCGTCCTCCGGTGAAGAACAGGTGAAGACCAGGTCTTTCGGGGGGACGGCTGCTTGCGTTGTGGCCGAAACGTCGTGAGAATTAATTAATGTTTTATTTTTATTATTTTATTATTTCCCTTCTACGTCACTTTACCTAAAGAACCAAGAAGATGAATCCCTGCAGTCACGAAAGCTTTAAATCGAAAAATAACGAGAACCCAAATAAGCTCATCATCGTTTCGTCTGCCCTCCCAGCGACTCACTGCAAGGAGGACTTTCCGCTCACGACCCCCTCGACTTCTACCACTGCGACCCCGAGCCCCGCGACCCCGAGCTCCGTGACCCCGAGCTCCGTGACCCCAAGTCCCGGCCCCGCGAACCCGAGCCCAAGCCCCACGGGCCCTCCGCCGGCCGTCCCCGTCGGCTCCTACAACATCAGCGTGGGCAACCGCAGCTGCCTGCTGGCGCAGATGGCGCTGCAGGTGGTGCTGGTGTACAGCACGATGCGCAATGAGGTGCGGTGCTGCTGGCCACACGCGGTGCACTGGTGGGTTGGGAGGTCGGAGCGCAGAGCAGACAGCACCTGCTCATAGTCTGGGATTCGACTTTGCAAACTGATCACTCTGTGTAGTTTTTTTGTTTTAACCATACTCTTTGGTTCTTTCGGTAAAGTCGCGTAGATGAAATGAAAAAAAATGAAAACAACTAAATTAAATCGCCACGTTTGGGAGGCAACACAAGCTTCCGTCATCTGGTGGAACAGCCACAGCAAAATTACTGTAGTGAATAGAGAGAGCTATTTGTGACGAGCGATTACACAGGGTAAGAGGGGGGGAGGAGCCAGGGAGGAGGGATGCCGGGGGGAGGGGCGTCGTGCGGAGTGGGGGGGGGTTAAGCTGAGATAAGCTGATTAATAACGTCCTTTTAGGACGCTTGTCACAAATAGCTCTCTCTACTCACTACAGTAATTTTGCTGTGGCTGTTCCACCTGATGACGGAAGCTTGCGTTGCCCCTGAAACGTCGTGATTTAATTTAGTTATTTTCATTTTATGAATTTTTATTATTATTTTTATTTTTCATCTACGTGACTTTACCGATAAAACCAAAGAGTATGGATCCTTGCAGTCACGAAAACTTCAAATCTGGAATTATTTTAACCATTTGGGAACTCAAGAGGCCAGCAGTGGTTCTACTTTTGCAAACCGTAATCCTAAAAATGGGCACAACAACTAAGCAAATAGAAATGGGCGCAGAAACAACTGCGTTTCGGAAGACACCCGGAAATGTGAAGTTGCTGGTCTCGGCTTGGTCACCAGTCGTAGACCTACAAACTCGCAGCAGGACCCAATGGGCACAGAGACCCAGAAATAATTGTGCTCAAACCGGGTTCTCAAGCGTGCTGAATTGATAGTCTCAATCAAGCCAGTCGATAAATATTTTACATCAACAATGGTGACGGCCAATTGACCTCGCACGCATCCGCTCGACCCCGGGAAGGCCCCTTATCCAGCAGCGGACTGACAAATGGGTCGTACATGCGGAGTACGAGGAATAACGCGATTCGCCAAAACTCCTCGCGTTTGTTTGCGTTCGCGCGCGAGACGCGTGCCTGGCTTCGTTGCGACCACGGATGGTGTGAATGTTGACTACGACGCGACTGCGACAGTCGTGATGACTCTGGTAAAGACTACGAAGACCGTGTTGAGGTTGCTGACAATGTTGACAAAGCGATTGGGCCCCCCCCCCTCCTCCATGCGCTCAGACGCGGCGCGGCGTTTTCCACGTGAACCCCAACGCGACGAGTGCCACAGGTTCGTGCGGCGACGCGACGGCCAGCCTCTCGCTCTCCTTCAGCCAGGGCGCCGTGTTCCTCGGCTTCAGCGCGGTGAGCTTGGGTGGAGAAGGGCGAGGGTCAGGAGGGAGGGGTGGTTGGGTGGGGTGGTCCTGGGGAATTTGTGGTGAGTGGTGTTGAGTTTCTGGATTTCGCTATTTGGTGAGCATTTGTGCTTTGCGTGTAACGTAGGGTCAATACAACTCCTGTGAAGGTGTTTTGGTATCCACAACACCTTTTTGGTAAAACATTTTTTTGCCGATCGGGACTTGCCCTATAAAAACTGGTCGCACCAAATTTGGTGGTCCAAATAAAGCAAAGAAGATGACGTCATCTATACCTGGTCAAACGCACGCTTTACCCTGTATTCTTGCACAAGGAAATAGAATTTTCAGGTCCATGTGGCGTTACAGCCGTTTCAATACGGGCAAAAACATTTTGTGTCTATTTGTTTCTTCCTTGTGATGGGACTTTGTAGGATGAACGTTGAGTTTTATCAGGGCACGGAGTGACAATTTGAATTGGTCTAATAATGTAGGGCACTGATAAGGGGTTGACAGGTATGCATCATCGCACACCACCATGCGTGCGATGTTGCGTATCCCATGGCATCTTGTTTGCCTTGGAGCGTAACGTTACGATCGCTTCTTAAAATACTGTACTCTGGCAAACCCGCGATATTAAAGCCTTGTGTAATCCATGCACGTGGGTTTTTTTCAGGCGATTAAGTAGATTGAATAGTTTCGGCATTTGGTTTTGAATCGCTTTTAAATTTTCACGTCCGACGATGGTTCTCCTCCCCAACGTACGTTGAACTGAGGGCGTCGCAACGCCCTCGGTTCGTCAAACTCTGCCTCCGTCCTTGTTTGCCACGTCCGTGCTCGCAGAACAAATCCACGGACAAGTTCTACCTCACGTCGGTCAACGTGACGCTGCTCGACGCGTTCCCGGACGCGCGTGAGTACACGGCACCCCTCGGCCGGTCGGGGCGCCATTGCCCACACTGGAGATGCCCGGCTGCCCCACCTCCAGTGTTGGGGTGGGGGGGGAGATGGCATTGCCTGCCTAATTGTGTGATTTTATTTTTTTAACTGAAGTGGTATTGGACGCTGTTCCGCGATGTTCTACTTTAAAAAATTAACCTGTTTGGTGAATTATTGTAGGAATCCTTACTGCAAGCCGGCTTCGTGGCCACAACATTCCTGTTGGGCCGGGGCGGTCCCACTGGTTTAGGGAAATGTTTCCTCCCCCCCCACCCCCCGTGTCTTGAAGATTTTATTCGGGATTTTGCCCCAGGTGTTTTTAAATCCTTTATATTAAGTTCACTTGCTTGCTTGCTTTGTGCTCTTATGACCGTGCAAATCTTTCGGTCGTTTTTTAACCCACTTCCCGTGATCCAATCGAGCTGACATTTTGCACACAGACTCGTTGTGCGTGACAATTTATTTTCGTGAAAATTTTTTTCTAAAATTTTACACTTTTTAGGAAAAAATAAATTATATTTAATTACCAATTGCTTAATGGTGGCAGGCAATCATCTGACCCATAGGTGGCAGCCATCTCAAGCCAGAGGACGAGAGGACTCTAGCCGCCACGCATATAAAGGATTTATAGTGAAAAACTTTGTTTTTACGGATTTATTTTTTTACGCTTACTATCGGGGTTTGCCCCTCCCCCCCACCCCCCAATACTCTGTTTGAGTCTGCACTTGTGCCGTGTGCGTGCATGCACGGACATTGTGTATGGACATTACAACGACATGGAATAATCTGGGAATCATGCATGCAGAGCGGTGTATGCTTTGTGTTCACTGAGACCAAGGAACACACTGATCGCGGAACAAACACACACACACACTGCAGACTTTGCTTCATGTAAAATAGGCTTGGGCAGGATGCATTGTCGGTAGAAGGTACGATGGGCCAATAGACCCACACCTACTGGGTGGCATCTATGCGAAAAGAGCTTCATCGGATTTCTCCCGGGATAAATAAAGATTCTGATAGACGAGACTGGTGCTGGAATGGCAGGCAAAAGGCGAGCAACGGGCCCGAGGCTGGATGCTCGCCACAGGGCTCGCTCCGAAGCCGGCGCGCGTGTAAGGGGACGAGCACTGGGCCGTGGCACCGTGGAGATCGGGGTGAACGCCACGCGCGCGTTGTTTCTGCGCGCGTGGCAGCGTGGCTGGAGTTGGCGGGGCGCAATGGGAGCCTGGCGATGTTCGCGGCGCCGCTCGGCCGCTCCTACAGCTGTGCGAGCGAGCAGACGGTGGTGGTGACGCCCGAGTTGGAGCTGCTCGTCTCCCACCTGCACCTGCAGCCCTTCCACGTGACGAAGGGGCGCTACGACATGGGTGAGCGTCCACTCGCGTCTCCACCCCTCCGTCCATCCCCTGCGTCTCGTCCCTGTTGCTCCCCTCCCCTTGCCTCCCTGTGTCCCGTTTCTGCTGCGTGCCTACCCGTCTCTCTGCCCCCCCCCAACTCCTGTGCCCCCTGAACTTTCACCCTCCCTCCTGCACCTATCCCTGTAACCCATGCCCGTAACTGGTCATCATGCCACGGGTGAGCGGTCTGCCCTGCACCTTCCATGCACAAAACTGCACTCGCTGTGTCTGCAGGAAGTTTTTCACTCCTTGCACCGGGCCGACTGTACTGCACCCACTGGCTGGTCGCTTGCTTTTGCGAGTCTCTTGTCGGGGCGCGTGAGAATGCGGCGATGTAGCAGCGCCCTCTAGCGGTGCAACGGCTGATAGCCGCTTCGTTGAGCTGTATAGCATTTGTGAGCAGGTCGCTTTCTCAAAGAGAAGCTCATAAGGTCACTCTGTGGGCTATACCTGGTAAAGTAAAATATTTGAGCTTTATTTGTATAATTTTTTTCAAAGTCATTTGTTTACCTTTCTTATACTTTGCACTCGTATCGTGTTTTTGTATTTGGTGTAATGTTCTGACCTGCCCTGACAGGACATCTGTGAAAAAAAGAGCTTTTATAGCTCTTCGGATTCCTCCAGTATAAATCAATATTCCGATTCTGGCTCTGAGAACCAGCAGTTGTCCTAATGGATCAACTCGCCCCCGCGATAGCAACGTGGAATTGCCACCGTTGGCTCCACAGGGCTGTAAACAGGCGATGTGCGGCAACGCCCTCCCCAAGGCTCATCCGATGGAGCAGGAAATCATCGCTTTGTGACTGCCTCTTTGTCTTGCGGTTGACGGTGCGTCTGTGTGGGGGGCCACGCACGCACGCGCGCGCGTGTGTCTGTGCGCGCGCGTGTGCATTCGTGCGTACAGCCGTGGAGTGCCCCCAGGATGCCAAGCAGTGGATCATTCCCATCGTGATGGGAGCTGCGCTCGCCTGCCTGGCCGTCGTTGTGCTCACCGCGTACCTCTATGGCCAACACAAGCGGCAATCGGTCTATGCGAGGCTTTGATTCGCGGCCGCCTTCGCTCAAAGATCGGCGGCGTCCACCCTTGATAGTCCACGGGGTCAGAGCAGATGTTGGTACCACCCAAGTAAAAATAGTAGCGTAACTTCGGTCGTAACAATGTCTTTACACGAGTGCCTTATCTGATGATCACATTCATTTCAAACGGTTGGCAAGTTTTTCACTGTTGTTGGCCACATTTAAGAGATTGGAAACCGCTATCGTAATGCCACCTCCTGGTACCGACGAGCACGACATCTGGTCTGACCTAATGGATTGTGAAGAGTTGAATACCGGTGTACATTTGACAACAAAAAAATCCTGCTCGACATTGCCCAACATTTTCCGTTCTTCAATTCTACACAGCCTTGACAACATTTATTTGGGACCCTCCTCCAAAGACTCTCTAATTCCTGACATGAGCAGCAGAGGTTGTTATTTATGATGCGTGCAAGCCCTTCTGCACTGCTTCGGTTTGTGAATGTTGTTCTTGTGACATTCAAACCAACAGGACTGCGGCTGATGGCTTGCAATTATAACTTCACGTCTTCCTTGCCCTCCAACCTAGCGGCCCAGCACTGTGACCGTTTCGCCAGCGGTGAATTAAAACGGCCGCCCCTTTTTCAGCGCCAATGACAAATCTCATTTGAACCAAGTGCCTCAAGTCCCCCTGGGGTTTCCTCGCTATGCGGGTTCGGTTTGTGTGATCTCGCGTATATGTGGCGAACCTATTTCTACCCAATATTCGCAATACTACATGGTTTGACTTTGCCCGTTTGCGGTTGGGCATGGTGACAATGGCGGTACTGCGTGAGGTACCGCACGAGGTACTCGGCAGGCAGCCGTCTCCTCATGCGGTGACGCTTTGTGTGCCCCCCTCTTTGTTGTTTTTTTTGCAACTCCTCGACCACGTAAATCGAGGGAAACCTGTAATTTACAACCGAACCACATCGGAGACCTCGAAAGACATCTGATCATTCTTGTCAGATTCATGTAAGCATTGCCTCCCAACCGCTTGGCAACTGAGGTTTTCAACGTTGCTCGGTAACGACTATAACGACGCGTTTGATGTCGTGTCCTGAATTGCATCTCATCTCAACACCATTTGTATGTACTATATGTTGAACTTAAACTGGTAGGAACCTCCTGGTTACACCAGCCCACAGGGGATTATTGTGTCCGTCCGTCGTGGAGGGGCTGGGTGGGGAGGGGAGGGGCTGGGTGGGGAGGGGAGGGGCTGGGTGGGGAGGGGAGGGGCTGGGTGGGGAGGGGAGGGGCTGGGTGGGGAGGGAGGGGCTGGGTGGGGAGGGGAGGGGCTGGGTGGGGAGGGGAGGGGCTGGGTGGGGAGGGGCTGGGTGGGGAGGGGAGGGGCTGGGTGGGGAGGGGAGGGGCTGGGTGGGGAGGGGCTGGGTGGGGAGGGTAGGGGCTGGGTGGGGAGGGGTTGGTCACCCCGTTGTGCCCTTATAAAACTCAACGTTTAACCTACTCACGCCGGCTTGTGCCCGCCCTCACAGTCGGCCATATTTGCGGAATACACCACGCCGCCGTTGACCCTGATCATTGACCGAGCAACCCAACGTTCCTACCAGCTCCCTCCGCAGGAATGTGTTTTGGCACCGCACGTGGTCAACCGTGCTAATCAGAGGTGCGGGGGAAGGATGAACGCGCTAAACAGAACAAGCAGTTCTAAAGGAATGACGGCGAGCGCCCAGCGCCCGACTCTTCCCTCCTCCCGTTCAGGCCGAGCCGCAGGGCGACTAAACTCTTCCATTTCTCGTCCGTTAACGATCCTCCCCAACCCATGGTGTGATGGCTTAACCAAAGTTGATAACACAATTGTGACGAAATTAGGCTTTTTTTTTTCTTCCAAAAGAATGGCTTCCGTGTTTTAAATTTTGTTTTGTACTTGTACGGGGGCTTCTCTCCTCACTTTGTTTTGGACACCACTACCAGGACTGGCGGCCGGTTGTATTTTAAACCCCTGGCGTGTGTGTCCCCCCCCCCCCCCCCCCCCCGCCACCACCACTCTTCACATCCACTGCTGGGAACGCAAAAATTATACTTTGACTGTTTATGCGGCCGGCCACTGGACGGCTGTTTTGCTCTGGGGGTTGTTTTTTTTAGGGGGGGGGGGGGTACCCCCTGCCCCCTGCCCCTCCGGCCTTCCCTTCCGGCCTTCCCCTACACCACCATGAGGTCCTCCCGTGGCTGTACTCCCTGCTCTTGGTGACGTGTGACGACAATTATGAGAAAAATAAAATATTTAAAAACATTACGTTTTATCGAAAGTGCTTCATGTATCATGATTTTTTTTTCTTCCAGGCCTAATACTCTGCCCTAAGTAGTCGTAATAATAATACGACACCATAATGTCTAGATGTCCTCTTTGTGACCTTTTACCATTTGGTCTTCCCACCATGATTTGCATGTCACGTGAACATCACCAGTGACGATGATGCTCGATGGCTGTGCAGTCTGGGTGGCATCACTTTCTGCCAGTTCAAATTTCACCGCTATGCCCAAAAGCAGTGAGTTATGTGAACCACTTGAAATATAGGTGAGGTTACCAATTAAATTCACCATTGGCCATATACAATACATCTCTACGACCTCAAGTGGTACAAATTATATATTTTTTGCTCTGGCTCTTGGACCTATATCGCAGTGGTGTACGTATGTCACGTGGCGTGCAAGGGTATGATGGGATAAACGATGCTCTGGTTACAATCTCGCGGTTTTTGCTGTGGCAAAACCCCCTTGGTCCTGTCGTTTACTTTTCAGCGGAACACCTCTCGCCGCCACCTGACACGAACCGGACTTTGCCTTTAGCCTTCTGTGGTGTGCGTGTACTAACACCTCCTCAGGAACTGATCCTTGCTCTCGACTTTGCCATGCCTTTTTGTTTTTGGTGTTGAGCCGCGTTCTTTTGATTAACTCTCACCAATTTCTCTTTCCGTGTACATTTGTTTTTTTTGCCTTTACATCCTTCTCCTTTTGCTTTGCCTTTCATCGTTTCCCATCTTGCTCCCATCTGCTCCCAAACCCACCGACGCATTTCCACTCGCAACCAAAACCACGTGGCATCCACCCACGCACGCGTGCCAACCCTGGTCGCTCGCACCCACGACGCGCCGCACATGGACCCACAAACACGACCAACACGTGCACAAACACCTCGCCATCCCCTCCATCTCCCGTCCCTTGAACCCACCCCCCCTCCGACCCGTGCTGCCCACCCCAAGCCGTGAGCTGCCCCCAGGACTCTCTGCTGGGCTTCGTGCTGCCCCTCGTGGTTGGCGCCGGGCTGATAGTCCTCGTCTTCATCTCCGTGCTCGCGTACGGCATCGGGCGGAAGAAGAGCCGCACCACCTACGATGAGATCTGAGGCCGCTCGGCGATTTCGGCGGGGGACGAAGACGTGTTCTGGTGGTTGTTTTTTTTGGGTCCCTGCCGATTTTTGTTGCCGCACAGTCCGCGCAAGGGAATCGTTCCCATCTCGATGACCGACCCTACGGTGTGCGTTTACGCGGTTGTGCTGTATAATCTCTCCGCGCGTTTCGGGTTGCACCGTGCGGTGTTCCGCATGTCTGACGTGTCACTCGCCATCCCATCCCGCGCGGTGGGCGCTTAAATTATTAAACATTTTCCGAGGAAGCCGTCTCAGTCCGGTGGAACACAATTTCGGCCATCGTGCCAAGCCACACGCGGTGCGACCCACAACGAAGGCCCGGAGGAGGATTGTTTCGCACGCTTCCGTAAAGTTTGGAAAGGAGCCGTCGTCGGGTTGATGATGGGCACGATGGGCCCGTGCGTGCGCCTTGCCGACGTTGCTGCTTCACCGCACTGGCATGGCTATTGAGAGGTGCAGGTAGTGCAGCTGCACTGGGGCCCACTGGCTGGGCTATAACCAGGGGAGGGTGGGGGGGGGGAATTGGACTGCCCCCCCCTCATTTCAGTCTTTGCACGAGGGGCCATGCCACCCACGTAGTAGCCACTGCTAAAACATTTTGCCAGAGGTCCTTTTTGTTTGACTTTGTTCCAACAAAAACGTAAAAACGTTCCGTCGCTCGCGTGAAACGCGGTGCCGCCAAAGCGTGCTCATTTACCCCGCTGCGGTGCAGCTGGGGTAGCCGTAAATGTCACGGTGCACCGAGTTGTACATCTCTCTCGCTCTCCTCGTTATTTTCAGCGCCGGTTTTTGTTTCCCCGTCGTGCGAAGTGAATGGTTTTCTCGGAGCGCGATGGCTTTGCTCTCGCCGAGCCACGGAAATTATAATGACCCGCTGGCTGCATTAACGCTGCGGCTCGCGGTGAAGCGCTTTCAGAACCAGTTAATTGGGTGAATTATTCAACGTTGTGAGCTAAAAGTAAGCCGGTTTGTTCCGCAATAAATAGCGGCGTTGCAAATGCTCCACCTGACGAAGGCTGCTATAATGAGCCCCATTGCCGTATAATAATCACCTGCTGGTGCTCCAGCCGTAGTTATACCGCCTGCATACAATGCTGTTAGCGAAAGGAAGTGATTTCCCCCCCCCCCCCCCCCATATGTATTTTATTGAAAGGGAGCTTGGGTATAAATAGATGGGGGGTGGTTGTGGTGGGTGGTGACTGCCCTGTTTTACGTGGAAACGCACAGCGGGTCGGACCCTCAGGGTTGGGAGCAACGATTTGCCTTCGTGTAAACGACGCTTTGCGAGATTTAATTGTGTTTCCATATCCATGTACGCAACCGGTATTTATATAATATAATACAACAGCAGGAGGTTTTGCCTCGCTCTCGCAATCGTCGCTTCCACTTGAATTTGAATGAGCTCATGAATCGCGTATGTGTGTAAATAAAGGAACTTGCGAATTTGGTGGTGCCTTTTGTGAGCCCGATATTGTCAACTGCAAAAATTTTTTTTAAAATCTTCAATTCAATGGAGGAGATGGACCAGTTAAAATCGATTTGCATGAATCGATGCATTGGGGGATTGTGGTTTTTGATGGTAGTTTGGGGCAGGCCTTCACCCAGCAGCGGAGGGACCATGGCTGATGATGATGTGAAGAAGCTCTCCAGATAATTTATTTGGTCAATGTTTTTTTTTATTGGTAGGAAGGTGAATATATATATAAAATTGAAAAACAGTGGAGAAATAAAGTAGCTAAAAATATAGCAACGTTCATGGGTGAGAAGATGGCGTGGGGGGGGGGGGCGCGATGTGCTTGAGGTTAAGAAATGCACGCCGAGAAATTTACTGCATGAACCCACCTGAACACGCGCACACATTCCCTACTTTAGCAATCCCCTGGAGAGGCAGCTTGTGACAGAACCGTCGAGAAGGCAGTGCGAGTGGCTATGAGGCGTAACTATTAATTAACCCTTTTTATTTTAAATTCACTGCCGAGAAGTAAAACGTCGAAACCACATTAGCGGGGATGAATTCCGGGACTTGGAAATTTCTGAAGATTTTTTTTTTGGATTTTGTTTTGGGATTTCTTTGTGAACTTACGCAGCGTGGTAATGCGTCTTTGTGCTCACAACAGCGACGCCTGATCACGCAGGAGTGATATTGTATGTGACGTTATTTCCTGTGACGTAACAATTTCAATTTAGCCGGAAACTTTTTTTCTATAGACGTTTTTTTGGTTTAGATCGCGCAAATATAAAAATGTGTCCTTAAAACCCACCACCACCTGACACAGCCAACTAGTAAGGGTATGTCACGTAAACAGAACAAGCCAATTCGTCAGGCCTGATGAAGCTAGTTGTAATTACTAACGAAACGTCGTACTCCGTTTGTAAATGGTGTGGCTTGGCTCTCCGACACACCGGTGTGCTGTACTAGTGACGAATTGGCACGTTCTGTTTACGTGACAACCCGTACTATTTGGTTGTGACGGGTGGTCGTGGGTTTTAACGACACATTTACGCGATTTAACCCAAAAAAACACTTATGGATGATCTTGGTCGCGAAAGCATACGTGCTAAACTCACTTTTTGGTTATTTGGTTCATCCGAAATTTCCTACATCCCTGCCCGACCTTTGGAATGTTCCCGAATTCATCCCAAAATGGGGAAACACATCTCCCTAACGCGTCACGTGAATAGCACCAAGATATAACAATGTCATGGGGGCGGGAGTTCGTCTTAGGAGAAAGGATTGCGCGTGCGCACACATAGGCCTCGGCAAGGTAAGGTAAAAGTTACAAGGTAAAAACAACGAGCCTACCTTTACCCTACCTTTTACCTTACCCCTTGGCATGCCGACATCTTTACCTTTACCCTTCTACCCGGTAAAAAGGGTACATTTCCTTACCTTGCCAAGGCCTACACACACACGAGCGTTTGAGACCGGGGCGCGACGTGCAAGACGTGGCTCTGCACAAAGATGGGAGCGCTCGCCGGCCACCCAAATGCACAGCACCCACCAAGGCCCCCCCCCCCCCCCCCGAGTCGAAGCGAATAAATGTGACCGTGTCAAGCACGGAACGATTGTATTTGTTTCGGTTAAGATTGCAAAGCTCGTGGATAAGTGAGGTTAGTTGCACTCCAAACCTTTGAACCTTACGACTTTTTAGTCGGTTAATAAAAAACATCTAAACTACACTAAACTCTACGTGACCACTTGGGGCGAAATGACGATCCATCGATTAATTGATTCCTAAGTTCACGACGCCCACGTGGAGCTGCGTATGTAAGCCATGACGTTTGTTGATTGCCTTATGCAGTAACAAGTATACGATACCCCTGCAGCTAATATAAACACAAAGACAAAAATTCCCCGAGTAGCTATAACAGACTTTTGGGGCAAGTGCTGTTAGCGAGCAGCACCTATAAAGGTCAGCACAGTGCACACACACGCGCGAGACCGTTCAATAAAAATCGTTCCACTCCCCAGCGTCCACCACACTCGCCCATTCGCATGCAGCTGTGCCGTGACGGAGCAAGGCTTGCCGTTTGACTGTTTATATTCGGCCAACGATCTTCAAAAGGCTGTGCTTAACGTAATAAAAGTTTTGATTGCAAAAGCTTGCATATTCGTAGGTGGCGGAGGGAGTTTTTAACACGTGAGCATGGCTCGCCGTTATATACCGTTCCGTGTGGTGGGGTTGGGGGGGTAAAAATGTTACTTTGTCCAGATCTGAGCGACTAGTTGGGCAATGAGGATGCGTTTGGGCGTGACCAGATGCTCTAACCACGCCCACAATATTAGCATAACCCCACCCCTCTTTCTGGCTGCCCTCCCCCACATAACAGGATTGTAACAACCAACCACAGGCGTGCAAATGCAGTCACGTGGTGATGAAACCGCCGAGCGGATCAATGCTTGAAAGTGGAGTCCGTCCACTATGGGCAACCGGTTGCAGATCGGTTGCGTGCAACAGGATTGCACAACTGTTCGCTTAGACGTGGACTCTTTAAAACAATTGTCCAAATTATCGAAGCAATGCTTGAGAACCGTTATAGGAAGAAAAAAAATTGTGTGTGCTGCAGGCATTCACACATCGGCTTGTCCTCGGATAGCACGGTACAGCGTTTGCTTCCTCAGGCGTTACGATCTCAAATATTGAGAAATACAGTAGTGGGAATTAAAGCATTCTCCCGGAGGCAAGCATGGCGGCCTACTGCAAGAAGAAGCGCTCCTAACAGCCGGCCCAATTAAGCGGAGCCACGGACGGAGCCACGGAAGTTGCCGGTGGCAGGGTCGCGGCGCACTCTGCCACCCCAACCTCGTCATTCCTCCTACGCGCAAACTACGGCGCCTTTGTGGCGTTCAGCGGCGCGGGCAACGACCTTAAATTATACCTCGGGCGGGGGCCGCACGTTAACGCAGATCCTTGGCGTCGTTCGATAGGAACGTGAAAGATAGCGTGCGCGAGTTCGACCGAGTATAAAGAAGCCGCATGCAATGACAAAAGTGGCTGGGCACGATAAAATAAGAAGCACAGTGTTGTTGCCAGGGAAAATATGCATATGTATACTGCCCTCTAAGTACCCTATTAGTGCAGCTCAGATAAATATAATTTCCCCAGCTCTTTTTAAGTGGCCTAAAAAAGCCACAGGCCTCAGGCCGTATTTAAATTAATTTGCGTGCCATGCATACTTAAGCTGTGGGCCGTATGAAATTAAGCCGCAGACTGCGTTGAAATGCAATTGTACGTGTCACATCCGGCACGTGGAGCGTATTAAATGAAGTAGCGGGCCCTGTCAGGCTCAAGGGCCTGACAGCAGCTCGAGACGGAGGAGGGCGCAGGAGCGGGTGGGCCGACGAACGAGCGGGAAGCCGGAAGGCACAGGCAGGCCGACGGAGGAGCGGGAGCGGGCGGGCGGGCGGGCGGGCGGGGGACAAGGGGGATGCGTCCCCGCCGCGCCTAGAGCTCGTCGTGCCGCCCGGAGCCCACCGGCCGCATGCATCGGCCGATGAGCAGCGTGGCGCCGGATCGTGCGTCGCGCACCAGGAAGAAGAAGGGGTGGTCGACGTAGAAGAGGTGCGGGTTGCGCATGTCAGGGTGCCCGTGCACGGACATGTCGTACTCCTCCCCCTCCGTGTCGAACTCTAGCGCCTGCCGCGTGGAGCAGCGAGCCCAGGTGCAGCTCCCGGCCGCCGGTCATCCCCGAGAAGTCGGCCTTCGCCTTGTCGCTGACCTCCGCCAGGCCCAGGTCGGCCAGGGAGTTCTACGCGCGAACGGAGCAAGGCGTCGTTATTTAGTTTCGTCCGCGGCGGGCTTCGTCAAACCTCGGGACTTTCGCGGGAGGGTTCCTCGCCCCTCCGTGCTGCCGCGGCGTAACGGACATCGCGCGAGTTTGGCGACCGCTTCGCTCATCTAACTCCACACCTGCGATTAACATGGTTGGCTACGTGCCGTGCGAAAGAAGTTCAACATCCATAAACACCTGCCTCTCGTCTACATCTCTCATCTCACCGCATCTCAACTCGCCGGCGAGCTGGAACCACGGTAACCGGCACACCGCTAAACGCTCGCTCGCCTTGACGATGTTATTCGCTCGGCTGCCATCAGGTTCTTAACCACACGGATTTGGTCTCGGATCATTTCGTGGCCGATCACAAAAATCTATTACGAATCTTTATCTCTTCTCTCATCTCGCTGCTGGGTGGGCGAGGGGGTTATGAATCAAAAGGGAGGGGTTAGGGGCGGAGATGACTTAAAACAGTGCCACCACCACCAGCAGCAGCAGCACCATCGACGGAGTACCTTGATGTCAGCGGAGCCTTGCAGCAAGCCCTTGGGCATGGAGACGGCGATGGTCTTCTTCTGCAGCTTGGAGGTCCACTCCTCGAGCTGCTGCTTGGTGAGCAGCTTCTCCAGGCGCTCCAGGGACTCCGTGTGCAGTGGCAGGACGATCAGCAGGCTCTCCAGGCTGCCCTTGAGCTGCATCTCCAGCAACTGCACCTGCGCCTTCTCGTCGTGGTAGAAGTTGTAGAAGCCTGCCAGGAGCCGGGGTGGCACGCACGGTTCAGACTCCTGCTCCGCAGACCGAACCCGGGACGTGTTCGTCGGTCGGAGCAGGGCTCTTTACGTGCTCACCTGCGTGGCGAGTGCTCACCTATGAACCCACCTGTGTGTGCTCGCGCGCACATTGCGTGAAACTCACCTGAGCGCGCTCGCCCGTGTGCGCGCGTTCGCTTGCGCGGTGCGAGCGCTCACCTGTGCGGTGCATCATCTGGATGGAGATGGTGTGGGAGCGGCTGGTGAGGAAGCCGCGGGTGTCCACCATCTGGTGGTGGAACTTCTCATTCCAGCGGCCTGCGCACGCACACAACGCGGCCCGTGCAGGTGAGCCCCCCCCCCTCCGACCCCCTCCCCCCTCCGACCCCCTCCCCCCTCCGACCCCCTCCCCCCTCCGACCCCCCCCCTCCGACCCCCTCCCTCCTCCGACCCCCTCCCCCATCCGACCCCCTCCCCCCTCTGACCCCCTCCCCCATCCGACCCTCTACCCCCTCCGACCCTCTACCCCCTCCGACCCCCTCCCCCCTCCGACCCCCTCCCCCCTCCGACCCCCTCCCCCCTCCGACCCCCTCCCCCCCCACCCGCCTGCAACGCTAGGCCGTTAGCAGGTGATGTCTCTGTATGTGGAGGAGGCGCCGTTGCACAAGTGGTAACGATGATGCCTAAGATGCGTCAGTGGCGGAGTTTGATTTCTATATTTGGGAGTGGGCCGGGGGGTTCTCTTTGTTTCTCAGTTTAGGAATCGCGTGTGAAGGTAATTAACTTCTTTTTACTCTTAATTGTAAACTACTGAAAATAAGTTTAGAAAGGTGTCCAGTTTGGGGGGCATTGCCCCAGCTGTGCCCCCCCCCCCCCAAACTCCGCCCAAGATAATTTGCTCTTGCTACTGGTGTGGCCGGTGATGGTGACGTTGATGACAGCGATGATGACACAATTCTGATGCTGCTGATGTTAATACTACTACTGCTGATGATGCTACCAGCGCGGTACTGCCGATGATGCTACCGCTGACGACGACGCGACTGCTGCTGCTCGTGAAGAGAACGGCAACAACGGCAACAATCGGCGCGACCATCGCGCCCTCTAGTGGCCGGCCGCCACCGCGGGTGGCGTCGCTCACCCTTGAAGAAGAGCGCATTGACGAAGACCGCCCCGTCCGCGCCGTTCAGCTCCTTGGCCACTTCCTTGACCTTGCCGCCGGTGTTCTGCGCGGCCCACTCGTTGAGGGCCTTCAGGGCGCCGCGCTTGTCCTTGAGGTTCACCATGTCGTGCTGCAGGCCGTAGCGGGCCTTGCTGGAGCTCACAAAGCCCTGGCTGAAGGTCACGCCGCTCGGCGCGTAGACGCGCGACGCCGCCTTCCACGTGTGGTTCCTCCAGGTGGCTGCGGCGGCGGCGGCCTCCTCCTCCTGCGAGGCCAAGTCCCCCAGGACCTCGGCCAGGCCCGAGTGGAAGCCCTCGCCGGGCAGGCCCGACGGGTTGATGGCCTTCAGCAGCCGCGACGCCGTGGCCGAGGAGGCTCCGAGCTGAGCCGCCCCCAGCGCCGATGCGACCAGCACGGGTGAGAGGACCACGTTCTCCGTGGCCGGCACGGCCTTCGCCACGCTTTGGTAGAGGTCGATGGCGAAAGCCGAGTTGCCCTCGCCCACTTTCTTGGCGTGCTCGCTCAGGTTCTTGGGCGCCGCCGTGGCGTTGGTGACGGCCGCCGCGTCCGCCTTGGGCTCCGTCGCCTTCTTTTTGCCGTCGGCGGCAGCGGCGGCAGCCCCGGAAGCCAGCGCTGCCACCAGCAGCAGCATGCGTAGCGTAGTGGCCATCGCTTTCTTGCTTCGATCGGGTTCACGCGAGCAGCGGCGGGTGGCTCGTTTTGCCTGCGGGTGGGTTTGTGGCGGTGGCTGTTGCGGTTTAGGCGCCGGCACGGACCTGCGGTCGTGTTTTAGAGTAGAGCAGAGGGGCGTTGTTAACGTGGGAGAGAGTTTCTGGCCGGGTGAGCGAAGCTCTGCCGTTTATAGTCTGACGTTGTGCAATTGGCTCGCGGGAAAGCGTCGGCCAAAAAAATATAAATATATATTCATAACGGGCTCTCTTATTCCCCAAAGTTGGCCGAGTGCCAGGCCACTCAATCTTTTGGTAAAACCAACGCAGTGGGGGGAGGGCGCAAACCCGTCGACAGCGCAACGCTCGCAGACTTGCGTTGCCCCATCACTGGCAGCTTGCGAGTGATGCACGAGGTGCGTATTGAAAACAAAAAAAATGGGAATAAGGTCAAGCATTGGGAGGCCAAACCAGGACACATGGTGAACTGAGAGCCCCACCCACCCAGCTTTCCAATAGCCATGCCCACTCAGACACCGCTCCACCCACACAGGGGGTTGCCCCCTCCCCCCTTCACTACCCCCCTCCTCCCAATGACCATAGGCCTCACCCACTACTCAGATGGCTCCGCCCTTTGCCCAGATCAAGAGTTGAGCGTGGGGCCAGAACATTTTAAACCTGACAAAAATCCAGATTTACACAAATGCTTTGTTGCAGGGGGGCACTGGGACAGAAATCACCTGGATTGCCCCGGCAACAGCAAGACATGTAGCACATTTTTGATGAGGCCACAATAGGTCATGACCTCGTCTAGCTCTGTCGGGTGGCGGTGGTCCTGGTCACGCTGGACCCTGACCTCTGTAGGATTGAAGCCAAGTCCCATGCTATGGAATCACACCGAGGAACACACTTAATGTGACCCACCAATCCATTTGGTAATTGGCATACTTCGTCTAAATTCAGGCGTGGAACTCAAAGGAGCAGAGCAGCAGGCAAAAATGCCTTTTTTAATATCAAATAAAACATCCAGGTTTCAGTTGGCTTTGGACATGGATTGAAATGGCAATGGCTTGAGTATTATATGCATTCAAAGTGCCATGGAATGCCCAACGAGCCGCTGTATTAAAGCCAACTGTATTCAAATGAACAGGTAATTGGTTTAACTATTAGCGTATTCTTGGGTTAATAAGGCGCACTATTCTCCCTTGGTGTTGTAAATCAAAAGTTGTGGGTGAGCCTTATAATCCAATGATACATGGGTGAGTGTGTGCGAGACCGGATCTGTACAACTTTATTGACACAGCCCCACAAGTTTGCAGGTGCATCTTACTTTCCTGAGCGTCTTCTGATTATAGAATTAATGCATTGCATTTGCAAATCACATTTTTGTAACAATTAAACACTGTTTGACTATAGGAGCCATTTCCCTTTGTTTTCAAAAGGGGAAGTTACTCAACTTGCATGACAAATATCGGGCGATTTTGATTTGAATAAGGCCGAGCCATTTCTCATTTCTTAATGCGTTGCAGGACCGCGAGAGATGGCAGCAACTCATGGCGAAGGCCTTCATCCAGCAGCGGATTGGTCACGGCTGCCGGCGACGAATGGCGACCACTGTGCGCGAGTTCACCATCGGTAATTTCTGCCATGTGACCGCGAATTGCAAACAGCATGGCGGTGGTGTCGGATCCTGCCGAGTTCAAAGTGGCCGTTGGAATTTAAGCCCCGAAAAAAAAGTCTGCGGAAAACCACTTCTGGTGATGGTTCCAATCTAAATAAAATAAATATCTCTCCGGGAGCCGCCCCTCCACAGCACTGAACTCTCGTCAGAGCCACGTGTCTCCTCCGGGTTTGGACAGCAGAAGCAGCAGCAGCAGACCGAGACACGGACACTGTGCCGCAGGACTGATGCCAGAAATGTGGCCCCCTCCTGAACTGAATACGTGGCAGCGCGTATTTATTTATTTATTATTGAATGCACTCCCCACCCCCTGCTTGTCAATCCCCTGCTGGATCATTGATTCCTGGCCATGGTTCATGCAAGTGGTGGGTAATATCAGAACCGATTCTGGGCCCAGGGTGGTGAAGTATGGTCAAACAAACCCCCATGACCAACACGACATGGGGAGGCCTTCATCCAGCAGTGTATTAACAAATGGAAGTCATTAAAAAGAGCAACTTTTAACCCATGACCGAATCACCTGAAATCCTGTAATTGTGGAAGCCAAGCATGGTTGAGCCTGGATAGTACTTGGATGGGCGACCACCGTTCACAACCAAGAGTTGTGGGAGCTACGTTACGGGCAGAGCAGTAGTACAGCAGCGTTGTCCAATGTTGTATGGGATTTATATGCTCCCATGTTTACACTCCCCACCTTCATGAACCCGCGAGGCCCTCGTTCAGCAGTGGATTTCATGCACCCCGCTCGCAACTTTTACACACTCATAACAAACGGACCCGCTAAAAAAACATTTAAGTACTGTACAGTATGCATTGCCGCATATTTGTAAACCACGCGTTTTCTGTGCGTAAATAATTCATGCTGTTGGAAGTGTGGCACTTTCAAGGTCATTTATTGGAAGAGGCGAATCGAAAACACAACATTTTAAGGACACTACACTGGCTCAAAATGCTGTTCCACGCAAAAAATTTGAGTACCGTATATACAGAAATAAGCAATGCTCCACTGAGCTACATTGCAGGAAAAGTCGGACTCGCTTGATGTCTGCGAACAATTACCGTGATCAAATCACAGGGGCCAGCTGAGCAAATGTTGTCAAGGTCAACTCAGGACTTTAAATAATTATTTTCAAAATCAGTGTGCGCAGTTGGGTATTGTGAATACGAATTCCAATTGATCCAGGAAAGCCTCACCGAGTCTCAGGACTATCTTTTCACGAGGGCCCTGCCACATTGAGATGTTTTGGCCAATTCTGCCAGTGAGGGTCTGTCTTCATGTGGGAAGGAAACGCCACCACGCGTCGGAGAAGGGTGACACTCAGCGCTGCCACCTGCTGTCCACAACTCCCACAAGCCCCTGCTCCTACAGCTCCTGGCAAGCCCACGGTGGTGGCCTGCTCATGCCGAATGCTAGCCAGACTCGACTCCTGCTTAGCTTCCGAGATCTGCAAAGGTCGGCCACATTCCGGGTTGATTTTGGTCATGGGCTTTATATCTAATATATAAATAATCTTTTGTATCGAACCTCTGATACGTGGTCATCCATCCAAGTACTGGGTAGGCTCAACTTTGCTTAGTTTCAAATGTCAAAATGGTCAGGTGCCCCTCAGGTCGATTCGGTCTTAGGCATTATTATTATTGCATAAAGTACAGTATACAAATACCGCATGGACGATATACAGTTCAGTACCGTGCACAGTAGTCAACATACACTGTTGTTGTAATCTTCTACGCTTCAATGTCCAAGCTGACCAGGGTGGTGAAGTATGGTCAAACAACCCCCACCGCGTGGGACGTGTTCCCGGCCGTCGATGGATGTGACATGACGGGCTGTGGCTCGTGGACACAAACAGATTCTTTGTTTAAGATGCTCCGGAAAGTTAGATGCGTTAGCCGCGTTGGGCAGTCAACAGAATTACACAAATCTGATCTCCACACACACAACCTACCCGATGTTAGACGTACCCTCTCCCCACAACTTGGCATTAAATAACAGAGGGCAAGTGTGTCTTATGATCCAGAGAATACGGTAATGCGTACACGTAGGTTTCACTTGTAAACTTAGTAGGCTTTCGCGACCAATATCCATAATAACGTTTTTTTGGGTTAGATCGCGTAAATATAAGTGTGTCGTTAAATCCGCCACCACCCGACACAGCCAACTAGTGAGGGTTGTCACGTCAACAGAACGTGCCAATTCGTCACTAGTACAGCACACCGGTGTGTTAGAGAGTAAATCCACAACATTTACAATCCGAGCCACGACGTTTCGCCAGTAATTACAACTAGCACCATCAGGCGACAGCCAGATTTGTGGAGAATTCCCCCCGTTTCGTTCTTAAATATTGGCACGTTCTGTTTACGCGACAAACCTCTACTAAATTACCATGTTGGGTGGTGGCGGGTATAACGACACATTATATTTACGCGATCTAACCCATAACAAAAAAAACCCTCTTATGGACGTTTGTTTCAACAGGACAGGTGCATTGCCCTATTGTCTCAATAGGGGTCAGCATGGCGCGTGGTGGCGCGTGCCACGTCGACACAGCCGCACGGCCATATAAGGGGGGGGGGGGGCTGGGCTCTCGTCTCGCATTGGCGAAGGCGGGGGGCCCATCGGGGCCTCTAAGCAGCAATGAATGTACCCCTCCCCCCCCCGTCCCCGTCGCCACCTCTCTCTCGGTTCATGCAAACTCTGAGTGAGATGACAGAAGAGACATGGGCAGAAGGTGGAGATGCAGTGAGATAAGGGTAGAGAGAGACGCAGTGAGATGAGAGATGAAGACAATGGGAAGAGACGCCGTGAGATGAGAGATGAAGACAATGGGAAAATATGCAGTGAGATGAGAGATAACAATGGGAAGAGACGCAGTGAGATGAGAGGAGAGATACAGATGAGACAGATGAAGTGAGATAGATGGGAGATACTAACGAGATAGATATTATATCATCTTATCTCAATTAGTTTTTAGCATTCCATGCTCCACAAGAGTGCAGAACAAAGCTGCTTGACAGTACAGTAGCCCCGTTACTTGCACAGACACGAACCCGTCATTCCAGGGGCATGCCCGAGCCAATAACGTCTGACAATGCCACAAGTATTCGTGTAGCAAATTTGGCTCGTAATTATTGTATTCACGATCTTTTAATCCTGTCGCCGCCGAAGTATCCCTCCATTAGTCTGGTATTTTTTTTTCAAGCAAATATTTACCTGCCGCCAATGCCAGTCGGGTAGATCACAGACCACTCCAGCTAGCTAGGCAAAGGTCACCAATTGTCCGACACGTACGTCCGTAGCACTTCTAAATCTTCGCGTGGCAAATCGATTTTAGTTTTTGTTTTGACTGGCATTGGATCGAATCAAGCGAGTTTCTTGTCATTTATCCAGGAGAGTCTCAAGATTTAGTTCAAAAGGGTCCTGCCTAATAATTTGTATGTTTGGCCAATTTCACGACAACGATTAGTTGGTGATGCCGCTGCTGCTGTGCTGGCTGAGGTGCCCGAATCAAAAAGAACGATGGAACGCATTCGGCACTAACACGGCGTGGCCTTGAAACGTTCTGCAGGATACAATAGGCAACGTTCTCAGCTAATAGCCCTTATCCGCAGCACAACGCAGCGTTTGTCATTGACGAACGTTTAGAGTCTGTATCTTTGACTAACGAGAGTTTTGGCTTCGCGTGGGTAGAAAAAGCCAGAGGACCCGGAGATAACCCAGCAGTAGCCTGTGCGATACCATTGGGGGTTGGTCCACACACGGAGTGAAGAGAGGAGCTGAGAGAAACGCCAAACTGTGGCAGTAGCAGCCGATAATTATCAGAACCGGGGCCAATTGAAGCCACCGGGTCAAAGCGTTGTGTGGGTGGCGGTGACATTCACGGCGATCGACTCAAAGAGAAGCGAACGACTCGAAGGAGCAGCGAACGACCCCTTCATTGCAGATGCACCACGATGCAACAGACTTGTAGTTACATTATAATAAACATAAATTACGGGACTTTTGATTTGGTGGAGGTTGTGTTGGTGCACTTTGCCGGAGTCTAAACAAACTATGAACAAATCTACGACTCATTTTGTCCACTGCTGAATTTAAGGTCTTCCCCCATTGCCCACTCGGTCGTTGAGGGGGGTCATTAGACCATACTTCACCACGCCGGTCGGTGCGGGTTGGAGAATGAGATTCGATTCCCGGGACCAGTTCGGATCATCACTCGCCACGGATATTCGCCGTGGCCGGGAACCGAACTAGAGTTTTGTTGGTTTTAAAGCGCAATGCGCCAACCTCTGCACCACCGCTCCCCATCTCAAAACTAAATGGGCCGAAAACGTGTGCTCTTGCACAAGGGACATTGCCCGAAACGTTACTCAAAACACCAACAAACCAAAAAAATCCGTTATAATCAAACATTAAAGACAAACGCGGCGGTGAAATCACCCTCAACGCGCCCGATCTCTGCAGATCTCAGAAGCTAAGCAGTTTCGAGGCTGGCGAGTTGCTCGGACATAGGCAACGCAGAAATATCGATATCCCCCTCCCCCACGCCTCCACCAACCCGCAACGACCGTCGTGGTGAAGTATGGTCTAATACCCGGACAGCATTGGATGGACAAGTCGGGCTCTGCGCACGAGTAACATCGAACGCAACTCCAAGCCACGTCGCGCACTCCTCTCGACAGAGTTACTGCGAGACGGCTTCAAGCGACTAGAGATACACACACCCCGTAAGTTAAGTACCAAGGACACACGCAAAGCACGATTTGCTCATAAGACCCCCCCCCCCCCCCAACTAAAATAACTGCGGAGAACACAGCATCGTGTACAATCCGTCGTGTTCACGCGTGCATTTATGTGTACATCGTTAAGTATATCGGACTATGTGGCTCACCTTTGCCAAGTGGCCCGTTCGATCGAACGGCATTTGTCTACGCAGGTAAAGTTGTGGGCTAAGTCTCGCGGCCGTACAATTCTCGTCGGCAGCGGTATAACAAAAATACTTGCGGAGCAAATTCACGATCGCCCAATAATCGCCACGTACTTAACGCGCCGCATAAAGCCCTCTCTTCCCTTTTGTTTTGTGTGGTCGCTAGACACGGCAGCCGTCTGTCCGTCAAGGCTCTCGGCTCTCGAATCGAGAGATTTAAAGTCTCGTTGAGCGAGCCGGGGGGTGTCTGTCTGTAAACGGGTCGACTTACCACGCAGAACGAAGACGCCTAAGCAATGGAGGAGGAGGAGCACAGGGGCGATTTTGTTTGTGTGCGGGAGACGAAGCGAGACGCGAGACTCACACACAGAGAGCCGGCAGAGGGCTGGAAGGAGATACAAAGACGGCCGAGGAAGACTTAACGAGACAACTCAAGAAAACAACCGCTTTGCGCTTTTGCTGGGATCGACGCGCCGTCCTTTTATAGCAGGAACTGCCCTCCCGCACCCAACCCTAAAAGAACTTTCCAGAAAAGTGGGCCGATTGCTTCGTCCATATGTCTGGCTCGGACTAAACTCCGCCCGGACATCCGCCCGTGGACAAATCGCGTGATGCCGCGACTGCGAGCGGAGGAATGCGATCCCAGACAAAGACCCCCCCACCCGCCACCCTGGAGTCTCCCACGGTCTCTCGGAGCAAGGGCTGTGAGCGAGAGGCGGATGAAAGCCGGGCACTGTGACACTACCACGCCCGGCCGTCTTTGTCTCTCCCCACTGCCGATGTCTTTTTTTTTTAACAAAGTTCAAGTTCATTTATTTGGTATAGCCCTGTGAGCCATTCGGCTCTTTTGATTCGGGTGCAACCGCAACAAATAAAAAAAACAAAAACATGAACAAAAAACATCTTAAAGTGAATATGTGACTAAGTGCAAGCAGAAAATCCAAGAAAAGACAGCAAAATATTGCAGAAAAAAATCACCGTACACCAACGCTGTGTGCAAAAATCCCAGTGGGATGCAAGTCAAACAACAACAACAACAACCATAAGACAACTTAGATTAAGGCCATCAGTCTAACTCTGTACTACAACAAACAAACATGGCTAAACCAATACACTTTTCGAAATCACCAAAATAAAGCCATGAAAGCAATGAAAAAGCAATCATAGGAACTGTGACGGAATTTTCACTGTACCGAGCCAAGTTACCAATTTCAGGCTGAGTCGACCTAAGCGGGGGGTCGTCCAGCACCAGGGGGTTCGGATATCCGCCACCGGTGCTGGTCGTGAACCGTTCAGGCGACATCCAACTTCCATAAACCACAAAGTCAAACTATAATTTTACTTTTAATATAAATTCGTTTCGTTAGTAATAGTTGTTGACGATGGAAGGGTTTGTCTGGTTTTTGTTTACCCAATGTTGACTGTGTTAGGTAACTTCATAACAAACAAACAAATTGTCTTGATAATGTTTTATTTCATTCTCATCAGGCCCTATGGTGTCAAGTGAAGTATCGTACTATGAGTATCTCAGGCTACGAAGAAGGGCCATGATCCGAAACGTCGCCTATTGTATATTACAGTTTTCCTTTCAAGGCCACTGTGTCATGGACGGATGTCTTTCGTTTTTATTTTAATCTAAAACTTTGAAAACTGTGAGTGGAGAATTGAGAGCGTTATAAGCGAGCAGCTGCATAGACGTGCGCTGGAGGTAGGCGTGTGGTAAGGGAAGCCACCCACGGCCGCCTTTGTCTCCCCGCTGTCGATGATTTTCGTACGCATGGACGTCACATGCCATAGATCGAGAGCAGTGAATGTCCAGCCGTGATGATTTTCAATGATCGTCATCGGCCATGATAGTCTACTGCTGGATGATGTCCTCCCTAAGGCGTCACCTATAGTTGTTGTGCACGTAACAGCAACAACAACTGTTGATTTCTCGACCAAAGTCTTTGTCACGAGTTGTTTTTTTTTGGTATTTACACACACACGTCTTCTTACTCACACACACACACACGTCTTCTTACTTACACACACACACGTCTTCTTACTTACACACACACACGTCTTCTTACTTACACACACACGTCTTCTTACTTACACACACACACGTCTTCTTACTTACACACACACACACGTCTTCTTACTTACACACACACACGTCTTCTTACTTACACACACACGTCTTCTTACTTACACACACACGTCTTCTTACTTACACACACACACGTCTTCTTACTTACACACACACACGTCTTCTTACTTACACACACACGTCTTCTTACTTACACACACACACGTCTTCTTACTTACACACACACACACGTCTTCTTACTTACACACACACACGTCTTCTTACTTACACACACACACGTCTTCTTACTTACACACACACACACGTCTTCTTATTTACACACACACACGTCTTCTTACTTACACACACACGCGTAGCTGGTTATGAGGCACAACCCACAACTTTTGCTGTAAATTACAGGGGGACATAGTGCATATTATAGCCTGGGGACTACGGTGATAGCGAGCGTACCTATTGTGAGCTCTGCTATTGTGTAAAGGGGCCGTCCATAAATGACGTCACGCAATTTTGGACAATTTTTACCCCCCCCCCCCTTCGTCACACGGCGTCACAAAAAGTCAGACCCCCCCCTCAAATATGACGTCACAAAGCTCTGTCCCCACCTCCAAAAAAAACATGCTTCGAATCGCTTTAAACTATTGTCATTGTAGTGGGTATTTAATGTGGCGCTACACTCTGATGTTGTAGGATAAAACATTTATTAAAAAGTATATTTAATTAAGTAGAACGTGTTGTCTATATTTATTTAAAGTTGTGCCTTTTGATGTGACGTCAAATTTCTCACCCCCCCCCCCCCCCCATCGTCACAAATGTCTAACCCCCCCTAGGTGCGTGACGTCATTTATGGACGGCCCCAAAGTGATGCAAGTTCCTCGGAGATTGCATCCACATGCAAGGCGCCAAGAGCATTCATGAATCTTGTGCAGTACTCACACACAGAGACTCGGGCACGTTTGCCGTGATGCAATCGATATGCAACGCAGAGGTCGACTATTCGAGTTGCCTATTCGATCTCCAGGCGCGGCAGCTGAGACAAAGTGATGGGGGCAGTTTCTTAAAAATGTATTCTAGATTTGAAGCTTTCGTGACTGCAAGGATTCATACTGTTAGGTTTCTTCCGTAAAGTCACGTAGGTAAAAAAATAAAATTAAAAGTTAATAAAAGTAATAATGGAAATAAAATAAAAATATAATAATAAATCACGACGTTTCGGAGGCAACACAAGTCTCCGTCATCAGGTGGGACCGTCACAGCTAAATTTACTGCATCAAGATATGTCCAACCCAGCAGTGTGAATGGGTTCCACCACGGTTAGTCGACATCTCTCTCCCACCTCGTCAAGCCAGCCCGGAATTAGTCGGACAACATACCGTGTTTAGAGGGAATTGACCAGTGAAAGTCCCTCTTCTGTCGGTAGTTTCGTGGGGGAGCAATTGGGGAGGGCTTTTGCGCCTTTGGCGTTTGACAAAGAGAGTCAAGCAATCGTCTTCAGGCGAGAGAAGACGATCGCGTGTGTTGCGATCGAAACGTCGCCATCTATTATTTTTTCTGCTTCTTGGTTCTTTCGGTAAAGTCACGTAGAAGGGAAATAAAAAAATAATAAAAATAAAACATCATAAAATAATGCTCACGACGTTGCGGCCACAGAATTATTTTATTATTTCCCTTCTACGTGATTTCACCGAAAGACCCAAGAGTATGAATTCCTGCTTTAAATCAAGATACAAAAGAGGCTCGTTCACCTGCGAGCCATCTCACGCCTACCCAACCCGTCCGACGAGAGACGCTCATCTTATCTCCGTAGTCAAGGAACGCAATGCCCAGCCTCCCTTAACGCTACACGGCTCCTGTGTGCCGACTAAAATATATATCTTCTTGGTTCTTTCGGTAAAGTCACGTAGAAGGGAAGTAATAAAATAATAAAAATAAAACATAATAAAACAATTCTCACGACGTTTCGGCCACAACGCAAGCAGCCGTCCTCAGGTGAAAACCAGGCTTGGAGCATATATATAAGCTTATAAGCTTATATATATGCTCCAAGCCCGTGTGCTGTTTCATTCAGACTCTGTCGCCTCGACGGACCTGGTTTTCACCTGAGGACGGCTGCTTGCGTTGTGGCCGAAACGTCGTGAGAATTGTTTTATTATGTTTATTTTTATTATTTTATTACTTCCCTTCTACGTGACTTTACCGAAAGAACCAAGAAGATGAATCCCTGCAGTCACGAAAGCTTTAAATCGAGAAATAAAATATATATATTAATGTCGAAAGACAGAAAACAGTTGAACTTTTATTAGTTTCTAAGGCTTGGTGGATCACCGCAAGAACGACAATCTTGCGATACACATTCCTGCGGAGGGAGCTGGTAGGAACGTCGGGTTGCTCGGTCAATGGCCAGGGTCAACGGCGGCGTGGTGTATTCCGCAAATATGCCCGACTGTGAGGGAGGGCACAAGCCGGCGTGAGTAGGTTAAACGTTGAGTTTTATAAGGGCACCACGGGGTGACCAGCCCCTCCCCACCCAGCCCCCCCCACCCCTCCCACCCAGCCCCTCCCCACCCAGCCCCTCCCCACCTCTCCCCTCCCCACCCAGCCCCACCCTCCCCACCCTCCCCTCTCCACCCAGCCCATCCCTGCACGACGGACGGACACAATAATCCCCTGTGAGCTGGTGTAACCTGGCGGTTCCTACCAGTAAAAGTTGCATAATGTCCCCACACCTCCCATCCAGCCCCACCCCTCCCACCCCCCACCCAGCCCCACCCTCCCCACCGAGCCCCTCCCCACCCAGCCCCACCCTCCCCTCCCAGCCCCACCCTCCCCTCCCCACCCAGCCCCTCCCCACCCAGCCCCTCCCTCCCCACCCAGCCCCTCCCTCCCCACCCAGCCCCTCCCTGCACGACCGACGGACGGACACAATAATCCCCTGTGGGCTGGTGTAACCAGGAGGTTCCTACCAGTAACATCCCTTCCCCTGGAGTGTCCTGGAGCCGTCACATACCATCAGAAAGCAGTTACAGGAAGGGGTGGACTGGGATCCACCTCTCCCTTGGGCATGATGAGAGCCATACGCACTCGCACGCATGATGAGTGTTTCACTCCGGCTGCTGCCGTTTCCTCACACGTGTTTAACGTCTTGTAACCGAGCAGCAGCATTTGTTTATAATCAACGTTTTTGGGTTTAGATCGCGTTATTTATAAATGTGTCGTAACCCTCCACCACCCGACACGGCCAATCAGTAAAAAAGTGTCACGTTGACAAAAGACAAATAAAACATAATAAAACAATTCTCACGACGTTTCGGTCACAACGCAAGCAGCCGTCCTCAGGTGACAGCTGCTTGCGTTGTGGCCGAAACGTCGTGAGAATTGTTTTATTATGTTTTATTTTTATTATTTTATTACTTCCCTTCTACGTGACTTTACCGAAAGAACCAAGAAGATGAATCCCTGCAGTCACGAAAGCTTTAAATCGAAATTTAAAAGACAAATAGTTCACTGCTTTAGCCCACCGGTGTGTTAAAGTGTGAAACCACAACATTCACACATTTTTGAGTTGTACGACGTTTCGCTGGTAATTGCATCCAGCATCATCGGGCAATTCGCCAGAATGGTGAGGCTCTGCTCTGGCTACCGGTCTAACCGTTTATGAAAACCACAGCTGATGATGATTGCTTGTGTTGCAATCGAAACGTCGTGAGAATGTAATTGTTTTATTATTATTTTATTATTTCCCTTCTACTGTACGTGACTTTACCGAAAGAACCAAGAATATAAAGTTATTCACGTTGAAGTAATCAATAAAGTTGTTCACGTTGAGGTAGTCAATAAAGTTATTCATGTTGAGGTAGTCAATAAAGTTGTTCACGTTGAGGTAGACAATAAAGTTGTTCACGTCGAGGTAGTCAATAAAGTTATTCATGTTGAGGTAATCAATAAAGCTATTCACGTTGAGGTAGTCAATAAAGTTGCTCACGCGTCGCCTCCACAATAAAGTTATTCAATACCGGATCTCCAGCCACGTCTTCGCTAGGCCTCGCTTCGCCGCTGCAGTCCGTGTCCCCGTGTCCACGTCTCCACGCCAATTAGACCAACTACATCGTTATCAGAAGTTGCTCGGCAACTGTGCCGAGCTAATTAAGCCACAATGACTAACGGTAAGTCCTTAAATTCGCTTCGTACCGCCTGCGTTTGCGAGGTTCCCATATCGACCCCATCGTCGCCTAGATTTCGCCGCGGAGAAGAGTCGCCTTTGCCCGGGGAGCCCTTTAGGCGAGCGGCGGTGATGGCGTAGGCGGCGCGGTGGGTGTAGGCCCTCGTTAGGATTATCGTTGCGAAGTGATTGTTGGTAAAGTTTAAAAGCTATCTATTGACAATCATAGTTAGGACTGGTGGCACATCCAAGGGTCGTGTGCGAACACAGTTTGGGCTTGACTGGCAGATCATAAGAGGAAGGGCGAGGTGGTTATTGAGGGGACGTGTGGCGTAGTGTCTGTGTCTCTCTGTGGGCCGTGTCATGTCTTCTATATCGATCTATATCGATCTATTTCTGTATCTCTTGTCTTCAGACTGTCTTTTGTTGCGTGTCAAATTGTTTGCGTGCGTGTTTGTGTAGCTGTTTTTATTTTTGGGCAGTGTCTGCGTTTATCTCTTTGCTTCTGACGGTGATAATAGTCTTTCGCCACTGACTGTAGAGGTTCACGGTTCGATTGCAGCGGCCGCCCCGATTATCGCTGTGGGTATAACAGCCCCTTGACGTGATTCGCAGCAAGAGTAGGACATTGTGTGTCACCGTCAGGGTTCACGTTTGACACATTCGTCAATTAAGCCGAAGCATACTCGGATCGGGGGTTAGACTTAACAACAATCGTCTCCTACTGGCAGACGACTGCCCCAGGTCACTCTCGCAAACGAGGCTATTACTGGTCGTACGAGTCCTCACCTGGTTACACAATAAACATTTGAATTTGTTTTTCTGTATCTGTGTCCTCCTCCACCTCTCTCTGTGGCTGTGTTTCTCGGGGTGGAGCGTTGGCAAAGTGGTTAATTCACTGCGGTCTGTATCCAGCCATCTGAGTTAAATTCCTTGCCACGGCTAACAGCAATAGCAAGTGATATCTGAACATCAGCCATGGTGAATGGACTGCTGGATGAAGGCCTTGCCACAAGTGGTCACCATCTCTCGCGGTCCTGGAATGGTAGCAATCCATTTGGTACCTGGACACGAGCTGATTTCATCGCTCCCATCTCCCCAGACAGAAATATTGTTATCATTAAATGCCAATGGTAGTCATGTAAATCAGTGCATACTTAAGCGACCCACCAGTTGTTATTCAGTAGTTGACGGTAACATTTGTTGTCGGATCTGCTCATGACAGTCTATTCGCTCGACGGCCTCCTTGTGTTTGGACTCCTGCTCATCTGCACGTGCGCCTACTTCAAGAAGGTCCCGCGTCTCAAGCAGTGGTTCCTGTCCGAGAAGAAAGGGGTCTGGGGAGTTTTCTATAAAGGTACTTGCGCAGTATGACTGGTAGTAAGGTCCCCGCGGAATCGCGCATACAACGTAACGGACTCCCTGGGGGCTACTTTGTGGCTAGTCGAGGACAGTGTAGTAACATTTATTTGTTTATTGTACTATGTTTCCAATTTTATACTCCCTGCCTTACACATACAATAGGACAACCTTGGGTAAGTTGAGTTGGAATCGGTGGCGGAGGAGATTGGCGCACTGCGCTATAAACCCGACAAGTTGAGTTTGATTCCTTGCCACAGCTAACATCAGTTTCATTTATTAGGTGTAGCCCTGTGAGCCATGCGGCTCTTGAATCGGGTACAACTGCAACAAACAAAAATATGAAAAAGAAACATCTTAAAGTTAAATTTGGATTTAAAGCTTTTGTGACTGCAGGGATTCATATTATTGGTTCTTTCGGTAAAGTCATGTAGAAGGGAAGTAATAAAATAATAAAAATATAAAACAATAAAAAGTGATAATTTTTATTGTTTTATATTTTTCTTTTATTCAAGTGAGAATTTTTATTGTTTTATATATTTTTTATTTTATTATTTCCCTTCTACGTGACTTTACCGAAAAATAACCAAGAATATATTTTAAAGTTACTACGCGTGTCAGATTGGTTGTGTATAATTTGCACCACTCTTGATTGTTTTTTTTTTTGCACAATTTGCACCAATTGCACACTTCAAAATGTATTTGAATTGTTACGTAGCAATGTGAAGAAAACTTGTACAATGTAGGTTTCCCTCGCTTTATGCGGTAGATGCGTTCCAGGAAAAGGACACACAAAGCGAGACCACACGAGGCGGCTGCCTGCTGAGGAGCGTATACAGTACACACAAACAATGCCCCACGTCCAACCGCAGAGTCGCATATAAGTGCACTAAAACCACATGTAGCGAATTTTGGAAAGAAATAGGATAGCCGCGCATACGCACACATAGGATCTGTATAAAGCGAGGGAAACCTGAATATATTAAGGGCAATAAAGCGAGTGACCCATGACCTGTGGTTGAGTCACATGTTAGTGTTCCACAATTAGTGGACTCGGATTGTGATTAGCACTACCGAATCACTTGTATGAATTGCACTCGCCACTTGTTAAGATGAACAGCCTAAAAGAGGTGGCCGAATGGCTCAAAGGTTAGAAGCACTACGCTGGCACCATTGAGATCCTCAGATTCCAGGCAGCTGCCTGTGAAAAATTCCAGATTCTTAGGTGTCGTGAATTGGTGATCTCATCCCTGTCACCGATGACTGCACTCAAAACCGATCCGAGTAAATTTGGTTTGGCGCTTAATTTGGCAAAAAGTCAACTCTTGAGAATTAACACATTCCTGCGGAGGGAGCTGGTAGGAACGTTGGGTTGCTCGGTCAATGGCCAGGGTCAACGGCGGCGTGGTGTATTCCGCAAATATGGCCGACTGTGAGGGCGGGCACAAGCCGGCGTGAGTAGGTTAAACGTTGAGTTTTATAAGGGCACCACGGGGTGACCAGCCCCTCCCCACCCAGCATCACCCTCCCCACCCACCCAGCCCCTCCCCACCCAGCCCCACCCTCCCCACCCACCCAGCCCCTCCCCACCCTCCCCTCCCCACCCAGCCTCTCCCCACCCTCCCCTCTCCACCCAGCCCCACCCCTCCCATTTTTGGATGCACAACGAACGGACACAATAATCCCTTGTGGGCTGGTGTAACCAGGAGGTTCCTACCAGTAAAAATATTGCTTTGACTGTCATGCAACAAACAGCACAGCATGTGGAAAAGTGCTGCCCTCTACTGTGTGAACGAGGTCACTTCAATTGATCTCAGAACTATCTCTGCTATATCTGCCTTTGTGGGCTCTAAAATCCACTCTACGAGTGATCAAAGTGGACACTTCGTCTCATGACATAACCTCAGTAGCAAGGTCGGGATAGCATTGGGGGTGAGTGACAAGAATGTTTTATTTCAAAGATGTCGAAAGCGACCAAGGCACTAGAAATAGGTGGCATTGTCATGCTGTTGCCCCTAATCCACAAACGTTGCCCTCTCCCCATGTTCTACACCCACTCTTGCTTCCCTTCATTACTACCGCCACTCATTTTGCTTTTATGCGATCCACTTATACCTCCCCCCATACCCTGTCCTCTGTCCTTTTCACCCCCCCTCACCCCAACAGCGGCAGTGATTGGATCGCGATTGCACATCCCTGTCGCCGTTTCCTGCATCATGATGGGATTTTACGTCATGTTCATCAAGTGAAGGCACGCGACCCCCCCCCCACCCTTCCCCCGGAGTGCTGCGTGATGACCGATATTGGACACTGCGAAGAGGCAGCGTGGGTGTTCAACGAATGTCAATCCACAGCCAACCTGCTTTTGGCCGGCTCTCAACGAAACGCCGTGTTGTTGCTGGGGACTTGTCCACGTTCAAACGCCGTTGGAGGCTTCAAAGTCTGACGCTGTGCGAGTAAATTTTTTTTGTAGTAAATGTATATGCCTTAGGGATGGTCTGGCAGAGTGTTTAGAGAACAACAATTGTACAAAGAAATAACTTTAGACTTTATTTTAAATTTGGGGCACCTGTTTTGGAGCATGATTTGTTAAAATTACCTGATCACTTTTAGTTTTGACATTACATTCTCTCTTAATATTATAGCCCTTTAATTGCACATTCAGCTCTGCCTGTAAAGGAATGTAAACAACTCTAGATAGGTGAAACCTAAGTACGTTTGTGCTGACATGTGCTGATTTTTATCTGCATATTACACTTATCTGTGCTAATTAGAAAAAAATCTAGACATGTGACCTTTTAAAATGATAGAGCCATGTGTGTAACTTTTTTGCGTGGATGGTGATTGTTCAGCTGATTTCACATGACACCCATACATTGTTTTGGCATCGGATAGCTTTGCAAGATACAACTTGACTGGGAAAAACTAAAAATCCGGTTTTAATGATCCAATTTAACGTTGCCAGTGTCGCAGTTTCATGGTGAGATGACTGCCTTGGAAGCACGGTACTGAACATGTAAAATAACAAAAATAACACGATTATTCAACTTTGTGCACAGAGTGTCATAGAAACACTGGGCTAATTTTGGGGTGGAATACCCTGGTATGTCTGTGTTCTTAACCTGATTATATCCATGAAAACCAAATTAGCCTATTTCCAGCTTGTAAATTATTTGTATTGCTTTCTATATCACAGAAATATGACACGCAATGTGAATGATAGGTAAATGAAACGCCACTGAAAACCGCAAGCTAATTCCGGAGTGCACAATCCAATGCTCCGGGAGTTTCTGGACATGACTAATGCAGTTACCAAGTCGGCATAACTTTGCTCGATTCAACTTTTCACGTTCATAGCGGTGCCCCAACCCCCCCCCCCCCCACGACCTTCCATTGTATGTGGGACATAGAATATCTGTGCCCACGTTAAAGCGAGAACATGCTGTATGATACATTATTTCTTGTTAGTCCATGGGCCAGAGCAGAAATTGGTACCACCTAAGATGTAAATATACTTTTAGTCTTACCGATTTATTTAGATATAATTTGATAACGCACTCATTCCAGATGATTATCACATACTCTTTGGTTCTTTTGGTAAAGTCACGTAGGTATAAGATAAAATCAATTATATCCATGAAAACCAAATTGGCCTATTTACAGCTTGTAAATTATTTGTATTGCTTCCGATGTCGCATAGTTTAATGTTGGTGGCCACATAAAGACATTAGATATATTAAAATGATGTCCACTTCAGGTGGTACCGACAAATGAAACATGGTACTGGCTCGTGAACTACCAATGCTTCAGACAGACTTGCCAATTTTTTGGGTTTAAGCTGGAGGGTTAGGCCATGAAAGTTGTTTTGTGGGCTCCGTTAAAAATGTAATTATTTCTCATAGCTTGTTTTAAGCACTTCAATGCATATTACGCCGTTTCAAAAATAGACAATGTAGTTTAACATGTCTCAATAGGTTTATTTAATCTGATTAAATTAAATATACTACTACATGTGGAGGATGGTCAAACGTTTTTGTTTAATTCACTAAACATTGTTTCGGTACAAATGTTAAAGGTCTATGATCACATCACCCGCAATGTGCCCAGTTTCATCGCAGCCTCGCAGGAGTGAACACGGACTGTGCTTTGATGGGTAAACACAAGGTGTATTCTTCTTTCGTATGGCATAGAAGCAACAGTTTGTATAGATGTCATCGTTGAAGATGACCACCAGGCATAGACCGGTGTTGCGGACTGCTGCCGGGCTGCGTGGCGGGCAACGGAGCATTGCAGAAAACTCCCATTGTACTGCGCCATGCTCCTGCGCCTAAGCTTCCTCCCTTCACAGGCCCGCAATGACCAGCCTGGTGAAGTATCGTTGGATTGACGTCCATGACCATCGCAGGTGGTGGATGCCCTCATCCAGCAGTGGCTTCACGAAGGCTTCTCAATGTACATAATTCACAGAGGAAGTGCATGTATTTTAAGGATAAAAAAAAACATAATTTATGAAAACCCCATTTTCTAATACTTTTTGACTACCCTCATTATTTTGCTGCTGGTGGTGGTGGTGGGGATAGTTCACGGTGTAGTGAACGTTTCAATATGATGTAAGTTTGCATTTATAATGTAATAAATATTCTGTGGGGATGAATACTTTGTCCTGTGTTCGCATCGGTTTCAACGGTCCACGGTTTTATGACAAAGCTCGGTTGTAACCTCTCATCGTTAATAGCCAGCTCCTGCGATGCACCAACCAATGCAACAATTAGAACGCTCGTCTTTCCCGAGCCAGAGGGCAGCCGCTTCATCGGCAGCAGCGTGGACCGAGGGCCCCTGAGTGAGGCCACCGTTGTGCCCGATCAGGGCCCACGCGGCGACAATGAGCCTCTTGAACCGGTGGCTGAAAACAAAATACCGAAACGTCGCAGTGAGATTGGGCTATTACAAAAAAAAAAATCTATTTTATTTAATTATAATCGTGAATCGGCACTGGGTCGTGGATCAATCCACTCAGAAACCTCGCAAAACGGAAGCGCTGTGGTTGCTTTATTTATTTTGTACCTTATTCCGTAAGCGAGTGGGGTGTGCGTGTGGTTTCTCTGCATCCCGCCCGTGAAATTTACTGACAAAAAATAATACCGTGACAAAATGGTCAAAACGGTAATGGGCTACTTCTGCTCACCATAAAATGAAATGCAATAAAGATTAAGCTCCATGTGATCCGGGCAGAAATTCACAATCGGTCTGCCCGCGGTGTTTTGTCTGCTGGAAAAACATTTGCTTAAAAACGGCCCAAGTGCTGACAGACGTCAGTGTTATTTCATTTGATGGAGTTAAGTTAGCGCCAAGGCGTACACCGTGAATGCTAAACAAGCCTTTCAAGAGCAGTGCAATACATCCCGAGTTCATTGCTGACGTCTGTGCTGCCTGATAAGACTGCAGCTTGTGGTTGCAGGCATGCAGGTAATGGAAATAGCTGTGAAGCATTCACTGGGATTATTTTATTGGCTGCTGCATCCTGCAACAGACATCATGTCGGGGTGCGTCAATGTACAGCCAGTCGGAGCATGAAATCTGCGCGTGCTGTGTGTAACAAATCATTACGCATGGTCAATCAACTGCTGGATGAAGGCGAGCACCTGTACACGAACTGACTTTTCATCGCTCCATCTCCACTTGTGGACGTGCCCCTCGGGCCGTGTTTTCTCTCTTGGCTGCCATTCCGTCCTTAGTCTCGACCACCGGCCGTCATCCCTCCCATCAACCTGTCCTTCCCAAGCCCCCTTACCTTTTTAAACAGTCAACGTCTTTACCTTGCGTATGTTTTCTAATCCACGTGCTCTTTCTGCCTCTCAATAACACGTTCCTTCGGAGTGGGCAGGTAGGAACTTCTAGATTTGAAGCTTTTGTGACTGCAAGGATTCATATTTGTAGGTTTTTTCGGTGAAGTCACGTAGGTAAAATTTTTTAATGAATAAAAGTTAAATAAAATAAAAATCACGATGTTTCGGAGGCAACACAAGCTTCCGTCTTCAGGTGGAACCGTCACAGCACGACTGCTGCATCAATACTGACTTGAGTACTTACTTACTTGAGTACTTACTTGATGCAGCAGTCGTGTTGTGACAGTTCCACCTGAAGACGGAAGCTTGTGTTGCCTCCGAAACGTCGTGATTTTTATTTTATTTTTTATTTTATTTTACTTTTTATTAATTACATTTTTTATTTTTTACCTACGTGACTTTACCGAAAAAACCTAAGAATAGGTATGACACTTGGTTGGACAGCGTATTCGTGCACGACAGACAGACAAAAAATCCCTGGTGGGCAGTGTGGAACCTGTTGTTCCTACCTCTATGACTCCAAGCATGATTTGTGAATCCGTAGGGTGGGGACCTTTGGGGATTTTCTCCTGATTCTCTGGTTTTCACCCACGTGTCAAGCACTCGTGAACAGAATTGGTCAAACATCCACATGCAGGGTCCTGAAAAATGAGGCTTGATGCTCGGTGAGGCGTTCCTGGATAAATAAATGACTTATTATTCATCCATTTTAGTTGTCTTCAATATTTCGTCTCTCTCCAATTGTTTTGCTATAGGCACCTTGTCATGTACTTGATACAGCTGTCGTGGCTGTGACGGTTCCACCTGAAGACGGAAGCTTGTGTTGCCTCCGAAACTTCGTGATTTTTATTTTATTTTACTTTTATTCATTTTAATGTTTTACCTACGTGACTTTACCGAAAAAACCTAAGATTATAGGCACCTTGTCGCAAGATGAAATATAGCAATCGTGACCATTTGATGTGCATCCGCCTGCGGTTAGCAAACTCACGGCGTGAGATATCAGAGAACTGCTTCCGAGTTTCCTTCTAATCAACACACCAGGGGGCGCACTTTCCCCATACGCTGCTGTGAGACGATTATTTTGCTGTAATCCCCAGCGCTGAAAGCATCACCGAATATAGCGAAGAAACCAAATTGTGAGTCTGGGTCTCTGTGGATTTCTCTGGGTCTCTTTGTGAATCCGTTTGTCCTCCATGTGCCTGCAAGTCTCTTTCGTAAATCATTTGTTGACCGGGCTGAGATAATCAATTCTCTCCACCCGAGAACCCAGTTTCACCTGAAGACGGAAGCTTGTGTTGCCTCCGAAACGTCGTGATTTTATTGTTTTTATTTTTTATTAACTTTAATTTCATTTTTTACCTACGTGACTTTACCGAAAGAACTAAGAGTATGAACCCAGTTTCACACCAGGCGGATTCGAACCGCGGCTCTCTGCGGTGCTGGGCTTCAGCAACTCTGAGCCCTGAGGCGTCATCCGTCCGCCTTGACCCTGTTATCAGACAGTGACATCGCACGGATCGTAAACGGAGCAAAGAGGATGGCAACGGAAGAGCTGCCTTGCTTCGCCAGCGTCATTGTCTCCCTTAGTGACCGGCCACAGACGTGGGTTCAGGGTCTGCCATCAAAGTCGCCAACAAAGTGGGAGGTGGGTTATTACGTGTGCGATGAATCACCGTAAGTGGGCACAGACCGACAAGATGCCCTTCATAACAAGGCGACAGTTTCTTTCAAGAACAAAATGAACAGCTGCAATTTGCCAAAGCCATTGTATAGAAAATATAAAAGATCCGAATATGGAAATTTTCTCATATGCTCGTACACACACGATACGATATTGTTCTCGTATACGAACCGCTGCTGTATTGTTAGGTGGCTATGAAGTTGGCCCATTGCCCGAAACGCCGCCGCGTGTTTTTATGGATATGTTGAGGTTGCTATTTTTTTTATTTAAAGCTTTCGTGACTGCACGGGGGGCGGGGGGCGGAACAGATTCTAGACAATGAAGACAGCAGCGGAAAAGGAGCGACTTCCAACGAGCAGAGGTTGAGTGCGAGTGATGGGAGGGTGGCCGTTTAACTTCTGTCTCTCCACGAATAAATGTGAACATGGTTTAAGTCCATCGAACCGATTGGCTTTTGAAACCAATATTGTTGTTTTGTTTGCATTCTGACCACAAGCATTGTGGTTAATGCAGACATGATTCCTTGTAAAACGGTTTCAGTTTGGTGTTTTAACATCTTAACACAGCTGTTTTATTGCCAGAAAAAAAGGGGAAACCCCTATTATCATATTTTATTACTGGCAAAGGAGGTCCCATGATGAAACCAATTTTGTCAAGGAGAATTGTGTTTAAGCAAGACAACGCTGGACCGGTTTCGACTTAATGGGTCTCATCAGCAGCCTCAGGCTTGTGACGCAGATGCTGCTGGATTAGCAGTTCTTTATTGGGAAGGGGCACTGCTGAGACGCGATTACACGCGAACGTTTGCTCAACGTTGGGCATGTTTACTGGGTTTAATTGCGCTGGCCCACGCGAGAGTCTCGCCAAATTAGCTTCCAATAAATGTGGTAATATTCGATTTAAAGCTTTCGTGTCCTGCAGGGATTCATCTTCTTGGTTCTTTCGGTAAAGTCACGTAGAAGGGAAATAATAAAATAATAAAAA